GGACTTAGATGCTTGTTCAAATATTTATAGAAAAAGTGGTAGAAGAAAAAAATAACGAAATTAACTAGACAGATGCGTGTATGACGAACGACGTTTATGAAATGAATTTATTTTTTATATTTTCACTTCCTCATAGCGTTTTCGTTCGGTGATTTATCCAAAGATAATTTTGTACAATTTAAAGATGTATATTCCTGTAATTAAATCAATATTTTTTCCCTTAATTTATTGAATCTATTTATGCTTGAATTTCGAATTATTTTAATTAATTAACGTTCTTAATTTTAATAATATTTTCACTTGGAAATCGAAAGAAAGAGAATTGAACAGGTTTAATTAATTAATCAATGTTGTAAATAATGTAACTTTTAATTTAATTATATTCCGAGCCAAAGAGAGGATACCTGCATTAATAACCGCGTATTTAAACGAAAATAATTTATATTGATAATACAAAATGAAAATCTCATTGAAATATATCATGTATTCAGAATCTCGTTATCAGAATTGATGAAACGTCGTTCGTCGTGTGCCGACATCTACAAACGAACTTTATTGATATTGATAGCGTATGAAAAATTTGCTTCAGCATCTCGTATTGCAGTATTTGTTCACGTATTTAAACAACACGCTACGTAGTCGTTCTTTGAATATTATTTTCCTTTTTAAAAATAAAGAAACAGAGAGGAGAACAAATGGAGAACGTAAATAGGTTCGAAGAAAATGCTAAGGTCTGATTATTTCTGTCACGCAAGCTTAATACGATGCATAGATGTAGATAAATCGAGCACTCGAGTAATTTGATTACGTCGAATGAAAAATTGTACGATGAATTTTTCTCAGAAAAAAATAACTAAATTTTAATATTAAAATGTTGAAAATTTAAAATTGCGGAAAATTGAATTTTCTTCGACTTAATCGAATAATCGAGTCTCTCGATATATATATATATTAGTCGAATTATAGGATATTGTCGATACAATTTGATAATGAAAACTTTAGTGAATTTGATAAAGCGAATCTATAAAATGAATTTCGAATACTCGCATAATCGAGTATTCGATAGAACGAATTTTACTCTACTTCGAACGATCGAATTGTGTTTCGAATGCTTACACTTTTCACACAGTATAAAAGTACACTATGACGTAATGAAAAATGAATAGTCGAATTAAACATCGAAATGAAAAGAAAATCGAAAGTCGAACAGAAGAACGATACAAGTACTTGAACGCTTACACGATAATTGTACATACAATACCAATCATAGTGTCCGTTCGTCTATTGAAAAAGCACTGACTTTGGAGTTCAAGTTAAACCGCAGCAAATATTATAAATCTAATTATAATTTAATAAAAGCTTCAGAATATTCAATAATTTATTTGAAATTACAAAATACACTAGTGAAAACGGACACTATGATTGATATTGTACGATATTTGAAACGTGCAAGCTCCATTGATCATTAATCTTATTTCATAAGACGATAAGGCAAAAATATTGAAATATTAAGAAACTTTTTTTATTATAATTTCGTAAAAGGATTACAAACTTAAAATACAAAATTGATCAAGTTACCACGATGAAAGCATAGTTCGGCCAGCATTATTATTAATCAATGCGAATACCTATCATATGTGTAACGTTGTGATTTAGAAGAAGAAAAAAAGAAGGAAATATAGCGACGTATACATATCGCGTAACATTCTGTAACAGAAAACGCCCGAATTGTGATACACTTTGTAACGTTTGTAAGCCAGCGTCTGTTCAAGGTAAAAAAAGAAAAAGAAAAAAAATGATAAAAACTGTTCGAGAATTGGTGTTCCTTCGATGATCTATTCGCGCCCAGCAATGTCGTTTATAAACTGCAACGATCTACATTTCAGAATTGGGCATCATTCGAATAAGATTATTATTATTCGCGAATAATGAATAAGATTTTCTTGTGTAGCAGTCGAGAAAATAAACGGATGGGTGTTTCATCTCAGGATCGTCTGTCACAGACTTGTCGTGGGGAGACGAAACCCTCTTCACTAAACGATTGCGACACTTGAAATAAAACTAACAAATTATTCGTTATTCGTTAATATGCCCAACTCTGTCTACATCGATCATTTCTTGTTCTTTACACCTGGTTATCGCACGTGTACACTCGTTAGCCGCGCGAACGATCCTTGACGAACGCCAATAGTTTCTATCAATATGTATCGATCTGATTGTTTCCTCGAACAGAGATAACTGTTTCCTGTCTATTCGGAAAATACAGAATTCTTTTAACTGAAATTTTTCACGTATAGAAAATTCGACAGGTTCAATTGTCAAATGATTTTTAATCCTGAATAATGAATTAAAAAAAAAAATAATCACCCACGGTTGGAGGATTAAAAATCATTTGACAATTAAACCTGTCGAATGTTCTATATGTGAAAAAATACAGAATTCTCTTAACTGAAATTTTTTACGTATAGAAAATTCGACAGGTTCAATTGTCAAATGATTTTCAATCCTCCAACCATGGGTGATAATTTTTTTTTTTTTCATTTATTATTTAATGGAGCTAAGATTAAAATTGGAACTTCTGTATCGTTTTAGTTTTTAATATAAAATTATTGCAGACCAGTGGGATAATAATGTCGGATAATAAAATTGTCTCTGGTAGGAGGATTAAAAAATTAATCATTTTTAAATTTGAAAAGATGAATATTTTATAATTTCGACAAAATCTTCTTAGTAGTAATGTATAAATGCTGATGTTACAAGAAGCTTCGAAGAATCGAGGAAGCTACGAAAGAGGAACGTTAAATGAAAAGAAAAAGTGAAGTTCGATGAAAAAAGGGGGACATGCCGAAAGCTAAGAACCATGCAAACAGACGAAATATTCATATTTCTTTTTGAAAATTTCATTCATCACTGATAGTAAAACTCCTCCATCCTTCGCCAACGGATAAAATGCTTAATTCAGAGCTGCGTACGCAAGCGAGTCATATATAGGTATTTAAAGAAAAAAAAAGCGAAAAAAAAATAAGCAATTACCCCGAAAGGATGAAAAAAAAAAGTTTGCGCGTGAAAATTACTTTGGTGTTTTCATTAAACGATTAATGAATCCCGACGTATTTACAAGGTAGATGATAAACACAACAATAATAATAATAATTAATAACGATAAATAATAATATTTAATAATAATAATGAAGTAATAATGATTAATATTAATATAACTATAATTATAATATTAGTTGCAGCTTTCTGTGTAAGGTTATTGTGATATCTAAAAAAAAATGGAAAGAAAAAATAATAACTTTACCGTAGCGATATGAAATTAATTCAGAATATAAGAATCGATATTTAGTGAGCAATTAATAAGAAATCAATCAGTATGTCGACGGGGCTTTTGAGTGATGCCTCTCCGCGATCACACGGTCATAGAACGTATAAGAAAAAAGGGAAAAGAAAAAAAAGAAAAAGAAACAGAATTGCGACCCGTGAACCGACCGCGTCTCTCTCTTTTTTTATTTTTCATTTTTTATTTTATTCACGGACGAGGTTCAAACGACAATCTTAGGCCTCGTCAGAATACTGCCGGATACGTGAGGACATTCCGAAAATCTATTATGAAACGATCAACTGATTTATACCATCTTGTCTTATTTTTTTTTCTTCTTTTCTATTGCAACAAAGTTCAAGAAGAAGAATAAAAAAAAATATGAGGATCAGTTGTGGGAAAGATTTGTTCGTGACATAAAGGAATTCGGAACGTCCACTTTGCATCTGGGTCAATCCGTCCATAACGTGTCTCACACTGAGGCATTTGCACAAATGCGTGCATATTAATCATTGGGACTACAAAAACATATCATCGTATGTAATGATAATGATACCGTGTATGTATGTGTACGTCTGTATGTGTATATATTTATGTATACGTACACATGTTCGCATACATACATCCATACATATATATATATATATATATATTTAAAAAATATTAAGCAATAAGATTTTATTTATATGCCCGTAGAAAGAAGAAAAAAAAAACAATTAAATGATAAAGCGAACAACTCCATATCAACATGTGTGTCTGGGCAAGAATTAGCTTATACATATACATGTATAATGTATACATATATATAATCTTTACTTCGTCGTTGTCAGGCGTTAATGTTAAACTTAATTATCATTAATTAATTATTAGATTGTGAAAGAATTTCTTCAGGTTCTAAGCAAGATTTGGAAATAATAAAATGAACAAAATACGTAATTTCAACTTGTATTTTAATTCAAGCATTCTACCCTGTTCGCTTTTATGGCCTTTTTTTTTATTAAAATAAAAAAAAAACTCCGGACCTACATATTGGTAGCATGCGCCGGTGACATTCTTTGTATGTACATATGTACACCGAGCTGATATCATTTTGGGGTATCAGGGACCCCGAAGCACCGCTAATGCTCTGCATACCGACATTATAGCATTCGGGGTGTCAAGAACCCCAAAGCACCGCTAATGCTCTGCATACCGACATTATAGCATTCGGGGTGCCAGGAACCCCAAAGCACCGGTAATACTTTGCATACCGACATTATAGCATTCGGGGTATCAGGGACCCCGAAGCACCGATAATGCTCTGCATACCGACATTATAGCATTCGGGGTGTCAGGGACCCCAAAGCACCGGTAATGCTCTGCATACCGACATTATAGCATTCGGGGTATCAAGGACCCCGAAGCACCGGTAATACTCTGCATACCGACATTATGGCATCCGGGGTTGCAGGGACCCCGCGGACTAGGTTTACATTCGTCAGGGTAACACTCGCGCCATCTACCGAAAGGTAGCGGAACTATGTCGGTAAGTAGTTTCAGCGGTTTTTGTATAGATGGCGCAAGAATCGAATTTTAAAAATATTTATTTTATGGCGGTATTTTTAAAATACGAGTTTGTCAAACAATTATTTTAATAATGTTTCGGTCTTGTACTGATTTAGGATAGAACAGATGATCCTCGTTCTCAAGGCATAAATTAAAGACTTCTCGAAAACAAAGGCATGTCCAATCTTGTTGGATCTGTATGTAGATAGTTCCAGATGGCGGTTGTAAAGTTGAGATAGTTACGAATAAAATTGGAGGGAAAACCTGTGTACGAATTCTCAGGCAAATTGTAACTGACTAAACATAAGTAAAAATACAGTTTAAATAAATTTTATACATATTTTGATCGAAAATGGTTCATAAAGATGGCAAGTCCATAATTGAGGAGTCAGAAAACGAAAAACCACAAGTATTTGAAAGAAAGCAAGCTCAGTACAAAGATCTTTCCAAGAAATTTGTGAATACAATAAACGATTATTCTAAACAATTCGCACACATATATGCTATTAGACTTGCTGAATTGAGAAATATTTTAATTCCACGTGTTAAAGCAAAATGGGGTATGTTTTGTTATTTAATTTTCTTGTATTCGTATTTGTATTCGTTTTGTAACAATAATTATAACTTTTGTCTTCATAGGAAATATTCCTATTGTAAGATTGGCTGACTTAGGAAATATAGAAGGTCAAAAATGTATAATAATTGGTACACTTTATAAACACCAGCAAGGGAAACCATCAATTTTACGTGAACTTAGCGAAGATCATCAACTTACCAACCCTTGTTCTAAATCAGATTATTGTTCAGACAAAGATCAAGCCTTCCTAGAAGATGAAATGTTGCGTATTAGACTTATAGGCCCAAAAGTTGACTTAAAAGAAATTGTTACTGGAGTTGTTTGTGCTATATTGGGTAATGAAAACAATGATGGAACATTTACGGTAATTTGAATCTAAATGGATATGAGCATTACAATTATACTTTCATTACATGTAAGAATTATGTTGTTTAGGTGAAGGATTGGTGTCCTCCTGGCTGTGCTCCAAAAGAGCCTTTAAAAAACTATACATCAGAAGGCAAACTAATAATTGTATCTGGATTAGATCTATCTGCAAATAGTAAAAGCTTAGAAATAAATCTTTTTACTGAATGGTTGTGTGGAATGGCAGGTAATACAGTAGTACAAAAAGATAATGCTTCTATTGTACGTCTCATTATAGCAGGTAAACTATCTCTGAATAAAGTATGTACATAAACATTAACAAAATTTCATATCATTGATGCTTTAATTTCGTCGATAGGTAACACTATAAAAAGAAATGATACAGTAAATTCAGCAACAAATACGCTAGCTAAAGAAATTGGAGAAGCAATAAAAACTACAGATGCATTTTTAAACACTTTGGCAATGTGTTGTCATATAACTTTAATGCCGGGAGAGTATGATCCTACTAATGCCATGTTACCTCAAAAACCGTTACATCCTTGTCTGTTACCTAAATCATCTAGGTGTGTGCTTACATATTAATTTTCGATCATAGGCTTTATAGATACTTATGTATAAATGTTGTAGACTTGAAAGTTTTACAAGTACCACAAACCCATGGATTGGTAAAATTGAGGAACGTATGGTAATGGGTACCAGTGGTCAATCAATCAATGATATTATCAAAGCAACAGGTGAAACTGGTATTTCACCTATCGAATGGTTGGAGAGAACATTATTATGGAGGCACATGTGTCCAACTGCACCGGACACATTATTAGCCTGCCCGTATTATAAGGAAGATTTGTTTATTATGAAAGAATGCCCAGATGTGTATTTTGTTGGTAACACAGACAAGTTTGAAACGAAACTTTTGAAAGGTATGTGCTAAAATGTTATATGCTTTATAAGATAAAAAATCCTTAATATAATTTGCAGGTGATGAAAACGAAATAGTGAGACTAATATCTGTTCCGTGTTTTAGTACTACTCATACTGCTGTGATAGTAAATTTACAAAATTTAGATACAAAATATATCTGTTTCGGGTAATATTTTTGATACAATATCGGGTTTTTCATTTCAATTTATATAAATTTTTTTGTAATGTTTATAAATAAAGAGAATATTTTTAAACAATAATGAATTCAATTTAACTGTATTTACTTTACATTTCTCTTTTATTGCTATATTTGATATGAAGTTTTATTTAAATTTATAGAATACCGAAGATTCACATTTTTAGCACAAAATAATATGAAGAAAAGAACATGTTCTATTGCTGCTTGTTTATTTTCATTCAAAATGTGATGTACAAAATCTAAGCGCACGACTTTTAAATATAGATATGCTTGACTAAATATAAAATATGCAATACGAAAGAAATTACATGTAGTATCACAGATTGTTAGAAAATCACGAAATCACAGTGATATGAGATTTTAAACGTGTAACTTGTTACTTAAATAAACATGAAATCATGCTTCATAAATTATAAATAGAACATAACAGTCAAAATACAAGATTACGGTAATTTTCTTTTTAATATTAAAATTCACTTTAAATTTATGGTCTTTGTAAAAAACAAAAAGCATTAATTGTATGATCTTTCTATAATGTATTATTCTTACCTGTCTATTTTAATCTAAAGTGAATGGGGATTATTACATACATTCTTTTTTTAAGTTTTACAAGTAAACTGTTTTTGACTGTTATACAAGATGCGAAAATTATGAAATCATTTGAAGAAATCATAATAATGAACAACATAAGAGAAGTCAATTATAGAAATATAACGGTTGACACATTACAGGGAATATATACAATAAATTATTATATAAGCGTTCGTAATAATTGGATTTTTTGTTGGATATTTTCACATATTTTACAATGAATATCGCTCGTCGTTGATAGAAAAAATATGCAACATCGAAGAGTGATTCTCCAGAATATTTTCGATTGGCACTTTTATTTAACATAAGAGTTTGATTATAATATAAATACATTTTTATTGGTTTTTCTTTTATTCCTTTTTTTTTTTTATAAAAACTGTCTAATTCTGTTTGTATGAGATTCCAACTTTTGCAGGACTACGTCCTATTTATCGACAATAACAATGAAAGAAAAAAATATAACAATATCCTTATCCTAAATAAAAGGATGATACTCGTACAATTCTAATGCTTTGGCCGAAATAGCAATACTTAAAAAGCAATTATTAAGAGGTTTTCCATTAATTTAAGCAGAATGAAGTTATAAAATTTATATTTATAATACACTTTACAGTTTCGTAATACCATTAACTTAAGGTGCATGTTACATGACCGACAGGTATATATAACAATTGACAGGTAGCTTCTGTATATAGTAACGACGACGTGGACATACTGTACGTATAAGAGACTTTTTCCTATCTTTTAGCCGTCGGACGTATTCGTTCCTTTTCAGTATCCCTATCGTCAGCTACTGTCCATTCAGGATCATTGGGATCCTCACCTTCTATGTCACAACAAGCTGATTCAGTTGAATCTGATTCTGGAGAATCCATTTCCCCATCCTAGAAACGAAACATTAACGTCTACCTAAATGGCTATAAAGATGTATCTTTTTCACGATTATTCTGTATATATATTATATATATTACAAAAAACTATATGTAAATTGATAAGCTTTGTAACGGCTGAAAAAAACAATCAGCGAGCTAACTGATGAAACAATTTTATTCTAAATGCTTATATAAAAGGATAGTATAATTTTTATGTAAATGCAATGCAGTCTCTTTTAAATATTGCTAAAATTCTGTAATATGCGATCAAAATAAACTGAATCGTGTTAAAATATAAAAAAGCATCATATGGCACTGCTTACCAGAAATAGCCTCGAGGAGCCATGAAAGTTGGCTCAAAGTTTATATTAATAGTCAGTACGAGCACTCGGACATTTTGTTTGTAATAAAAAGTTCTGACTTAGATAGTTAACAATGAAACATTTAATACAAACACAATGTACGTACATCATCTGCCTTTTCTTCTTCGCGAGAACAGAAAGACGCTGATGAAGCTTGCCAATGTCCATCTGGCATCACTTCGAGCATTTTATCGTAAACTTCCTCGGATAATGGAAATACCCTTGGTTCATACGGAAAAATCTAAGTCGAAATGTACAAATATTACTGTTTTTTCATATTTCCATCAGTTGATAAATTATATAGGGAGGACCATTTAAATAGGAATGCTTAACACGTTGAATGCCGCACATTACATGCACTCCAATAATTAAAAGAAAACGATAGAAAAATATTATTTTCAATAGTATCGTTATTATACTAATAATGTAAAGTACCAAATTAAAAGCTTGACATTTGAAATTTGAAAATTAATTATTCCTATTCTTAATAATTAGAGCTTCAATACGTCTCGTGACAAATGCCCATTTTCACAGCGGCAGCCAATGTGTTAAATATCTTCATTATTTATGGTTTTCCTACTTAAATGGTCTATTTTGTATATAGTGAAATAAGATTAAAAAATAATACCTCATTTTCGTCCTCGTTCATTAAAGTACTATCGTCTTTCCCTAATCTTAGCGTTGGCGTAGTACGACGTCGCAAAGCATTTTGCAAAGCAGATGATCGATGTGTATCCAAATTCTGTTGATGTTCCGCGTCTTGAACTTGTGGAGTTGGAGGAGGTGATGTAATAGGAGACATCATATCCCCACCAAAATCACTAGCATGGGGAGACATAGGATCTAAAAAAACAAATTAAATTTCTTTCAATAAGATCAACACCTTAATCAGGTTAATAGATCGAATTCAAATACAAACTTTCACTTTTGAAATGAGGGTTCTAATCATTATTATGCTAGACAACTAATTACCTGGTGTATTTGCACCACTGTCCGCTCGACTATCCGTTCTACGATTGTGTCGAATACGCGACTGATGTGGCAAAGTCATGTATGTCATAAAACGTTTATTTTCTTCTCGTTCGCTTCGTTCATGCCTCAAAGCAATGGTTTCATCTGACATATCTTCGAACTGTGAAAATATAATTATCGAATTAAGATCAATGAAAGATTATTTATAACTTCATTTTTATAAAATCAACGAAACTCACATCACTGTCTTGACTAGGCCTGTGCATAACACCATTTTTAATATCTAATTTCAAAGGTTCTTCGCATAACCTCCACCTATAATTTACAATAAAAAAAAAAAGATATAATTTAGCTATTCATTTAAAAACATAAAATTCATTAAACGAATACTTACTTTGGTGTTAATATTTCTTTATATTGTAATTTTTCAAGCCTAGTTGAAGCAGCTACGCTATATGGTATAACAATATTATCAATATCATATGAATTTTGCCTCAGACGCCTGAAAATAAACGTATAAATAAATTTTAGTTACAACATAGTACGTGATAAACGGTTCCTTTGATAAGAATACTTAACGACACTAACCCATGAGAGATAGAACTTTTTTCTTTAATTGTATTTTTCTCCGTAGAAGCAGCGGTATGGTGTAGCGGTGAAGGCACTGGAGATGAATGTTTACTAGAGCTGGAAAGGGCACTAATATCATCATCATCCTCAGTAGTTAATTTCTGTACCCTCTTTCTGCTTAAACCGTGTACGCTTCTATCGTGACCTAGTCTGTTCCTCTTTCCTTTTAACATTTTTCTTTTAATTCCTACAAAAAAGAATTATATAACCAATGAAGAATGTATAAATATTAAACACAGGGAAAATAACAAAAAACTAAACGTGTTACATACTTGCAGTAAGAATACTTGATGATGATTTTTTCAATCGAGCTGCATACTTTGCTCTATGTCCTGGAAGTTTTTTATTCCTTCTATCATTAGTTTCTTTATCTTTTAAGCGTGTAATTCGTAAATTTCCCCGTAACATTTTCTGTTGCCATTCCACTGATTTCATAATAGCATCAACATGATTTCCTTGTGTAACATCTATAAATCGAAAAGATTTTCGTATATATTTTTTTATATCACAAGTTCAAATATTTGTTTCTTTAATTATAGAAATAGCGTATATGAATATATACATATATATATGATGATAATATTTTATTTACCATCAGAAAATGACAAAACAGGATGAAAACTAGGATCAACAAGTGCAATTCGTTCTTGCACAGACATCTGTTCAATTGGTTCTTGCATTTGCATTGGATCCGATCTTCCAGTACATAAAGCACATGGAGGTAATACATGGTCACAATTGCATCTTACTGTTGACGCTTTTGCCGCCCGTTTTGAAAATTCGTGTAACCTGTCTAGTTGTAACAATTTTCTCTTCCTATAAAAACTCCATACAAACGGCCGTGTCCTACTGGCTGGTAATTCACCTTCTGGTGAATTATAACGTCCTGTAGAACCTGGCAATACACCACTATACCCATTAACTGTTTCTGCGTTATCAAGAATCACTAAGCCTTTATTAGCTCTAACGTGTCGTTGCAATTCGTTATGCTGTCTAATTCTATATTCCAAATCTGATATTTGTGCTTGTAACCATGTCCATCTAGCTGCTACACCTGCACGATCTTGAGCATACCTCCATGCTGCTCTTTTTGATCTAGAAACAACATTTACAGAGAGACACATTAAGTACCTATATACTTAAAAAATTTATTATATTAAAAATGTATACTTCAATTGAAGATTACTTAATTTTCAAAAAGTACAAATGCAGAACAAAAAGTAAATTCATATTGAATATTATTAGTTGTTTGAATCTATATGATTCTGATAATCCTTATCATTTTATATATATACATATGTACACATAAATATTTTGGATTGAGAAATGTTAAATGAAATTCGTTCTAAAGAAACCGGACCAAAACAATATTCGGTTTCGAATTCTTTCATTAACATGATAAATTGAAATGTTACTGAAAAAATATTTAATTAAAAACAGTAAAAAGCACATGTGATAAGAAATCAATTCAACGCATATATTTCCATTCTTATAACTGAGGAAAAACAGAATGGGCCAATAATTGTTCTATAATAAATAGTGAAACTTACATCGATAAATGTTGCTGATGCAGATTGTTAAATGACTGCATTTCATCACAACTTTCTCCACCACTACTAGACGCAGTACAATCAGAGTCAAGATTAGATTCCACAATATGTAATTGCGTAGCTAAAGGTCCAGCCACACTCTCCACTTCGTCACCTTTTATTTTAACTTGAGGAGTACCAAACACTGGTTGACGATTACTATTATTACCAGAAGTACTACCTAAACTGTCGCGCGATCCACCACCAAAGTATCGGCAACATAATCGCTGACGATTCACACTGTTGCTCTGGGCAACGCACATTTTCTCAATCTTTTGCAAAAATGAACTCAAACTACTGCTAATTTCAGGAAAGTTTCTAACGTTTGACTTAGAACTGATATTAACCAATTCTTGAAAAAGATATTTCTTCACTCCGTGATGAGCAAGTTCAAGAACTCCGGTATTTTCTTCCGCGACATGCCTGCCAACTATTCTCGCTTGAAGCTTCCTCAGTCTTCTTAATAAAAATGCACATCTCCTCTCACTTTCGTATTGTTTTTGTGCAACAATATCTTGCTGCAGTTTTAACGTGTTAATTTTCTGTTGGTCCACTGTCTCGCCGATGTTTATATTGTTGCAAATACTCATAACATCAACGTCGTTAAGTAAATCCCGTTCAAAGGATGAAAATCCTTCCTCTGGCATTGAAAACATTTCCACACCGTCGACGGTGCTTTGCACCGGTTCGCCGCCCCCGGCAGATATACTTTCTGCATTTTCAACCCCTTCGATCGATTTGATAACTTGCAAAATCTCCTCGACATTCTGTCCAATATCGCCGACATTCCCCATATTACATTGCTCGTTATCTGTAGTTATATCAGTACCAAATGCCATTATTTGATCCACATCCAGATTTTTATTGTCTCCTGCAGTTTCTGAGCCCACCATAGGCAAATCTGCGCTTGATTTTAAGAAACCCATATTGTCCGCTTGATCACCCATAGATGGGTCGTTCATTATAATGTCAGTCGCCTTTTTCTCTGGACTGCCCGGAATATCCGGTTCTTCACAGTCCTGGTTAATTAATCCTTTCTTTGTAATCAAGTCAGATCCGTGCGTAAATGGAGACAAACTATCAAGATCATTGGCATATTTCGAGTTGATGACATCACGAATGAGATCCTTTGATATACCACGTAAACACTGATCATCAATCTTTGACGGTTGAACGTTTGCAGAGACAACAAATTTAGCCAGAATTTCGCGATTCTGGCACACTTCGGTAGCCTGCTCTGGGGAAAGAAATCCGCTAGCTGGAAGGGGAGGGAGCAAATTTTCAGGCTTTTGAGGACCGCCTTCCGTCAGAGCAGGGGCCATCACTGCCACTGACACTGCCAGTGCTGCGGCCTCGACATCCAGAGGCTCCCACGTGCGTACGCACCCACACCTGCACTTCACATGTGCTGTGCTCACTCCCATTCATCCATTACTACTTTAATGTCCTCTACTTTTATATTATTTATTCTTATCCTCCGACTTGGCTTCTTCTCTTTTATTTTCTTCTTGCTTCGCGTTGTGTATTCTTATTCTTTAATTATTTCATATTAAGCACTATGTAGTTTCAATAGCTTTCTCTATGTCCGCCATGTTTGACTCTTTCATTTGTATCCTTAGGACTGATTTGTATCATTTAACCTGTAAACAAATTATATACAAATTAATCTTCGTGTAATAATGAAAAATGAATTTATTCGTATAATAATGAATGAAAATGAATTATAATTCAATATCCTGTGTAAAAAATAAAAAGAAATATAGCTTGATATAATAATGAAATTAAATTACAATAAATTTAAACGCATTACATTAAATTACATATGATTTTCATTTTATTTCGCAATGGAAATTTTGAACTATATAACATGAATTTCATACAATTTTTAATTATTTCAAACATATGTAATTTAATGTTTAATATAAGAAATTATTGAGCTATCGCTAAGTAAGTTAAAAAATACATTACTTAATGCACTAATTCATTTATGGATTTGAGAAATGATTAATTCTTGAATATCAAACATTATATAAAGACATTATCTATTTACAATATACAAGATACAATAAAAAGTGGGAGAGGGGGAGATTAAATGAAAAGAGTTTACTGACCTTATTTCTTGGGCTGCAGAAGGGAAACATGTTCAAACTTGCTTGTAACATTTAAACACACAAAGTAACCCAAAATGAACATGAATAAAAACGAGACTTGATCTTCCCATGAAGATTTCTTTCCAGTATCGAATTAGTACTCTGGATCGGTGAACTTGAAACGTAGACTAAGCCGATGTGGTAAGCGACTGCCGGTGAACGATAACAACGCGTTATTAAGGAATTGGAATGCGATGATACAAAGCGGTGTAGTACGCAAGAGAAAAAAAAACTATTGAACACTGAGAGAGAAAAATTGAGAGAACAGCGAAGGGGGAAAAGTAGTGTTAAAAGTAGAGGAAAAATATTGAAAATACGAAGAAAGCGTATTCGAAGGTGTACGAATTCGTGTTCCGCACTGCACTAGATATCACTATCAAATATACATGTTGTTGTAGAGATTAATAACAGGTATGCTCGCATCGTTTGACGCATTCCCACGTGATTACTCGACGGGAAATACAGAAAACAGCGGCAGCGGCGGCGGCGGCGGTGGCGGCGGCAGCAGCAGCAGCGTTAGCAGCGGCAGCGTTTCCTCGTCGTGGCACGAGATCGAAAAACAAAGATAAAAACATGCCGCACAGCACCACCGCCGTCCTCGTCTTCAACAGAGGTGGCAGTTCTTTCTCGTCGGCTGCAAAAGTCTATTGCATAATGACGCGCAAGATTTGCGTCCCAGGAAAGTCAGCACTCTTATGCGAATCACTTCGCGTTGTCGTTGATGTCCACGTACGCGAAAAAGCCTTCACACACGCGACTTCCGCAGAGATGTCGAGGGCATTGAGAGAGTAGCACAGAGAGAAAGGGAAATAAGAGAGAGAGAAAGAAAATACGAAATTGTGTAAGTAAAAGTGAGAAAGAACACGCAACAAGAGAGAGAGAAGACCACTAACGTGTTTCGCCTCGTGAATAGCGTAACCACGAGACGAGTGCGTTAACACACAGGCGTAGGCGCGTTTACACGGCTGAACAACCGATCGGTTCGATAAAAATTCTGGTGAAATTGAGAACACACGAGAAAACAAGAGAAGCGGCTTCCTTCGCGGTACTCTTGTAGCGTACAATGGCGGAGCAAAAAACAGATTCGAAGACAGCTTCTTTTCGGCAGTTTCCCCCCTTCTATAGCGCTCACCTCGCTTCAGGGGCGCTCGACATAATCGCACATACACCCGTAGGATCCACAAATAATCGGTCGTTTCTTATCCACTACGCAACACGAAACGACTTTCATGCAACTCGCACAGATATAAATGTCCGTCACACCCAATGCACGATAATCCCTTTGGCTGGATTTCTCGTTACAAGGAACGCGCGTACTTCTAACCGTTTTGCGTCTTTTCGTAGTAGTGTTGGTACGTCCGCGATCTCGACAGTCTAGACTTTCCCTCTTCAGAGACTAATACCGACGTCGATTTTGCTAAAAAGTCACACGAGCAACGCGAGCTATTTATCAATAATATATAGGAAATTCGACCAACTTCGCTGTTGCTGAAGCGGGATCGACCAATACTGCAGTGCTGCTGCCGGATGTGGCCTTCGTGCCACGCTGCCCAATCGGATTCATTTTCTATCTATAATGTCGGTGGTAAAGTCCAATTCGCAGCTCGATACATGCACGTTAACGAAAAACCCTAGGGCTCGGTAACGCTACTTTTCCCGCTTATTCTCTATAGACACACCTGCTATTTCCGAACTCATATGACGGATTTATGATTTATTATATAAATGTTTGTTGGATATATTTCAATTTTATTAACGTTACTTTTTAATGAAGACAAATTTCAATTTAAATACTTTTAGATTAATTTTTAACAAAGATGTTTAAATATATGTACAGTGCAAAATAAAACAATATGTTAAAAGTCAGGAAACCCACCTTAAATTCTATTCTTCATTTTGAATATATATTTTTACAATTAATAAGAAAGCAGTTCATCATGTTTGAATAACATATATCAAAAAATTAACTGAATTTAGGTTTTCTTCGGCTAAAAGTAAACGTAAGGGGAAGAGTCGCCCACCATTTGCCTTTGACGAAGAAGACCCTAAGGAAAGCCGGTGATTACACGTCAATCAAAAAGACATGCTTTTATCCTCGAGGGGTCATGATTTTGGGGGTATATGCAACCCCAAAAATCATGTCCACCCGAAAACAAAGGCATATCTAGTTTTGTTGGATCTGTAGTCATTGGTATCTGTTTGATCTGTTCATATCACGCAAATCACGTGTGGTATAGACGTGTTTCTGTATGCTGTTTGTATTTTTCATAATTAATACATAAGTCATTTAATTTATTGGTTAAACTTCGTCTTAGGGGACCAAAAATTAACGAGTCCAAAATATGTGTTCTTGTAGTTTTTGACCTGAAAAGTCCGAAAATGCAAGTTAAAAGTCCAGGAAACCAATAGTTTAAAAGATACGAGTATATAAAAATGTGTGTACTTGGCGTACTTTGACAGGACAGTACGATGTCACATTGACTCTTCCCCGCATCCAATCCTTTGTTTGGACTCTATTTGTTGGGTGTGAGTACCTTCAGTTCCTATCAAATCCGAGGGGATATTGTTTATAAAAAAAAAAACTTAACCTTAGGTATACCAGGTTTAGGCCACCACTTATATAATTCTGTTTTACCGACGGCGACTCCACTCATTGGACCAAATGGCGTCGTACTGACCTGTCAAAGTACGCCAAGTACACACATTTTCATGTACTCATATCTTTTAAACTATTGGTTTCCTGGACTTTTAACTTGCATTTTCGAATGTTTCAGGTCAAAAACTATAAGATTTGATACTTTTCATCCAGAAATTTTTGGTCCCCCAAGACGAAGTTCAGCCAATTTATTTAATATAATATAAGATAATGGATTTCTTAGTACTATTGCACATATTTGCATTTAGTATAATGGTGAGTGATAATAGTGTTGGTATATAACCTATTAAATATATGACAACTTGAATCAAATTTATTATATACAGATAAATAAATTGAAAATGTTTATAAAAAATGCAAATTTTTAATACTTATTTTCAAAGCTTTCTTGAATGGAATTTTTACTAATAATTAATAATGTGTTTTCAGATGAATATTGTGTCAACAGAATTTTCTGCTGATGACTGTAAAAGTTTAGGTTTTAATAAGGCTAATTTACTTTGTTCCACCTGCGAAGAATTCAACAAACGAGAATTAACTGAAATATGGTAAAGGAATGTGAATTTAAATAAAGATGACTATGTTTATAGAAGTACAAAAAATGTCCATAATGTTTACAGGAACAACTGTAAGGAATGTTGTTTAAAAGATGATGATTATGATACATCCGGATTAAAACGTTATCCACGCGCTATTCTTGAAGTTTGCACATGCAAGTTTGGTGCATATCCACAGATTCAAGGTAAATTTAAATTGGTGAAAAATAAAAAAAATTTTTCTACTACTAATTATATTGTTTTTAGCTTTCATAAAAAGCAATCGACCAAGCAAATATAAAAATTTACAAATAAAATATGTCAGAGGCTTGGATCCAATAATTAAGTTACTAGACGCAGATAATAAAGTTGAAGACATTCTGGACATACACAAGTGGGATACAGATTCTGTTGATGAATTCTTAGCAACTCATCTTTCTATGGACTGATAATCCTGGTAAACTTAAATGTAAATATTCATATTTTTCTAGGTAATTTATATTTGTACATTAGCTCATTTATTTACATTCTTTTTATTTGAAAAATTTTTTTAAATGTCTGAAATAAAACAATATGTCTCAATACAAAATGCTTTGCTTTGTACTGTTTATGTTGTTTATTTTATACATTCTACAATATTATTACAGAATAATCCAATGTTGGAATGAAAACATATTGAGTGATTTACAAATACAATATCATTTTTTTATTAAGTATTTTAGTAAACAATCATTGTCCTTTATGTTTCTTACACAAATAAGTAATACAAAGAAATAGTGAAAATTATATAACGTATCATTGAGATATATTGCATGGCTGTTATAGCCGACTCTTTCATGGACGCAAATATGTTTTTGGTAAATTAAATGATTTCACAGGAATTATGTTAGATACAAAGACAAGTTGCAATTTTCATAAGGTTTAATATTTAAAATGTCTTATTTGTCAGATAAAAGATCTTGTAAAGACAACTTCACTACCTTATTACAAAAGAAAAGAAATCATAACGTTTTTTAAACTCGGTGAAATACGTAATATCTTAATTTTACCGCAAGATACTTTTTAAATTTGTCAATAATATATGCCTAACAGGAATGAATCTTACACTAGTTTTATAGCATGGTTATTATTTAAAAAACCATTGACACATTTTAATTACTTCATCATTAATATTTCCTGATTATAGATAATTTCAAGACAATTTTAACGATAATACGCGGCAGCGTACCTTTCTATTTCCCTTTCTTGATCATTTTCTTTTCCAGCAAACTGTACACGCTACAATTCACCGCGAATAATTTTTCATTAAAAAAAACTTTGAATAAGCTTGGATAAAAATTCATAGTAAGTTTCTTCACATTCATCTTTGTACATGAATAGTATCCAGTATCTCCCGTTTCTATATGTAAAAAGATAGCCATACATATTGAGTTATGACACATTTTTTTTTTCCATACATCTTGTCAAAAAGTATAATAAAAAGTTAAATTACTTAAACATCGATGACTTAAAGAGATAAATCTAATGAAACCTAACAATAGATGCAAGATTAAGAGATACAATGATTATATACTACACCCAAGCTTACTCTTTATTCTGGAATAGATATCACTTTATCGTCGTGCTCTTCGTGCTCGAGGACTACCGCGTCCACGTACAAAACCTCTACCACGCGCAGGTTTTATTGGTGGATTTTGTTCCCTATCTACTTTTTGCACAGATTTTTCAATGTCAGTACTGTGTTCTTTTTCTTCTCCGTCATCAATTAAATTACCTATTTCTGCGTCATTATCGTTATCGATATCAGCCCACACTTTATCAACCGGTGTCTTCTTTTCTGGAGTATCAGTAATGTTTTGCGAGGATTGTTCACTGGCGCTCTCAATTTCACGAGGTTCTTCCTCTTCAGATTCTGCGTCAGCTTCGAGTGGATCGTATTTCTCATCACCATCAGCTTTCTTCTGCGCATTTGAATCGTCCATACTAATGTCTGTTTCTTGTTTTATTTCCATGCTATCTTCTTCTTCAGAATTAGTAACTTTACGACGTTTCCAATTTCCGTCGTAATCTTCATTGTTTTCCAGACCGCTTTCATTAAGCTAAAAACAAAGAAAAAGTATATTAAACGTTTCAACATTCATTGCGACACTAAAAAAAGTTTCTTTTTTCTCGTGATTATACCTCAGATTTTTCTGATGGTTTTTGTTCGGTAGTTTCCGCAGTTGTAGTTAAAGCTTTCACTTCTTGTACGAAATTTCTATAGTGAGTAATACTACGTAAATGAGCATTCATATCTTCGGGTAGAAGCATAAACCTCCTACATTTTTCACAGTAGAATCCTTGTACATCTTTTACTAAGGATTTTCCTACATACAAAGAATTAAAATTACGTACAAGTCAACGTATAATGAAAAATAAGCGAGGTACGATTATTTACCGATAGAAACTTGATTCTGTCGACAATATTTGTAAGAAGGTATCTTGAACTTCTTTTCACTTAAATTCTCAGTAATATCTGTAATATATTCTTGTTCCCCTTCGGCATCTTCTTCCTTTTCATTTTTAATATCAGGACCCACGTCTTTTTCCTCGTCTTCAGCAGTGCGAACTTCAGCTTCTCCTTTGGCAAGTTTTTCTACAAAACAAGACAATATTATTGGAAGGAAAAACGAGATATTTCTTAACAATAGTTACTTCTTACGTACCTTTCTTTTTATTTTTTCGCTGTTCTTCACATTGTACAGCGTTCTTCATGTGCGCGGGAGTTAAACAATGTTCATCATACTCGATACGCGAGGGGAATTCTTTCAAGCAAGGGAAACATCTTGGGTGTAAAAATGTTTTTAGTTGCTGATGTTTTTCACTTTTCCTATGCGTTGATAAAGTTCCGTAAAAGTTCAAATCGCACATCGTACAATACTCTCGCACGTTAAGATCCACCGAAACCTTATAAGAATAAAGATAAATGTAACGTGTTCATTATGATATGAAATTAGGAAATATCCTTTATACTTACTTTCTTTCCACGACGTTTTGAATTAGTCAAACTAAGTTCACGTTGTTCTTCCGCTACTCTTAATTCGTGTCTCATTAAGTCAACCTTTAATTTATATGATTCGTCTAATTTTTCCATCATCAACTGATGTGCTCGTCCTCGTAAATGATTTTCAAAGGACTAGAAAAAAGGTCAATAGTCAGATGTCTATTTTAATCAGAAGTATGTAATAAGCGAAGATTAAATACGTACATATCCATCCCACATATGTTTATTGCAGATGTGACAGAACATGTGATTCATAGGAACTTCTGCGTAACGACTTTCGGCGTGTCTAGCTTCTGATTTCTTGCCGGTCATTTTTGTATCCTTTTCAGTCATACCCGTGGCTTTCCCTGATTCATCTGTCACAGATTTATTTCCTTTTTGTTCTGAATCTTCTTCAGGCTTTTCGTCTCCTTCCTCATTTTTATCAACGTCGGTATCTACAACCTCTTTTTTCTCGTCTTTCCAATCACGTTTCATGTCTTCCGGATCTTCAGTCTCTTCGCTAATATAGAAACAAACACAAAATTTGTGTCACGCTTACTAATATTAAATCTATCGTTGATATTTTTTTAAGATAATTCAAATATTCATTTAATATGTTTTAGTACAAACAATCTTTAACATCAATAACTAAGAGATTACGAATAATATTAAGAGTCAAAAGAAGATAACTCACACTTCTAACAACTGCACAAAAATTTTCCATTTATAATTGTGAACAAATACATTGAATAGTGTGTATCAAAAGAACAGCATATGGGACATATTGTATGCGATCATGAAGTAATAGTGTTATAGATTTGTAGATAATTTAATTTAAATTTTAAATGTGAGTTGAGTTTAACCAACAATGGGGAATGAATATATCAAATGTTACTATGCAGACGTATCGTATATAAAATATATATATATATATATATGTGTGTATATATATTTCTTTTTAATCAGACAAGAAAGGGCACAATGCTAATTTTTTAGCAATTATACCGTATGTATGTAAGAAACACCATACATACAGAGATAGGTGAGAGAATGAGACTTACTGAAGTTTGAAGAAACTATTCACAATCACCAGGAGCTTACCTTTTTAAAACAGGTGCTTCTGCTTTTTCATTATCAGAGGTCTTAACGTCCTGCTGTTCCTTTTTGGCAGTCTGATTTTGTTTAGAGGCAGGAATTGGTTTAGAAGATTTATCGTTGCGATGTTGATTTTGGTTTCCATTCATACGTTGATTGCCAGACTGGGGTGCACGAGATTGTTGTGCAGATGGACCACGTCGCCCAGCAGGGCCATCACGGGCGCGATTGCCCATCTAGTCATGTAGGTCAAATGACCAAACCGTCATGAGAAGTATCTGATATAATTGCGATTCTTCTCGAATCGAATCTGGTTTTAAAAACCCATTGGGATATTTGAGGGAGAAAAATATTCTACACAATTCGGAAGCAGGACGTATTTATACAGTGTTACAACGAACACCAAAGGTCAGTATTTCCACATTAAAGTGGAAAAGGGAAAGGAAAATAGTAGTAGACCGTTGAAGATGCATTCAATCATCGCATCGTCTAACTTTGTATAGGCAATAATGATCTTGTTGATCATAGTATATATGATATTTATAAAACGCATACTTCTTCCTTTGAACACAGTTCAATAAAGTTCAATGAAAAATAATCAACAAGAAGAAGAAGCTAAATCAATGAAAAATGCAATTTGCAATCAATATTTTTGAATAATATTCTTCCATCAATTTTAGCTGCAATGATGAATAGAAGACTTGGGTTCACCAGAAGTGGACCAAGCCAGAGGAGAAATATATCTGCAAGTCTGTACTGAAATTTTCTACACAAAGCCAACATTAACTTCCACTATTAAAAACGTGAAATTGTATATTGAAATCAATCACACGTCTTGTTATGGTGTTTTCAAATGAAATAACTTTGCGATCGTACTTAATTCATCGACGAAAATCGTGTGCAACAAAACTACTCCAACAATAAGAATTGTTTATGTTTAATAACTTCAGAGGATAGCTATATAGTATTGTCATCCATTGACTGAAAACCTTATTAGTGAGTCAATCAATGAACATAAGAAAGAAAATTTCTAACTTTCACGATAAGGATTGATGTTGTTGATGTAAAAAAAAAATATGTGTGGATCAAAGATTGCCTCTAAAATTTCCATTTGAAAAGATCCACGTTTTAAATAAAAATTATAATAGTCATACCTTGTTATATGGTTGCGGTCGTTGATTCTTCATTGGGTGCCTAATGGGACGATCATTAAAACGTCCAGAAGAAAAGTTTTGTTGATTTGGAAAGTTTGGACCTGGCCCAGAAAAATTATTGCCAAGGCTGAGAAGCGATGGTACTTGCTAAAAGTACAAAATTCCATTAATCAAATTTGTAACAATCGCAAGTAACAGTTTTAAGAAAAATCTTTTTACCTGTGGTTGTACTTCTTGTTGGGTACGTAATAAATTTGTAAGAAGATTGCTAGCTATGGCTAACTGTGCTTGTGGTGACGCTAAAGACAAATTATTGTTAGGTGTTGGTAAAATTCCTCTACCAGGCATCATCCCACCTTCCCAAGGGTTCATTCCACCGCTTCCACTGCCTCCACCACCACCTCCTCCTCCTCCTCCACCCATTCCACCACCCATATTGCCACCCATACCACCTCCACCTCCACCCATGTTACCAACTCTGCCTCCACTGCCACCACCACCTCCTCCGCCACCTCCTCGATTACTAAAGCTTCGATTCCCAAAGGGATCACGCTTCATTCCTCGGTTGAAAGACATTTTACCTAGAAATTAAATATATCTTAAATATTGTACAATGTTATACAATAATGCTTCCTATTATCGTTATTACTTCAGTAGATCATTTTCAAAAATAGCAGTTCAGTTATAATATTTGATTAGTATTTAATCCATATTAAAAATTACATTATTTTATGATACAAAATTGAATTTTTACATTGCAAATCTGTAATACGTAAGTGGAGCACGAAGGGGCGTCGAATTCCGATATGAAAAGCTAGAGAATTTCTAATATTTCAATCACTTAGGTTTTTACTTATAAAAAAAAAATAAGCAATTAAAGTAAATCAATTTTACATAAATCATATAAATAAATATAATATGCGATAAAAGAAATTATTCCTTATTTCTTCAACCGATGTGTTACATACCAAACGACGCCGTACAATGTGACTAAGTGCTAAGTTTCAAAAACGTTTATTATCGCATGAATTTCTATCCATTTTAAGTTACAGTTATACATATAATGTTTTATAATGTTTAATGTGAAATCTTTACTTTAAATTAGACAAAAAGGTAAGGAATTACGTACCGGAAAAACGGTATTCTCGACAATACCACACAAAAATGAGACAAAACGCAGCGCACAAGGAAATGGAGTCACTAAGCGTCTTCCATAAATTAGAACGAGAAAAGCAGAGTTCTGAATGATCGACACTGAAACCAATTCCTGTTTTTTAATTGGTTGAATTTCTGTTGATTTAACTGCATACATATGAATTAGCTTTTAATATATATAATCTTCATAAAGAAAATAATATTATTTCAAAGTATCAGAAGTAGTATTGCTATTGATACCATGGATTGTTTCATAGTATCATTAGAAAAGAAAATATATTATATACTACTTTGAATCTTTGCAATACTAAGCAATAAATAATTTCTATGTAACGATTAATTTGAAGCGTTAACCCCCTTTGTTTCTAATTTGAATTAAACTAATGAATTGATCCCTTGTTCTAAATACATGCATTCATACATTATATGTAATGGCTGCACGCAAAAATTGTAATTAGCAATGATTTACGCTTAAAAAAAGAGGAATTCGTAGACCTATGGACTTTCCATCAGGGGTTTCACGGAATTCCACGGAATTTTTAACTCTTACCTACGGCTTTTGTAAGTTAAACGTGGTAACACTGTATGCAGGTAACGGTGCTACTCCACGTGCAAATCATAAATTATAAAAAGCGTCTGGGGACATTGTTAACTGTCTTATTTTTCCGGTAACCAAATATTAGAAATGTTTAAACTTTATTGCTAAATTTTTCAATAATTTCACTTAAATATTTTTGTTTAAGCAGAACTGACCAACATTTAAGAAAACTAAAATACATTATATAGTAATCTTCTTGTAGTAAATAATCTATTAGCAATACCCGGTGTTTGTAAAATAAACTAACAACAAGGTTTTTAAACATTGCTTTATGTATGTAATATTTTTAGGAATTAATTTGTTTATTTGATGGTGAAACATAATGACAAATCAAAGACCAGTTTCTTGTGGTCTTGACTTCTGTGCTGTACCAGATTTAAGTCAGTGTCTCTTTACAGCAAATTCATCTAAGTAAGTTGTAAAAATGGTTAACAAATACTGTTTCTTCACTTTTATTAACCAAGGAAATGATATTTCCAGATATGAATTTATATGCGCTCCACTTGTTCATCCATTATACAAAAGAGAATTTGTGTCTGGTGTTGCAAAGAACCGTACAGGTCCATTTACCAGACCAGACTTAGTATTGTGCAGCTCTGGTAAGTAAATTAATTAATGTACAGTAGTTTTGGAATAATATAATCATTCTTTATTTTACAGATTGGAATAATTTAATCATTGGTAAATTATCACCGCATATTAAGGTTGATTCCAAAAATCCTGTCTTAAGAAAAAACAGTGAAGAAACATTAATTCAGGAACTAACTTTGGCAAGCCATTTAGGTCTGGTTGGAGTTACTTTTAAATTGACAAGAGGAATAGAACACAATGCAAATCTTGCTAGAATTATCTGTGATAAAGTATCAAGCCCCTGTGGCTTACAGGTATATATATAAATAACATTTTATTCACCACAGGGTTATAACATATGTATCTTTTTTATCTTTTTATAGGTTTGGATACAAGTACCTATGGAAAATCCAATTAAACAAGCTCATTCCTACAGAGAAGAAGAATATGATTCGGTAGAAAGTCCATGGGAGTGGTGGAATGATTTTAGAGCAATTTGTGATTATGATAGGAAGTTAGGTGTTGCATTAATTGTAAGCCATGATCTTCCAGAACAAGAAGAGGTAATTTAAATATTTTGTATATATATTATTAAGAACATAGAAACCCAGATCTAATGAAGCTTACTCAATTATAAGATTGACAAGTGGCTAGGAGAACCAGTTAAATGTTTGATCTTTCCAACGACATCATTTATTACAAATAAAAAAGGATTTCCTGTTTTGAGTAAGGCGCACCAAGCATTGGTGAAAAAATTTTCTATGCTAGAAGTACAGTTTGTACTCACAGGAGCAAATAGGCATCAAAATATTAGTTACTATCATGATTATTTGGAATACTTATGGAAGGTAAAGTTGCATTTATTTTCATAAAATGTTAAGCGACAAAAATTTATTTTAAACAAATCATCTTAATATTAATGATTTTATGGAGGGATGTCAGATGGGCGGACCAGTAGAAAGATTCGCGCGTGGTTACGAAGATTATTTACAATGCCCTTTGCAACCACTTATGGATAATCTTGAATCTCAAACGTATGAAATATTTGAAAAAGACCCTGTTAAGTACACACAGTATCAAACAGCTATATATCAAGCGATTCTTAAGATTATGTCCACAGAGGAAGATAAAAGTAGAAAAATGTAATATATACAATGTAAATTATGTAAATTAACCATACAAAATACAAAATCATATTTTGATTTTAGAATAATAATGGTAGTTGGTGCTGGAAGAGGACCACTTGTTCACGCATCTCTAAACGCCGCAGAAATGGCGAACCAACAAATCAAAGTATATGCTGTAGAAAAAAATCCTAATGCAGTATTAACGTAAGATTTCGATTGTTTAAAATGTTTTCATTCATTGCTTGCAGTAATTCATTTTATATATAGCTTGCAGGCACTCGAAAGGGATGTCTGGGAGGACAAAGTAACAGTAGTCTCTTGTGATATGAGGGATTGGAAAGCTCCTGAAGAGGCTGATATTTTAGTCTCTGAATTACTTGGTTCTTTTGGTGATAATGAACTCTCCCCAGAATGTTTGGATGGGGTACAACGATTTCTAAAAGGTATACGTTTAATTATATTGAAAATGTTACTTTTTTTTGCTATTAATTATTAAACACCTTGACATCATATTAGACGATGGTATAAGTATACCGTGTTCATATACTTCGTATATTGCCCCTGTGCAATCTTCGAAATTATTCAATGAAGTAAAACAATGTAAAGATAAAGATAAACATCCTTTGGCTCATTTTGAAACATCCTATGTAGTCCATCTTCAAAATAAGTACGATATAGCTAAACCACAACCTTTATTTACATTTAGACATCCAAACAAAGGTTAGTAAGTGAATAATATTTATACATTTATGATTTTAAAATGTAAGTTACCACTGTTTTTTATTCTAGACAGTGTTATCGATAATTCCCGATATGAGATAAAAACGTTCGAGGTCCAACAAAATTCTGTATTACATGGTTTTTCCGGGTATTTTGATACAGTTTTATTCAAAGATGTTACACTAAGCATACAGCCCAGCACGCGCAGTCCTGGAATGTTTAGTTGGTTCCCTATCTTTTTTCCAATTAAGGTAAGACAAATTTTTATGATAAAAATTGAAAATCACTAATACGTATGATTTATTACTAAAGGAACCAGTACAATTAAAAGCAGGGGACCAAATAGTTGTTCATTTTTGGCGTCAATGTAGCTCTAAAAATGTTTGGTATGAATGGTGTATTAGCAAACCTATCGCGGTACCTGTTCATAATCCAAATGGTCGTTCTTATACAATAGGTTTATAGTTTAGTATTTTTATAATTGAATTGTCTCGAAAAAAAATATAATGTTAAGGTATCTTCGTGACGTTGCTGTGACGAAAATTCTTTTGAAGAATTTTTTGCAGGAGATAATTATAGTATTTTGTAATTTAAATATTTGTTAGGAATATCATTTTTAATTAATATAAAAATATTAAATTGTAATTAAAATATCATTAAAATCTAATGTCACACACCAGTATGAATTTGTCAAGATGCATTATGGAGATAGTTCAATAAATGTTCTTAGAATAGAATCTTATGTTTTTGTTTGTGTATTAATCGTATGGACGCCGAGGTCACCGAGACTGTACAACTTTGATAACATAAATTACAAGTTATCTATCAAGTGTGCGTCTGCCAACCTTTTAACCTCACGTGATCTGATCTAAAATTTCAATAACATTATGTGTTCTCTAAAAATTGTTAAAAATAAAAGAAAATAGTAATTTCATTTATGTTATACAAATTAAAGCAATGGATAAATTGAATATGTACTATTTAATCGTATATTATGTAGGAATTTTTTATATTTTTCGTATAAAGTTTTCGTAATGTATTAACAACTTTTTAGTCAAATAATAAATGATACAATTATTAAATATCGAGCACGTTGCCACACGTGATTGCCTATTAAGCAATTATTCACACGATATATATACATATATACATATATTTGTTCCGTATTTGAATTGCCTAATGATGAAATATATTTTGCGAGATAACGATAATCGATTGTACAAGAAACATACAGAAATTTCTTAACATTCATTCGAATCGCGCCTTTTCGTTCATATTAAGTACTCACTAGCAGCACTACGGAAAATTGATGAACTTGGTTAAAGACGAAATATTGCGGACATCACAGATACAGTGAGGTTAAACATTTTAATTATTTTAAGACACAATAAATTAAACTTAAAATGGCAAAAGTAATTGCACGAATGACAAAATACACGGCCAGGACATTTCCATGTGTTTCAAGAGAAAATTTATTCACATTAACCTCTACAAAAGTTTCATTTAATGTTTCACGTTCCATCGCTACTACTCGATGTTTGAGAGCGGGTAAGTTTAAAAAATTATTTGGTTTAGAAATTTAAACAAATTTGGATATCGTTAACAATGTGCTTACAAATAAGATATTAATGAAATATTTTTAATTTTTAGATAGACTGTTCACAAAAAGACACGAATGGATAATAATTGATGGTAAAATAGGTACAGTTGGAATATCCAATTATGCACAGGAATCTTTAGGTGATGTTGTTTATGCTCAACTTCCAGATGTTGAAAATGAAATAGAAAAAGAAGGTCAGAATACTTATATATATATATACATATATGCATACATATTTCGTATAATCAAAAAAGAAAGTTTTGGTAACTTTTTATTTAATTGAATTTAATTTTACAGCTGAGTGTGGAGCATTAGAGTCAGTAAAAGCTGCTTCTGAATTATATAGTCCTGTCAGTGGAAAAGTAATAGAAAAAAATGAAGCAGTTGAAAAAACACCCAGTTTAATTAACAGTTCTTGTTATGAAAAAGGATGGTTGTTTAAAGTAGAGTTAAAAAACCCAGATGAAATTAAGGATCTTATGAATGAAGAATCATATAATTTATATTTGAAATCTGATCCACATTAAATATATTATGTCAGTGCCATGTGTGAAGTTAGTATTGAGTTGCAATTTAATTTTTATTGTTCCTAGTAATTTATCATAAATTAAAAAATGTGTAAATATTTTCATCTCTTGTAAATCATTACCATTTTTTATCTCACATGCTACTATATCGACTACGATTGGCATTGTATCGCAGCACTATTAGCGGTGGGAATTGAAATCAAAAATACATTTTACTTTAAAATATTTTTATTTTAAAATTTTCCAAGTTTTACTTATGACTTTATTGAAAATATAAAATATAAATAAAGATAGAATCTTTATTTTGTTTAAAAAAATAAAAGATCTATTTTTAATGTTCAATATTCATATAAATGTAAACTACACTTATACAGCATTTATTTGTACACTTTCTTTATCATGTTCTTTATTTTCTGCTTCAATTATAGATTGATATATTTCTTGCCATAACAGCTTATTTAAATTTTGTACATTTTCATTTTTATAAGAAAAATGATGAATGTACTTTTTTTGATTTTTCACATCTGATATTACAATTAAGGATATATTGTGATAAATTTTATTTGCACTGAAGTTATTCATAATTAAACACAAACATAGTCTTTACAATACAAAAAGGATACAACCTCTAACATTTTCTTTAAATGTTTCAAAATCCCACCGTATTCCACTTAATTCTTTGTACAGTGTATATTTTCTTCTGTAATTGTTACAATAACAGAAATGTAAAACAATGATGTATCCTTAAGTAATTATGTTAAATTACAAACCTTCCCTGATCTAATAATTTTTGATCTTTCAAATTTCGCTTACAGTTTTTTAATTTATTCCTCTGTAATTCTAATAACTGATTTTCTTCTAAAAATTTCATTTTTTCTGCCTTTAGCTTTGCCTTTGAAAATAATAAATCTTAATTTCTGATTATGAAGAAATAAAAAATTATATTAAATATATATAAATAATTACTATAAAGTCTAAATGTTTAGATAAATCATGATCCTTATACTCCAATGCCTGTTTCTCACATTGAAGATTTTCCTTCATTGAGGTTACTTTTATTGTTAGTTCTTGGATCTTTATTTCATTTTCTAAAAATGAAAAAGTCTATATTTCTATATATAAAGAGAAATCCAAACTACGTTGCGATGAATTACCATTCCAATATTTTTGTTTTTGTTTCACTTCATCAATTAATTTTATTTGTTTTTGTAATAAATCTTTAATCTGTGAATTGGAAACTTTTACATGCTTATCTTTGAAAGATAATATAACATCCATTATGATTACAACAATATTATTACTAACACATTCGAAAGAAGAATATAATTCTGTTGATACAAATTTTTAAAATCAGTTAGCTTCGATTACACATTTAAACTTTTGCTATACAGTACTATACACGGTTACCAATAGCAAGTTAACGTATTTTCATAGACTATTATATATGTATATATAAAACACATTCCCACTGCAATAGCTAACCGCAAACAAAATATAAAATAGACCTATCACACAATGCGCTTTTGTGTCTTGTGTCTCACGGGTTTTAGAAACCCCATACCATCTTTATGTCACATCCTGCTATATCAACTACACTTTGTTTTCACAATTTAAGGTGATGCGAGCGTCGAGGCCGATTCTCATTTCTACACAAAATGCAAAAGAAATTTGAGTAACGTGTTCAGGAGGCTCTAAAGAATATTAGTCTGGTCCTTATATTATCCAAATCGTCAAAAAGTTATAAAATATTGAAATTGCTGTCTATCAACGGTCAAGAAAATGGCGGATCGGACTCACCTACATTGATTTATTCGTAATATAAACATTTCTGCCAATAGTTTGGCCAAATAGGCACCAGACTAATATTCTTTGGACCTGATAGAATAAAACGAGCACCCAAGGGATGATGTACAAGTCTCCAGGAAGAAGTATTTAGAGAACTACGATTTCGTTGATTGTTCACACGCGAAAGACGTCAACAAGGTAAAACAGACCAGAAATTTAGTTTCTTGTTCATTCTGTAGGGCGCAGTTCGTTCGTTTGATTAATAAACAATTGTAAAATTAAAAATAATAATTAAATAATTTTTAATAGAATAATTAAACAAAATTTTGCAATATACCCACGCGGAAATGTAAAGAAATAAACAATTTAAATAGATATAACAATAATTTGATTAATAAACAATTGTAAAATATAAAATAATAATTAAACAAATATTAACAAATATCAGATAGAAATAGTTAAATCTGCGGAACCGGTGAAGCGGAACGTCATGCTTGATTGCGCGCGCCGCGCGCCGGTACGAGCGCGACCTGGAGGAAGGTCAACTCTAGTCAGTCTTATCGCGACCGCCGAAGGATACGGATTGAGTTGTCAAACATATAACGGTAAGGGTTAACACCATGGATATTCGTGCATGGATTTATCAATGTATTACCACAAGTGTTATTGTGTGTGCCTATGGTGTTTCCTATAGTGTTTTCCATGTGTTTTGAAATATTTATACGGATATATTAGTGCGTTTTATGGTGTGGTCACCCATGTGTTCTGACATTTTTATACAAGTGTATTAGTGTGCCGTGTGGTGTGGTACCCCATGTACCTGCATGTGCTTTATTGTGTTTTATGGTGTGGTTCCCTATGTGCTTTGGCATATTTTTACGGATTTATTAGTGAGTTTTATGGAGTGGTACCCTATGTGTTTTGGCATATTTATACGGATTTATTAGTGGGTTTTATGGAGTAGTACCCTATGTGTTTTGGCATATTTATACGGATTTATTAGTAGGTTTTATGGAGTGGTACCCCAGGTGTTTTACTACAATTTTGCAAATATTTTATGGTGTTCTATGGTTTTGATCTTCATGTGTTTTGGGATGTATTTATTTGCATGTGTTTTACCGTATTTTATGATGTAGTTATTCCCATATAGTTTTGCATGCATATTTTTAAATTATAGTATGTATTAGCATATTAACTACAACAAATTGAGAGAAAACATATATCGTTCAAGAATCGTGATTTTTATGCTTCTAGATGAGTGCTTTGGCCAGTGGGGGTACCGTTTCTTTGACGAGCCAACACTCGAGCTATGGATCAGTCTAAGATGCGTGACGAGTGCAGTGGTGCAAGTCAACGATCGGTGAGTCGCATGCTTTAAAGTTCCTCCGGTTCCCATCATGTCGTAGGACGAATGGTCCGTAGCGACACGGGAATTGGTTGTAATTTTTATTTTTTGAGCGAGCATAGTGACCCACGAATATCACTGTATCATTTTATACAATGATAATCGTGCAAATTGCTTTTTTGTGTATTTTATGCCTTAGCTCAGGATAGGGTTTTCTTGTACATATTTACATATATAGATTTCGAGTTTAAAAATGTAGAGAAGTCGGATGACCCTCCGACTTCACAATACACTTTCTTTTTTATATGTACAAGAATTTATTTCGCGATGAGCGGATTTCAATATCAAAGTAATAAGCATGAATACTATTAATTATTATAACTACTTACTTTGATAACGAAATCGCTCTTGAAATTGAAACGTTTTTCCGATTTTACTCGTGAAATTGGCATCAGTTTAGTATATGGGCTGGCCCCCAGGGGGGTCGGTATTTGCTCTTCAAGCATTGTATAAAGTTCCCCTTTCGAACTTGAAATTCATTCTATCACGTTCACGGTTCTCGACCATAAACACTCATCATTCGCACTTCAGCCTCCCGAACTCTATCACATAATCATTTATCCACACGCATAGCCTTGTGTAGTGAAATATTACCCCGTTAGAATTTTCAAGTTTAAGTAGTGTTGCGAAAAATTTTCAACGCGAGAGTAAATAATACCCCGTTAGGATTTTCTATTTTAATTAGTGTTGCGAAAAATTTCCGGCGCGAGAGTAAATATGACTATACACTGACTAGTATTCGGTGGGAATCCTTTTGGTTTTTATTTGATAAAATTAGTTACAAGGATTCCGCGGCATAAGACCGTGAAACACCATCTCATGGGAGATAAACCCATGCATTACTAGGCCTTTGCAGGCGCAGCTTTAGAATACGGAACATATGAAAATATGTTACCATATTCTAAACTGTAGTCTTTTTGTCTATACTATGGGCGTCCGTCAATCTGACACCGTTGGATGCAACGTGTTGGACGGGCGGGTAGCGCTCTTAGCGAAGGGGTGCATCCTGTCCTGGCGTTACGACGTCCAGGCGGGGTGGGTGGTATGTAGCGTCGGGCGCAAGTCCAGGGGGCCTAAGAACCTCCGTTGCCAGCTAATATTAGCAGTGCACCGTGTTTTATGTCATAGTTGCTCAATTTTGCTTTTCTGTATTTGCTCTTCAAGCTTTATATTTGCAAAGTCGAGTCACTTTTATTAAAAATAAAACCCCTTGGGGGGGCCAGCCCATATACTAAATCGGAGCCGTGAAATTTCGCCGATATTCTTACTTTTAATAAAGTGAGAATATCATCTTTAGTTTTTGCTAATCATACGTTTTAGCTTAGGCATTTCAGCACACATGAAGAAAACTGGTAGGTGAAAATACCTTTGGCCTTGTTCATTTTTATGCCCAAAGCTCATTCGGGTACTTAGATGTACTCGCGTGGGTGGAGGGCGGTGGACAAGGTTTAGTTTTAAGTGTAATACATTTTGGCGACTGACAAAAGTAGTGAACCAATAGTGAACCACGATAGAAATTCCACATGTGTGTGTGTGGTTAGGATGTGGGATTTGTATCGTTTATTAACAATCTTAACTTACTATAACATTACAAAATACTTATCAAGAATAAATTGAAAAATTTTTACATTAGATAATTCAATAGAATACGAAAATGAAATGTATTACTTTAGCATAATGTTCACTATTATTTGTCAGTCGATTTCAGCAAAAAGGTATGATTTTATTAGAGTGTGAAAGTTGAATTGAACTCGGGTGTCGGAGGCGTCCCGGGACGTTCTCCCTAGGTGTAGGCATATTTGCACCCGGGTGGTTGTATGAGAACCGTGGAGTGAATTTTTGTGAGAATGATTTTTGCCCTTTTTTAAATATAGCGATAGGCAGGCAGGTAGTTTACTTCTGGTGTGATTGAGTTTAGTTTATAAGTAGGCAGGGCCAGAGCAAGCTTTCATGTTTCTCTTCGTATTCTCCTCTAATACGTGAGAAGCTTGTATCTGGGGTTGGAAATTAAAAAATCGAGAGGAAAAATGAAAATGCAAATTAATTAGTTGATTAATTAATTAATTTAGCATTCTCTCTTGATTTTTTCAAGGCCAAGCCTTATTAGTTTGTAAGTCGTAGTCGTGGTACTAGACCCGATTACAAAAATGAAGTATTAAAGTGAAAGTGAAGTGAAGTGAAGTGAAATTAAAAAGTGTTTTGTGCTTGGACATTTGCAAAAATTGTGCAGGTATGCGAGTAGCGATTCAAGGGATCGTTGCTCGTTTACCTGTTACGTTTTTACAAATGTCTGAGCAAACGTAAAATTTTCGCGAGTGATTTTTGTGAGGCTATTGCCGAAGAAAGAAGAGGCTATATGCTGAAGAGCCCCGGCAAAATTTGCCCTGAAGAGGGGAACTACTAATGGCTCTCCATCTTCGGATGGACAGTCATTCTGTCACTATGCTCGCTAATTTGATTTTTCATTTTTTGTATTTTTTTCCTTGAACGGTATGAATAATACCGTCCAGGACGTATTGAACTCGACATTTTACGAGTTCAATACCCAGCTCGTTGAATGGTCAACTCGCGATTTTATTTCCCCTATTTCTTTTTGGTTTATTATTTTATTGCAATAAATTATTCTTTTCTTATTGAAATTTTTATTTAAATCCTGATCCTAATAATTATATTTTCTATTACAGGATTTATTGTTGAAATTATTATTTTATGTTGTCAGTTTTGGGAGGTTTTATTTTGGCACTATTTTATTTCAGGAAATTATTCTTTTCTTATAGGTTTTCTTATTCTGTTTCCCCATTCTACCGTTTCAATTTCGACTGAGATTATGATGTTAATAATCATATTTTGTATTGCAGCATTTTATTGTTTAATTGTTATTTTCTCAATTGTTGCTGAAATTATGGTATTAATTATATTTTCTGTTTCACCATTTTACTGTTGAAATTTTTATTGAAATTTTTATTTAAATCCTGATCCTAATAATTATGTTTTCTATTACAGGATTTATTGTTGAAATTATTATTTTATGTTGTCAGTTTTGGGAGGTTTTATTTTGGCACTATTTTATTTCAGGAAATTATTCTTTTCTTATAGGTTTTCTTATTGTTTCCCCATTCTACCGTTTCAATTTCGACTGAGATTATGATGTTAATAATCATATTTTGTATTACAGCATTTTATTGTTTAATTGCTATTTTCTCAATTGTTGCTGAAATTATGGTATTAATTATATTTTCTGTTTCACCATTTTACTGTTGAAATTTTTATTGAAATTTTGATCTTAATAATTGTTTCCTATTACAGTATTATATTGTTGATTATTTTATTGTTTTATTTTATTGTATATATTTTATTGTTATTATTATTTTCTCAATTATTACTGAAATTATAATGTTAATTATGTTTTCTGTTTCAACATTTTGTTATTTAAATTGGTATTTTATGTTGACTGTTTTGTACTATTTTATAATTTTAGAGTGGGTCACCAATGTAGCCACCTCCACGTGGTGTGACCTGGTAATTGATATCGTTTTCTAAAGATAACTTTTAGAAAGCGATATCAAGCTAAGGGCTACGATAAAAAGATTTATATATTTTTTAACTGTGAAACAATAGTTTAAATTCAGAAAAGTATTTTCGGGATTGCAATTTTACGAGTTTAATACCAAGCTTTTGTTAAGTTTCACCGAATCACGATTTTATTTTCCCTTTTTTCTTTAATTTATTATTTTATTTCGGGGAATTATTCTTATCTCGTATTCTGATTTTAAATATTTTCAAATATTTTCTCATTTATTGAGCTCTTTTTGTTTATTTCATTCTTTTCTTTGAAAAGATCCATCGATCCTTCAGCCCCGATGAAGTTCCTACAATCACCGTCCTAAATCGTAGAGTGCGCCACAAAATGGCTGCCAAAGTTGGGGTTTTAAGCTGTGTCGGTATTATAGAACATGTAACACAAATTCTCATGAGATGGTAGTTCTATTCTATACCTTGTCTATGATATGTATAGATCATTCACACCAATTTACACATGGTATATACATATATATATATTTATATATAATATACATGAATGTCTGACGGTGCACTTTATGCACGTTTGTAGTTACTAGTGAAAAAACATTTTATAAATTAAGTTCGTTAAGTAATACAAATTTATAACTCATAAATATATTAAAAAGATAGAAGTATGCCTCAATACTCGAGTACGTATTGTAATAATCGCAAATTTCGAAAGATCTAACCTTAAATTTTTTATTCTATCCTTTATCGAACGGTTTTCAGTTATCTGAAATTTAAAAATATTTCATTTCAGTTAAAGTAAAGTGGGGAAAAGAACTCTTTCCCAATGTAGAAGTTAATACAGATGAAGAACCAATGTTGTTCAAAGCACAACTTTTTGCACTGACAGGAGTGCAACCAGAAAGGCAAAAAGTTATGTTAAAAGGAATGACATTAAAGGATGATGATTGGGGAAACATTAAGTTAAAAGATGTAAGAAAAAGATTCCGGTTATCAGTGTTAATATCTCTATTAATAATGAACATATATCATCATTGGAATTGAAACATAAAAATCTTTTTAATTTAATTATTAAATTTTTATCTCTTTAAGGGCATCACTGTATTAATGATGGGTTCCAAAGAAGAGGATGTACCAGTAGAACCTACTGAAAAGCCATTATTTTTGGAAGATATGAATGAATCTGAATTAGCCACTGCTTTAGATTTACCAGCTGGTTTGACAAATTTAGGAAATACTTGTTATCTTAATGCAACTGTGCAATGCCTAAAAACTGTCCCTGAGTTGCGGGATGCTCTAAAGAACTTTTCAGGAGGGCTTGCAGCTTCTGTTAGTTCATCGCTTGTACCTGCGCAAAGTATAACTGCTGCATTAAGAGATCTTTACAATAGCATGGATAAAGGCTCATCTTTGCCACCTGTTGTTCTTCTCCAAATGATGCATTCAGCATTTCCAAGATTTGCTGAGAAATCTGAACATGGTAGATTTCAACAGCAAGATGCTAACGAGTGTTGGACTGAGCTCATTAGGATGTTGCAACAAAAATTACCAGCAAAGGTAGTTGAATATTTATTCTATACATGTTTGATTAAATGATTTATTTAATAGTGTATTATTACATATATTTTATTTCAGAAAAATAAAACCGGATATTTGTTAGGTTTAATATATCGCATCTTTTTAAATTAAAACAAATTAATAAATGTAAAATAATTATAGGAAAATCCAGTTACTTCAGAAGATAATGGACAGACTTATAAACCTCGATCATTAATTGAACAATATTTTGGAGGAACATTTGATACAGAATTAAAATGTATAGAATGTGAAGATGAGCCACCTACTAAAGGGAAGGAAGAATTTTTACAATTGAGTTGTTTCATTTCAACAGAAGTTAAATACATGCATTCTGGACTTAGGAATAAAATGCAAGAACAACTTACTAAAATGTCACCGACTCTAGGTAGAGATGCAATGTATACAAAAACGGTAATAGATTTTATTTAATGCAATGATTAAATTCTACGTTTAAACAAACCTATCCTTTCTGTTAATATTAAAAATATATTTTACAGTCGAAAATTAGCAGATTGCCGGCATATTTAACAATTCAATTTGTACGTTTTTATTATAAAGAAAAAGAAGCGATTAATGCGAAAATTCTCAAAGATGTGAAATTTCCTCTTGAATTTGATGCTTTTGAATTGTGTGGCAGTGAACTTCAAAGTAAACTTACTCCAATGCGCGAGAAGTTTAAGGTATATGAAGATAGTTTACTGGAAGAATCACACTCTATGAAAGATAAAAAGGACAAGGTAGACAATGATAAGAAGAAATATAAACAAGAAGCTTTTTGGTTTGCAAATGGTAATACCTGTACTCAAATTAGACATGAGTTATATACTAAGATATTTTCTTTTAATATGTATATACCTTATATCAGATTATTGTAATTTCAGATATAGGGTCAAATAACAGTGGTTATTATACATTACAAGCGGTACTAACACATAGAGGACGATCAAGCAGCAGCGGTCATTATGTTGCTTGGGTTCGTCAAAAAAGTGATACTTGGTTAAAGTGTGATGATGAAACTGTTAGCGCTGTTACTAGTGAGGAAGTATTAAAACTTAGCGGTGGTGGTGACTGGCATTGCGCATACGTTCTTTTATATGGTCCAAAAATTTTAGAAGTACCTGATACAGATAACAATGAGGATTCAGTTACCAAGTAACTCGAATTTTAAAGACTAAAGTAACTGAAACAAAATTTCTACTCTGCATCTATTAGAAAAAATGCATTTCCTTTTTTTTTATACAGTTGAACATCCTAATATAATTTTAATGTTATAATATTATACTATTTGCAAAATTGGTGGCAGTTATTTACTACCTACCGAATCATAAAGATGTCGTACATTACATACATAATTCTGCATGATATGCAATTGCCAGAACTATGCATTCATTGATTCTATACGCTTAAACAAAAAAAACAAAAATGGTAATAATGAGTCTGTAGAAATACAAATGAATAATTATTGTAAACCATTAAAATGTTTTTTTTTTTTATAATAATACAATAAAATTACAACTGAAATTAGAACCATTCTAGATATTTATATTGCTTTTATTTACAGAATATAGTAGATAAAAATTTGTCAATGTAAAAATATTAGGAAAATTTCGAACTACAATATAAAATAAGATAATTTTTGTCCTTTTTTACCTCATTTCAGGTGTAAATTTATTAAAAGATTTAAACCATCAAGATATTTTATCTCTGTGTTAGGTCTACTACTTTTTGGAAAAGAAGTAATTCAGAAGTTACATATACAATGTTGTTTGAGTGTTATTAAAAAATCATTTTCCATATGTTATATGCAATTAATTTGCAATATATATTTTTATTATTTTCAAATATATTAATATTAAATTGGAATAGTGAAGAAACATTAAACTTGATAAGAATATTTTGAATCAACAATGATGTATTTGTATATAAAGACAATTGGATATAAGGTAAGCTGATAATGTGATAAATGAAATATATATATATACACATGTATAAAAGTAAGATACGATATATTCTTATACGTTGCTGCACACATGTGCCTATAAATATATGTATATGTGTGAAAAAAGTAAAGTAGATAATTTGAAATAGGTAAGCAGTATAGTCTCAGATACCAATAGTTACGGTTCTCAGTATTACATTTATCGCGTAATTCACAAAAAAATAACGTGGTGTACGTTTAAATTATTTTCACGTGAATGTACCAGCTTAATTATTTGCAATGCATTCTAAAACATTTCGCAATGGAATCCTCCAACGTTTCTTCAGTAGATATTTCAGGTAATAATTAAATAGTTACATATAGCAACAATATATCTCCTATTATTTAACTGATCGATAATGTACATTACCTATCGCGGTGTATGCTATTTCAACGCGTTGATGTTTTCAAACGTTTGTATTGAGATATACATTAGTGTCTGACAGTGAAATGCTTATCTGTAAGTGCTATACAAATTCAATGAAACGGTTCGGTAATTGGTATAATAAAATTAGAAAAATACGATAGCATTGTTCTTTATACAAAATTCTAGTATTTTTTGTTGATTTTTTTCATTGAAATTACTAAATAAGTTTATATACACTATTTCTCAATTTTATTTACGTCAGGAATTAAAATTTAAATTATAATCTTATATCTTTTTTAAAACTAAAAAATATGTACTTTGAAAGGAAAACATGCGTTTTGTTATTTTCGTTTATTATCATTTAATTTTTTTTTTAATATATTGGCAAATATGGTTCATTTTTTGTTTAATACAAATTAAATTGACAAGGAAGTTCTAATACATTAATCAATTATGTTACCTAATTTTCTCAACAACTTGAATTTTTAAATTATCGAAGAATTAAAATATTTATTTTAAAAATCATGATGAAAAGAATAATGTTTTATCCCATTTATTAAAACAGGACATATGTATGAATAAAAAAATTATGCATATATATAGTAATTCAAGCGATTTGCATCTTTTGTTGGGGATGGTAAAGGTTCGGTCGAGATCGGCTTTATAGCCGAACTCAACCGAAAGCTGTATTCCGCTGGATACCTTCACCATGGGTGTTTTCACCTCCCCGTCGGTTTCTCATGAGAAGTTTGTTCGTCTTTTGTGTTTATTTTCCAGAAAAATATAATTATAGAAGCTTTTTAAAATATTCTGCGGAATACGTTCATTTCTTAATTATATTTTTTGATGATAAATTGTGGGTGTGTCTTGTAGTTCATAGTTCTTGACATCGCACATGTGAAAATTAGGATTTTGACGGATCTGATTTAATGCAATGGCGACGTTGTTACTTTCTATTATGCTATCTACGTTTCTTTTAATGATTTTTTATTGTTGTGCTTCTGAAGACTCTCGTGATTACGCGGTGCCAGTGCTAAAATATCGACGATAAAGAAAATATTATTCTCCGGTGTAAGAGAACTTACAATGTTAAAATATTATGATGGACCGGTGAAGCAAGTTCAAATCGGGCGGGCTCTATTATTCCTAAAGCAATACTATTTTCTCTTTTCTCTATTTTCTTAGAAACATACTGCATTTATGCAATAACTTATTTTATTATCTATATTATCATCATCTTTTTTTTAAACTTATCGAAGAAAGATTGTAGAAGCACTGATTTAAAACTTAAATTTAGATTTTTATTTCGTATATCTTTAGAAATATGTTCTTATGCTTTTATTCTTTTATGCGTTTATACAGTATTTTATTCTTGATACAAGAACAGGGTATGCTTATATGTATGTGCATATGTTCGCATGATCCAAAAATGATCCGAGCGTATCATTCCAAGTGAAAATGTATAAATTATTATTCTTTATGTTGTTTAAGCAATTTATAGTTAACTAAATAAAAATCAGTAAATTGCAAAGTGATACGATAAAAAAATTTTTTTTTCTTATTTTTCCGTATTTACAATCAAGCGTTTCAAAGTGTAAATTTATTATTTCTTTCTTATATTATCCTTATTATATAATATAAAGTTACTATTTGTATAACAGCATTTTGATAATGATTGAATATTTCAATATATAATGTTACAATTGTTCGAAATAGCTTTAATGTTCCTGTAAGTAGTGTTCAATTGTAAGACTAATACTAAAATTGGTGATCTACAACCTAACTTGAAATACAGAAGGGCCATATTATGACGTCAAGCTTGGATCAGCGCGAATCTGACGAAAATGCGTACACCAATCGAGCATACCTCTGTTTTTTTATATTAGTAATGTTAGGCACAGATGAGATAAGGTGTCATTGTCGTGAATGACTATTTAAATGGACTCTTCTGTTTATTATGTTCTCTACTAAAACTTTTAAATAATTCCTAGTGAACATTTACTATGTTAGATGCCGATGAAAGAGATGCCAGTTTCTTGAGAAGAAGAGAAGCTTCGAGAAAAAAAGTTGTCAATTTTACGAATTATATCGTATTTTAAAGACTTCTCTGCATTTCTTCATTTTTTTAAAGTGATTTCTATGCAAACATTTTAAAAACCAAAGTGTACTTTAGTGTTTACCTTGTACATTTGTGCTGTACTGAATAAGTGGACTCTATAGATTCACAAGAAATTTTTTAATTAATTAAAAAGTTGTAGCAAGACATGTGTATTATGAAAATTTTATATTTACATAACCATTCCTCAGTATTTATGCAGAAGGATCAAACGTGAAAATAATTGAAAGAAACTTACAACAAGAATTTTTATATTTTATGATACAGTGACGGTGAATTTGTATATTGGACAAATTTGAAATTATATACAAAAAAAATGGGTAATTGTTTCAGTAGTCCGACAGACACAGAAAAAGAAAAGCCTGATAGAATAGGCAATCCTAATATAGAGGCAGTTGCGTCTCAAGCTAGTCCAGTGCCAACGCCACCTCCGGATCCTATTAGGCCTATGCCACAAATTCCAGATGCGGATGTGCCAACAGCAAAAATTTTTGTTGCACTTTATGACTATGATGCACGTACAGATGAAGATTTAAGTTTTAGAAAAGGTGAACATCTGGAAATTTTAAATGATACTCAAGGAGATTGGTGGTTAGCCAGAAGTAAAAGAACCCGGCAAGAAGGATATATTCCTAGTAATTATGTCGCAAAATTAAAATCTATTGAAGCTGAACCGTAAGTTATATGTATATTTCTTTTTAAATTAAATATGCATTCAAGAGTATTGATATATTTTATGATAACAGAAAGATATAATTTTAAACAGTAATTATTTTTAATAACATTTTCAATATTTCATTGCATTATGTACACATTAATAGGAAATGAATTGAATGTGTAAATTTAAATGGTGTGTATTTAAAATAGTAGTCATGAAAAATGTACAGTTATGTACTCAGTTAGAAATTACATGAGTTACATGTAATGTCATACATACATAATAGATACAGAAATAACACTATGACTGTGATATATTAATTAAAGCAATTCAATAAAATTTATTTTGTGGTCTTTGTTATATTGTCATTTAATAAATTTCTTTCTATATACTGAACTATGCAGTGTGACCTTGCTTTCACTAACAGTACTTGTATTCTTTATTAACATGGACAGTTGCCTTTGACTATTAATCAGTTTAGATAAGCACTGCTTCCTTTTAAACATACGAATGAGATAGGTATTATATTACTTTCTGTTTAATTAATTTTTTCATTAATCAGTTTGACATTAAATTCTTATGCACTCTCTAATTTCTTATACTTAATTTATTATTATTGTTATTATTTTAGATGGTACTTTAGAAAAATTAAACGAATTGAAGCAGAAAAAAAATTATTACTGCCTGAAAATGATCATGGTGCATTTTTAATCAGAGATTCTGAAAGTAGACATAATGATTATTCTCTTTCAGGTAAGCTAGAACAAAGTTAAATACATTTCACAAATAGTATATAATGCAATCCATAATAAAATAATGTTATAATTTTATTATATTATCTTGTAGTACGGGATGGTGATACAGTTAAGCATTATCGAATTAGACAGTTGGACGAAGGAGGTTTCTTCATTGCTAGAAGAACCACATTTAGAAATCTTCAGGACCTTGTTGAACATTATAGTAAAGATGCTGATGGATTATGTGTAAATCTCTGCAAACCCTGTGTACAGGTAAGAAAGTTTAAAGTTAAATTATTATTCCACGTAATCTTATGTCATATAAATGGAGTTTAGACAGCTTGCTGCATGTATAAAAGTGGTTTTTAATAATATATGATTATTTTATTGAAGAATATGGTGTATTGCTTAATTACTTAATTTTTATTAAAAGTATTTATCAAGGAATTTCTCCATCTCTATTAATATAATTTTATATGTTTTTTTTTTTAAGCTAAAATTTTATATTTCATTACTATGCAGAAATCCCTTGATATTGAACATAATATACGTTGACATATAATGTGAACCTAAAACTGAAAGCAAGAAATGAATGCATGATATTATCAATTTTTATTGTACACAGATCTACAATATGATTAACTTTGTGCATAGAATAAAATAATATGGACAATTAGTTAAACTGTTACATAATATTTATACATTACAAGTATTAACATATTTATGGCACTGTCTAAACTCCAGTTAGACTTTGCTGTCAAAAATGAAGTGATGTATTTAACAACTGTAATAGTAATTTACACATATTTTTTAACAAATTGTTGTTGAAGAATTGCTTGATAACATTAAATGAAATTGCAATTAATACAGAACAGTATTTTAAAGAATTTTATATTATATTTTGTCTTTTTACAATAGGGAATATATTTAAAGATATTAAAAAAAGAGAAAATAATCTTTACATTAAGGTGATTTCAAGATAAGACTTCTATACTTAAACATATGTAAATAAAGATTTCTTAAGAAAATATAATTAATTTTTAAATGAAAAATTATATATGCACACTCATACATACACATACACACACATATATATATTGTACCGTACATTGTTACCATTTATTTTCAAAGACATTAAGGTTTGAAAACAGCTTTTAGTTTGATAAATAATCTTGCGAAGTTTGATCTCTGAATAGACTATGTTTGTTTCTCTGTTATTGCTTACCTTACCTCCCGCTGGATTTTCTTGGTAAATTGAATGTCCCAATATGACATAACATGTTAATTTTCTTTTTAACATAAATGCTTCCTGTTATGTCTTTGGCCTGTACATATAGCACAAGCCTGTCCTATATGGAATTATGTTTCAAAGACATTAGTTCATCCTTTATTTAGAAAATTAAATTCTTTTAAAATTTTATAGCTTCATCTTAGAAATAGAATTGAAAGCACACATTTAAGAACAAAATAAATTTATTATCTTGTGTCTGTATATTTTATTTTTACATATCGTTCATTATGACAATATTTATCATAAATTCTTTCCGCACAATTTGTAACAAACTGCAAAATTCTATCACTAATAATTGTGTGCTTAAAATCTATTTGGTGTACAAGATATCTCAAACATACTCCTAACTTTTAATGCTAAATTATTCATATCTTTTAGTACATTTTGTATAGATTATACAAATGGTAAGGATATGAAGTATTAAGAAAGACTGTTATTACATTATGCTATATTATACAGTAATATAAATGATAAGTAATATATTTTTTACAAGGGTTTGAGGTATCTTGTATATGAAATTTAATAGATCAGTTTTTTAAAATATGTGTTTTAGATTTCTTTCTTGTGTTTGTATGCACATTAAAGAATTTTAAAACGAATTTTCTTCCAATCTAATAAACTTTATATATTTTCTGAACAATTTTTAATGAACTAGTGCACAAAAAATTCATAGTACTTTTGTCTTGTCAAATTATAATTATCTCAGTGTTTGAAGTTTTCTTTTATCTTAAAAATTATACTAACTATTTTGCAATAGGGTTCTTTATATCCTATTTATTTAAAATACAGTAACTTTAAGATACTGACATCTTATGTTACAAAAGTACTTGAAATATGGTGCTACATTCTTGTTAATAATGTATATATTCTACAACAAAAGAATTATTAGCATATAAGTTTATGTCTTGGACTGTGTATAAGTGTTCAATTACTAAGTTCCTGAAATTATATGTAATTTTTATATTCTTGTCTATAGAAATAAGTATTATTAACTTTTAAAAAGTATTATATGTCAGGAATAAAAATCATCTACCATCAGAAACATGCAGATTTCTGTACATGAAGTTTTCATACACTTTCTACACACTAACTACTGTATTTTTTGAAATTGAAATTAGTTATTTTTAAAACCACGTGAATGTCAAGAGGCATGAAATTAAATAATTTACAATTTGCTTTTCATCACTTGCATCTTGCATAACAGCCACTATTTATGTTAGTTTTTGTGGCATAATTGTTAGATTAGATATTTTCATTTAAATAAACTTGCTGTTTATTATTTCATATAATGAAAACATTATAAAGTTAACGAGCAGTTGTGCAGCCTAAACAACATCTTTAAATGGCTTCTGAATAGGTTTGTATTATTATGAAGTAAGATCAATGCTCCAAGTTTTTTCAAGGAATTTTTTAAACTTTGATTAGTATACATATAAGTTTATATGTCTTATTGATTAATGTACAACATTTCAAAGGAGCGTTTGCTATTAATGCTACAATAAAGTACTTATTAAAGAAAAAAAAATAGAAATTATAGTATTTAATAGTCATTGATTGGCACATACTTGATTTTGTTGATAGGTTGAGAAACCTGTAACCGAGGGTCTTAGCCATCGCACACGGGATCAGTGGGAGATAGATCGCTCATCGCTCAAATTTGTGAGAAAATTAGGACAAGGGCAATTTGGAGAAGTATGGGAAGGATCATGGAATAATACGACTGCGGTAGCAATAAAAACGCTTAAACCAGGAACAATGGATCCGAAAGATTTCTTAGCAGAAGCACAAATTATGAAGAAGCTTCGTCATGCAAAATTAATTCAGTTGTACGCTGTTTGTACTTTAGAAGAGCCTATTTATATTATCACAGAACTAATGAGGAATGGTAGTTTGTTAGAATATTTACAAGGTAGTATCGAATTACACTAAACTACATTGCGCATATTCGGTTAAATGTTATTATATATTAATGTAATCGTTTTTCTTGTAGGAAAAGGGAAAAGTTTAAATCTACAACGATTAATTGACATGGCTGCACAGATTGCAGCTGGTATGGCATACCTCGAATCGCAGAATTACATTCATAGAGATTTAGCTGCCCGTAATGTTTTGGTAGCTGAATTAAATGTTGTCAAGATAGCAGATTTTGGTTTAGCTAGGTTGATCAAAGAAGATGAATATGAAGCTCGGGTAGGAGCGCGTTTTCCTATCAAGTGGACTGCGCCTGAAGCTGCAAATTATAGTAAATTCAGTATTAAATCTGATGTATGGTCATTTGGTATTCTCCTTACTGAATTGGTTACTTACGGTAGAATACCATATCCGGGTAAATGTTTTAATCAAAATTGTATAATATATATTATTTATAAAATATATAGAAATAAAATACACAATTGTTTGGTTTATAGGTATGACAAATGCTGAAGTTCTTCATCAAGTAGAACATGGTTATCGAATGCCATGCCCACCTGGATGTCCAACCGCATTGTATGATATTATGTTAGAGTGTTGGAATAAGGATCCAATGAAGAGGCCAACCTTCGAAACACTGCAATGGAAACTCGAGGATTTCTTTACTATGGAAGGCTCAGAGTATAAGGAAGCATCTGCATATTGAAGTACTAAAATAATTTATAGTTCTTGGTTATAATGTTTCAGTAAAATATCGTTAAGGTACGCAAAATATTCTATATGAATCTACAACGAGAAAAATGCAGATTATTACAATTAATAGTTTATTCAAAATCCGGATGTTTGTGATATTTAAAAGTATACTTTATATTAAAGAGTAGTCTTCTTTTTACAGGTTTAAATAATACCATTTATTTTTTTAGTAATACGATTATAATAATTGTTTTTGTTACATATTCTGGCTGCCATAAAATTGTAGACCAAGTTTGTCAATTTACAAGTTATTATAACAAATTGAATATTGGAACGTCGATGATTTAAACGAAAAAAGGTGATACAATTCAAATTTTATTTTAAGAAAGTATATTCTAAACGTGTAAATGTTGATATTAATATTATCCCTAGACAATAGCCATGGAAGTTAATATTTTTAAAGTAGGAATTTGTTGGTTATAAATCATGACGAGAATTGTCATGCAATTCTCAGAAGTACTATAAATATTTGACATAGGTAAGGAAGTCACAGACATTGCACAGCCAATTTATGTAAACTTTCCATCTTCTTGAATGGACATTTTATTAGAATTTGAATTATACATTTATAAGACGGATTATCATCTGTCTTGACTTATCATTCCTTCTTCAGTTTCATTTCTTTTTTTTTAAATTTTTTTTTTATTTTATTAACATCAAAGCAATTTATTGTTGTTAAACATCTGAAAATATAATACACATGTTCAGAATTTATGAAATATTATAATTATACTATGATAAAATTTATGAGTGGCCTGTTTAAGTCAATATAAATATAAGGCAAATTTTTTAAATATTTATCATTAAATACATTCATTTTATAACTCATTTGGATATGTTAACACTCAATTATCCTTTAAAAAAAAATACATGCATATTAACTAGAAGCAATGCATCTAATCTAAAAATTATCCTTAATTGTTCATAAAAATATAGTAAATGTGTAAAATAACATAAGAAAGTATACAAGGGTATTAATAATAATAAGTATGTAAACTATTAACGGTCAAAATTTTTTTATTTAATCATGTAGAATATATTAGGGTTACAAAATTAGTATTAATTATTATATTTTACTTGAGTATATTTTCAGTGAATTTACTATTTTAAAATTCCTAAATTTTTCAATTTTATATATTTGTACTAGATATCATTAATTTAACAAAAGGATAAATTTTCCTTTTTTTTATTTTAAAAAATTAAAATTTTACAATTAAATAATACAAAATTATGCAATAATATATAGAAAAATATTAGATTTATAATTTCTCAGTTTCAAAAAAAAAATTTTGTAGAGTCAAAAATATAAACGGTGTGTTTTATATGCATTACGTTAAAGTTTATACATATAATGTCATGTTATCTTCATAGACATTTATTTGTTTTCGGAAGGAATTCATTATTTTAACGTATCGTGTACTCATGCAATATTATGCAAACAAACGTCTATCTCATTTATAAAAAGACATTACAATATTTATAAAAGATAAAATTATCATTATCAAACAATTTGTCTAGTCAGAGACCACTATTCTATTGCGAATATTTTCATAACTTTAAATACATTGAAAATCTAAAACGTATACTGCCAAATAAATATTAAACTTACAATTAGACAAAAATAGTTTGAATGCATTGTTTCTTATCAAAATTATTTAACTTATTATTTTATCCTTACAACATGAAAAAAAAAATAGTAGAAGTTCAAACGTAATAAAAAACAATATACATATTTCCTAAAATTAAATTAAAAACTCTGTCGTTGTGGTCGTCTGATAATTAATTTAAAAAACTATTTTATATTATTGTTCTAAACAATTATATTACAGCAAATAATATTGAAATTGATGGTAATAAGAACTTTAAAAGTCGTTTTTGTAGAATATGTCAGGTGATTTTGTACAAAAACAAAGTTTTATATAAGCATATATTTATATTTTGTACAGTTTTATTTGGATGTAATCAAATGCTCTTTTATATATAGGTTTCATTAATACATAAAATATTTACATAATTTTTATATAAAAGATAAACTAATTTGTTTATTAACAAATTTTTTAATTTAAAGATCAGAGGATATACTGATGTATAAGTATTAATTGTGTGAAGTATTGTAATAATCCTCTGTGTCAAAAAATAGTTTTTGAAAATAAATGTAACTGCTGTAACATCGTTACTGAAATAGCATTATCATTAAAATTGTTCGTATATGAGTGTATTATGTAATAACTATTATATACAACTTTATAATTTTATACGTATGCATACATACAGTATATATGAACATTACTTGTGTAATTACTTATACATACATACTATACATATTCATACATCGCATGTTCAGAAATATTACAGAAAGCAATTCTAATTTTCTTTGTAATTTTTTACATTCCTTACTACTTTCCTTTTTATTTTTTATATTCTTTATTCACTTTCCACACATGTTTTATAGATTAAATTATTTTTTACTTATAACATGGCTTTTAATAAATTTAAACTGTATGTTTTGTTTCTAGTAGTAGTAGTATTCTACGGTGTAAATATTTTATAAATAAAGGAAAGAAACACTTATATACATCAAACTTTAAAAGTTTTGTAATACTTGTTTAGTTTAGATGTTAGAAAAATTGATTTTAGGGGACTTTAATCTGAAGATTTCCATTTTTTCTATGTAAGTCATTAATAATTTATACATTGTAGTTTTAAATTTTGTCAAGCGGTTGGCAATCCATCTAAGTGTTAAATAGGAAAGTTACTAGAAAAGTTACTAAAAAGTTAGTCTCGGCAGGTGTTTCGTACAGGTGTTCAGTCAGTTAGTGGCGCGTATTCGCGTGTCCCGTGTATACGTAGTCTTATCGTCGCGACAGGATATTTGCTTAATGTTAATCGCGTAAGTGAAAAAAACGTGTGCGAGTTTTATTTGAAATTCGTAAAAATGCTTCGGTCCTGGTGTAAGGTGATCAATTTAAAACATCGCGAGAGGTGATCGTTGCTAAGAGTAAAAATTTTCACACGAAAGATCAGCGGCAGACATCGCGGGATATATTGTAGTTGGATATTATGCTAATCACGTTACGGTCAGAATGCGAGAGGAAGAACTCGAGATATCACTCAAGGTGATCAAAAAGTCTAATTTTCATTTTTCCTTTGATATTTTCGAACAGAAAATAGTTGTTTCTTATTTATAGTTGTGCTAAACAAAACGTTTGTTAGCGCATCTTGAAACAGGTATTCGGATACGTTAAAGTAGCCTTCATAAAAGGGAAATGGATTACTTGTTTATGTGAAGCGTAACCACTCTTAATTGAGCGTTCGCTTTTTATTTTGAAATGGAAAATGATCGAATTACACTATTAAAAAATACTAAACGTTGGGTATTTTCCAATCAATGAATCTATTTCATCGAAGTTTGCGTTTCAAATCAAGTTTCAGAAATGCGTATGCGCAGTGACAGATCTACATTAAATGTGTACACAATCGAACCGGCAAATATAATATAGGTTAGGAATATTCGTCCCTTTTTTTTAAATAACTGATAATTAATAATTACAGATATTCAAAGAAAACAGTATAATATACATATTATTTATAGTATTTAATTGCTACAGATAATAATATCCTATTAATTATAATAATTATAGAATAACTTATAGTATTTAAAAAACTTAACAAGAATATATTTAATAATTTTAAGTTGTTTCAAATATCAATACAGATAGGTAATATGAAATGAAAGTTAATTTTTTTTCAAATCATATCATTCTAATAATACTAGTTACAAAGAAATACACTTCTATTCGTAAAGAATATTAATATAATGAAAATTTGTATAATATCGTACGATCGTGTATCGAGAACTGCGATATATCTTTCGATTGCTATAACGGTACTAACATTTTCATAGGCATGTGCTCATGTAAAATCACCTATTACTTTTACTGTTCTTATTGTCGATAGTTGAAAGAACCAGTGCGTACAGCAGTTACTTTTCTTTTGAGTAAAGACTGCGCTTAGAAGGATATATAATCGTTATATAAATCACCGCAGGTACTTTCTCGATGCTAAAAATCGATTATGCAATGTAGGATGTTCGATTCGATTGTAAAATCGAAAGAATGCGCTACAGGTCGCGGATAAAATTGGAAAGAAGGGGGAATTCGATTGTTTCAGAAATTCACATGATTAGCATACGCCGGTTTAATTAGCGTACCGCTTGTTTTCTTAGCTGAAAATTGTAATTGACTAGATTTGAATATAGAAAAGTATAACGAGATCCGTTCACTCGATGATACAACATCCTATTACTTTTTCAATTATTATTAATGGAAAGATTCGTTTAACAATGATGAATTCCATGTATTTCGACAACCTTGATACGAAGAAACGGTACTGCTTTCAGTTTAAATATTTTCTGTGAAAGCTCTTATTTTACGATGCTATAAAAATTCTCAAGCATGTTGTATACTTAAGCAGCCTTTCGAGCTGCTACAATATTCGATTCTCTTACAATTTTTCACTTCTTCAGTTGACCTTGAAATTTCTGAAGATCTTCGACCTAGAAATAAAAAAATAATTACTGTTACATTACAGCGCCCTCGATACCGTACAATTTTTATGAATAAAATTTCTTTTCGTATTTTTAAGAATAACGGAAGTGATTTAAGTGATCAGAGTTGTTGACCCATACTTCACGTGAGATGATATCTATGATAATTGTATCGTATCAATATCAAGAGCACTCGAAATAAATTAAATCGTGATTTTAATTATCGCAGCCTTTCGTGATTTTATTCAAACTAATTATCCACTTAATTAGCAACGCTATTTAATATTGGGTGATGATGGTGTTTAAAAGGATTTCATTTTGTATTATTACCGACGGATGATATTAATTATCGATACTTTTTTAATGAAAATACTGTCATCGATTGATTCCCTAGTTTTATATAAGCCTAATTGGTAGATGTAATCGCTCCGACCAATCACACGTCACGGTCGATGTCACGTGTGAGTGAGGTGGAGCAGGACCAATCAGATTGCGTTATTCTCGTGGGACTTCGTGTAATCCGTGGACAGTATAAATTTTGAAAAGGGGGAAAGAATACGATTGCGATTCACTGTTATAATATAGCTCTTAACAGGAGCTCGATCTTGACGACCGGTTCACGTGGACTCGGGGCCCTTATCGACTTAACCTACTTCTTGCTTTAGGCGCACCGTTATCTCGATTTTGGCAGAATTATTTAAATGTACGACACCCTAACGTAACGGACATGACTTCGGACTTTTTAACAGATTTCTTCACGCAATGATATATATGAAAACTTCCCGTACACGTAAGAATTTGTAGCTTCGTATTAAGTCGGTTGACTGACGCTACGAGATAGAAAGAAAAGTGGAATCAGATAAAATCTGCATTTTAATTAAACCAATACTTTGCGAATGTTTGTTTCCTCGACGGGCTACATAGACGTTTAACAGTAATATATTTTCTATAATCGGGGGACATTGATGGCATACCTATGATATTGGTGAGAGTGTCTTCATAATTAAGTACTTCCTCGGTTTCTTCGCCTGAAATTATAGTCGACCAATAACTGTACCTGAAAAACTGTTAATCCACCTGAAATCATAAACGGCATTCGCGCGAGGTTCTAAGTACGTTCCCCGTGTCTTTGTATTAAATAAAATAATGATTTTGCTAGGATTTTTATGGTTAACAAAATCTTTCATGGCTTTCTTTATTTTTTTAATACCCATTTAGCGTCGAGGAGATGATACAGTTTAATAATGAAAATTTATTTGGTAACCTCTTTCGAGGGTTAATATTATCCACCGTGTAAAGTGTTAGATGGTACATCATCGACAGGGAAAATAGCATCGAATCGTGTCCTAAATCGCTGAGATCCATTACTGTCAACAGCGAAACGATTTTATACGCTATGCAATAAAGTTTAACGTTTGACAATATCGTCGATACGTGTTTTACAATCTTCTATTGATATTCAATGCTTTCTTACGACGCTCCATCGATTACTTTACCACGTACATATGTACGTCCTCGAACACATTTTCTTTTCTGCATGTATGTTGGAATCGAAGAATGAAAACACGTATCGAATATGTTTAATGGGAATTATGATTTATTGCTGGAATTGAATAAAGAAAATTTTCTAATGATTCGAGCGACGAACAGACGACGGTTCAATTAGAAATGCTGTGGCAAATGGAGATATGAAGAATGAGGGAAAGTTTAGAAAGATCTTTATGAAAGATGCAGAAAGAAATTAGGTCAAATATGAAATTATAGATAATATCATGTTTTTTTATTGTAAGAAGGTAAATTAAATAATACAGGTATTGGGTGTCTTATCTATTACAGTATTGGTCTAAGTCTAGATTCATTGTATTTAAGGATTAACCCTCGGATGGCGGACCATGGAGAGAGGCCCAATTTTACTTCAACACGTTGAACGCCACAGTGAAATGGGGCATTTTTTATGGGACGTATTAAAACTCTAATTATTATTAAGGATAGTAATAATTAATTTTCAAATTTCAAGTAATATTACTTAAAATCATGGTTTTCTATTGTTTTCTTTTAATTATTCAGTCGTGTATAAGTTCCGGAGCCGGTCACCGGTGACCCCCATGGCGTTCAACGTGTTAATCTCGTATTTCATATTATTTTCATTTTCTAAATTTTACACTGTTCCTTAATATATGAAACTCTTTATATTCAAGAATTAAACCGCTATTTTGAAGTATCTATTTAAAATTAATCTATTTAAATGTATATCTCCATAACAATTGAAACAAGAAATAAAAATAAAATGAAATCGACAGAAGTGATTTTTAGCCAATTGTCTGACATGAAAGTTGCAAGAGATATTAACTACAAAACCCGTATGTACACTTTTTCTTCCCGATGTTGACCTGCAGGCATAGAAAGTCAACCTTTTCCAGATGATCGTGCGTGTGCGCGCGGCTGTCTCTAATTTGAAATTGCTTGTAATAACAGACAGTACCGATACATCATTTGCGACGAAATGATTTATTGCAGCCGACAGTAACGACAGTTTAGTTCGATCAAGAAATCACGTAGTTTTTGCCTTGATCATTACGTTTCATGTTCTTCGAGTTTTTTCCGTCATTCTAATTATCTGGAAATGTTTATTTGCAGGTGGTGATAGTCGGTAACGGTGCCGTAGGGAAATCATCGATGATCCAAAGGTTTTGCAAAGGTACATACACGAGAGACTACAAGAAAACGATCGGCGTGGATTTTTTGGAACGGGAAATCGAGTAAGTTGGAAAATAAAACAAAGAGAAACCATTTTATCATAATTTTATCAAGTTGTTCCATGATGAAGTATGATTGTTTCTGCACGAACAAGCCGTATCGACTAATTAATCGTCGATTTTGTTGGCAACAAATTTCCCTGTTCATCCACGTAGAAAATATCTCACGAATGGTGGGAATATTAATATCCGGAATGAAATAAGTCTCTCTTTTCGTGCTGTTAAAAGTATATAGTAAGATAAGAAGCTGTGATATCGGACGATAATTAAAGACTATATAGTTAAAGAAGAATGCATAATAAGTGCATTCTACTCGTACCTATACTTACCTTTCAGTTAATTACTTTCCACGGGACGACGCGATGCCTTTAGTCATCGTTTTATCATTTTTCATTTATTTTCGAGATGCCGACAATACCCTTTTCGTTTCGTTCCGATCGTAAAGCTGTACAAATACAGTAATGCTTCGAAATAAGCAAGTGGCTCGGGACCGAACAGTTGCTTATTTCGAAGCAGGTACCTATTCGGCTTGACTTTGTTCTTGAAACGGGACGATAGAAAACGCGAGAAACGAGTGAGAGATCCGAGGTAGCGGCAAATCATAAAGTGATCGGTCGAGCAGCGATGTTATTTTTTGGACAAGGATAGAATATAACATGCCCTCTCATTCTCGTACTATGCTTTATTTCGAAGCAAATATACCAGACTGAGAAAGCATTATATATATTCCATCCTTCTTCTACTAACCGATGTCACTGCTCAGTCGAGCGTGAAATTTATTACCCTAAACATCGGCTTCGCGCTTTGATGGACCTCTCACTCGTTTCTCGTACCTCTCACTTTGCGGGCGACTTCAAACAATGAAGAGGGGATAGCGACTTGCTTATTTCGAAGCAGAGACCACTTGCTTATTTCGAAGCATTACTGTAATTATAATCCTGTTATTAAATTCGTTAGTGATTTAATGAATGAACAGAAAATCATTGAGGCATTTTGTACGGTGTTCATAAATTATTAATGTCGTACAATAAAAGCGAATAATGAGTGGATATTGGAACAGTTTCGTTGAATCGCGGTTATGGAATGCGATAATGGATGATCGCGAATCGAGTTACGGGTTCATTTGGGAGAAATGCGGTCGAGTCTTTCTCTTTTTCCTTTTCACGCTTCTTAAGTAGATCGTGGATTTAAATTAAACGGTGCATCGTACGGTTTGTTAGTTATATACGAATATCGATGCGACCGGTGGCTTTCGTGAAATTCAACCTCCACGAATTTATTCCAGGGAAACGGTAATAAAAAGGTAATGTAAACGGTTCATGCATATGCAACAACCGTAACAAGAATATTTCTACCTATAATCACGGTAACCTTCGTCACGCCATACTTTTCGCCGATTTTAATTAATTTATAGGTCGAGGAATGTTAAGAGTACATATGTGAAATCAATATTAGAAGAATTTATATTTATATTCGTAACTTTAATATTAGAATAGAATTTAATTTATTTTTTAGAATTATAAATTTTAAAAATTTATCCTACTCTTGAATCTGCTTGTCGTCGTTATCTGTAGAAATGGGTTTAAAATTTCCAATAAATCGTTCATTCTTTATCAGATTTAATAAAAACTTGCACCAAACGATGTAGAATAATTGTATACATAACTAAACAGTTGTCGAAAATAAAGCTAAATCTCTCTTGCTCCAAGATCTTCGATTAAAAATAAAATGAAAAAATCAGTCTGATTGCCAGAAATGAAAATTACGCGTACACAGGAATCACAGGTGGAAAGACCAGAAGGCCGGCACAGTTTCGTAAGTTACAGCGCGTAAATCATCCGAATGAGTTCCCCGTTTACGAAACAGGAGGCTATCATGTTTTCAGGAGCCCAGACGCGCCGTAATTCATGTCAGTAAGTTCCCGTTCGTGAAGCAGGAGGCTAGCACGTTTCCAAACAGCTGGTACGCGTAAATGACTACGGCTACTGTTTTTCACCTCCTCCGAATATCAGATGTTTCCACAACCCGCAAGATTTACCTTAATATCGTAACAAAGCTTATTTGATCTTTTTCGGTCAAAAATTACCGGGTAGACGATTCCTTATCCCTGAGAATTTCCTATCCTAGACTCCGTCCCTATTCAGGTGAAAAAGGTTCGGAAAAATTTCATTTATACTCTGTCCAACGTAAGAATAACCTCGTTTCGCGCATGGCTTGGATGACAGGAGGCGCAATGCAACAACGCGACGTCCGAAGCCCCCACTTAACCGCATACGTTCTCTTTTTTCATACGCGGTGACAATTAATTCCTTATACACCGATATCGCCCCCAATTTGGGCAGTAACATTATCAGTAGAAGACCGGTAGGCAGGGCCGGCGCTAGGGAGGCGAGCGGTCGGGTAATCAGTAGGGGGCGCTGCAGTCAGGTGTCCCTAATATTTATTCATTTATATCCGTTTAGACTAGTAAATCTGCTATGTAGTTTAACAGTTTTTACAGTCTAACTACTATTACCTTGTCTTTTTTCTTAAAAATTTTGAGCTCATGAATGGACGCCACGATAATCTTGCCCAGGGCGCCAATATTGCTAAAACCGGCCCTGCCGGTAGGGTTAAAGTCGCGACTAATCGTATGCGCCAGATCGGCACAGATCGGTAGGTAATAGTGGGGGGTGCGCAGATCGGTCGAAAACTGGTCGAGAACTGAGGTTATTCTTACGTTGGACGGAATATAAATCAAAGTATCCACGCGTCGAATGTCCTGGAAGAGGTTATCGATGACCTCTCAAGGTCACTTATCAAGAATTCCCTAACTAACGTTTGTCTCTCTTTCCACAGGGTGGACGGCGAGGACGTGAGACTGATGCTGTGGGATACCGCGGGTCAAGAGGAATTCGACGCAATCACCGCTGCTTATTATCGCGGCGCCCATGCCTGCGTGCTCGCTTATTCAGCCACCGACAGAGATTCCTTCGACGCCATTCCTTCGTGGAAGCTGAAGGTACGACTTTGAGAGACATACACATAGTCGTGAACCGGTGCAAGCACGTTTCCGTAGGTAGCCACGACGGATGGTGGAATGTGAAAGTGAAGGTGCCATTAAAGCAAGGGCTGATTTTAAGTCGTTCCACGGTTGTACGTTTACCACGGATACCGTCGCCGCAGCCTTACATCATTTTTGCCAACTAATGTACGTCTTTCAGTCGTCCGTCCATCGACCAATTAGGGACACTCGTTATGTTCCTCTGGGATATTCCTGAGGATGGAGTTTATTGTTATACCAACAATTTGTAATAACGATATTTGTCTTTTGAATGGTATTTTTGGGCAAAACATTTCTTAGACATTCTATGAAATATCAAAAGACAAACCGGCGAAATATAAAATACTCCCGCTAATGGTGTTTCTAATGTCACGTGATATTTTCTTTTTTTCATCTATGTATTTTTAATGAAAGCCTTTTCAAATTTTACTTTTTTTGTAAAAAAGACGATTAAGTGTAATTCTAAATTAAATTCTTTCCTTCCTTGTTGCAGCAAGTAGGTTCATATTTTATTTTCTCTTGTTTTCCTCAATAAGAAAGTCCTATACTTTATTTTGTATTTCTATCTTTTTCCTATATGCCTTTTCAATAAAAGACTCTTCACGACTCTATTTTAATACTTTGCCTAAATAGCATTTGTCATTCTATATAATGGCTAGGAAAAATTAATATAATATTAAAATTCGGATATTTCATACTTTGCCCAAAAACGGTAACATATACAGGGTGTCTCTTTTCAATTCCATGTATATCACAAAGGATTTATTATCTTTCGTTTTCAAATTTTCAATCGTATATCTTCCTTCAATTATTTTCTTTTTCTTAATATATTCTATCAGTTAGTATATCAACATCCTGTATAGAACATTTTATTTGACGAGTTACCAGCTGATTTACCCTACTATTAAACATCTTTTTATTGCATTTTAGTAGCAATTCTGATGATAAGTCTATAGAATCTATCTGTCTTTCCTTTACGATCGTGTAAAACGAGTTTGAAGTAGAGAATGCACGCGATTGTTGTAATAGCTGGCAACTGTGATACCTTAAATGTATACTCTCTCTCACAGGATGGTAGGTTTATATGGTGTTTCGTTTACGATTTCTTTCTTGCGCGGCGCACGTTAGGCAAAATATTCTAACGAGGCGAATGATTGAAATTTCATCGATGTAAAACTGTGTACACGTCGAAGGTGTATTTTTATCAATAATTCAATGTTACCCGTAGATGCGATTCTGATTGTCGTTCGAGATCATCGAACACGCTCTCGAATTCCTTTCATAGAAACTTGTATGTTCGCTTGTTTCTTTTTTATTAAACTCCAGAGAAACAGACGAGAAAGGTGTAACTGCGGCAGGAACGAGTACAAATCGTCGCGAACAGAGTTGTGATTGATCTGCTTCGACACTGTTATTTCTCCGATGCCCAGAGATTAATTTTAATAACTTAGTACGGTTAAACGGTGTAAAAATAATAATTTTTTAATTTGTCAACACAATCGCTCGTTTCGAAAAACATTCTCGTTTGTTTCTTTCAAAGGAGAAGATTCATTATCAACAATAATGAATCAAAATGAAATCTTTTGATTTATTATTACAAAAAAAAAAGGAGAGATTCAAGAGGGTCATTTAATTCCTAATTCTGCTTGCACCCCTTGCAATTGCTGAGAATGCAATTTGATGCTAATTGTCATACCCGTTTGAAAGAAGTTGCAGTAGCAGTTCAGTATAGAATAGAAAGATTGTTACGCGTACACGAAATGTTCACAAAGATCGTCTAGTTTGTTAACGTTAATTAGAAAAACATCGAATCCGGTTTCGCATACTGATAAAGGAGCATTTTCTTTCTAATTTGCAGGTGGAAAACGAGTGCGGTGAAATTCCCACGGTTCTTGTACAAAACAAGATGGACCTGGTTGATCAGTGCGTCATTGATCCGTAAGCGTAACTAGCCTAGCTTCTTTAATTAGCGATTCGCGATTTCGCGAAATCTCGAGCGAAATACCATTGTTCCAGGGACGAGGCTGAGAGGCTCGGTCGTGCCCTAGGTTGTAAGCTCCTAAGAACATCCGTGAAAGAGGATGTCGGTGTTATGAGCGTCTTCCGGCATCTGGCGTCGCGATGTCTCCACGAGATGCGCCGCTGCGACGACGATTATCAAGACGACCTGAGATTATACTCTACCGGGCCTAGATCTCCTTCTGTAATAAGTAAGTGATAATAAAAAAAACTGTACTTTCATTGATCCGTACCGAATGAGAACAATATATACACGATGTCTCATAAATCCCGTAACACCCGGAAATGAGGGGTTGCTGAGGTGATTCTGAACAACTTTTTCCTTTACCAAAATGTTGGTTGAAGCTTCGTTTTTGAATTATTAACGAAAGACACTGGCCAATGAGAACGCGCGCTTCACCACGAGAGTGTTGGCTTTGAACCGCGCTCGATCGTAGTCGTGAACAAACGCGTTCGTTATTCATGAATAACAAATAATTCCACATTGTTCTTAAGGGGTTCTTTCTTATAAATTTAGTTGTAAGATTAATAAATAATATGAAAAAAGAATCACAAAACTATATGTTATAGTTTTTTTATTTCAAATTCATGAAAAAACCGCCGAAAACAACCAGTCACACCAGACGATCCCCTTAACACGTTGAATGCCACAGTGAAATTGAGCATTTTTTATGGGACGTGTGAAAACTCTAATTATTATTTAAGGATAGTAATAATTAATTTTCAAATTTCAAGCTTTCTATTTGCCATTTCAAATTATTTATACCATAGCAATATTACTTAAAATAATGTTTTTCTATTTCTTTTTCATTTTTAATTATTCAGGCGTGTGTAAGTTGTGAGGCCGGTCATCGGTAACCCCCATGGCATTCAACGTGTTAATTTAAGACGCATGCTTCCCTCGATACCCACGCTGTACCAATGCGTTTGTTCACGACTACGATCGAGCGCGGTTCAGAGCCAACACTTTTGTGGTTGAGCGCGCGCTCTACGCGCCCTCTCATTGGCTATAGTGTTTTTCGTGAATAATTCAAAAACGAAGCTTCGACCAACATTTTGGTAAAGGAAAAAACTGTTCAGAATCACGCCAGCAATCCCCCATTTCCGGGTGTTACAGGAATTATGAGACACCCTGTATACTTAATTTTACACATGGTAGATTAGATATACAGACGACTGACCAGTTGTTTAACCTTGTAATAGCCGTGGAAAAAGAACAGTGGTCTTTCTTGGAAACTCTTCAAGAAGATGCATAATGTATTAACTGCACCGGATACGCACGCTTCTGCTTACAGGTTCAGTTGATCCTGATGCCTTTCTTCGTCTTTAACCCTTCTAACCCGGCTCTAAATATTGGCTTATGCTTTTCTTTATTATCAACACTAATTTATGATTATTTTTCTTCTGTCACTCTTTCTGACTAACTTTTCCTTTCTTTCACCAGTGAAATACTCGCTGAGCATTTTGAAGGATAGAAAAAATTTTAGGATTGGGGAATGGGTGAATGTTGGCCCAGATTTAGCAGGTGATCTACCTTGGTTCGGTATTTGATCAACGATTATGGCTTCCTGTGCAGAGAAGCACGCAATGGACAATCTAGCATAGAGTAGAAATGAAGAAAATTGAAATTGTTAATAGAATTAAAATTTCTTAAGTACCAGAATATTTTTTTAAATAATCAGAATTCTTTTCTTCATTGGTCAATAAGAAATCTTCCTTCAGAAGTAAAACCCTTTGTGTACTATACGTTCCTGTAATGTGTAAATACATCTTCCGATCGCGTGACCGTAACCATCGATCTTGATTCTTGAATAACGCTACCAGTGTATGTGTGCCTATACACGTACACAGAAGCTGGATAATATTTTTCAAGTGCTGTCGGACGTTGCCCAAAGGATGGACTGTTCGCTTTGTGTATTAATAGTTCTAGAGGAAGAGGAGGATTTCAAAGAGAATATTTTGAAATATGTTAACTCCTATCAAGCGGATCTGATGAACTCAGACTTCCTATTAATTCTGATTTAGAAAAAGTGTTGATACCGGATAAAAGGTGAAGAATCATAAAAACTTACGATAAAGTGTTTTATTAGGCGTAACAGTTTGTTTTTATTAACATAAATTATACAATTAATAGTCTAAACGATTACAGCATGTACAGATAATAGAATACACTAATTATAGCATACAACTACTTTATACTATTATGAAGATGAAATTGGAGTGTAAAATATTGTACTATAAAGGAAACGGCTAATTATTTTTTTTAATACAGACTGCAGTATCTCGACTGATGGAAAAATATATGTATGTATGTATGTGTATGTACATTTTATCTATATTTTGTTGCAGGTGCTTTTAGTCCGAACGGATCCACGTGTAGCCGGAATACAGGGAATGGTACCATAGTTTTACGGCCGGGTGCCAAGACAAAGAATCACAAAAAAAGGAATTTCGTAAAAAACGCTTGTATACTACTTTAGTCTTTTTCGTAGATAAGTACATACGTGAACAATTGTAACGAGTACTTTAAACCATGTACAGACTGATATTCATACTATTTATAATGATGTAAGGCTCTCTTTTTAATGGTCATTGCGACAGCGTACACTAATTGGTTTAAACATTTATTGTTATCAAACAAGCACAGCATACAGTATTGAAATTATAATAGGAAGATGAATAAGCCGCATGATTTATCTTCAAACAGTATTGCTATGTCAGTTAATTTGTGATACACATTTTCTTTGATAGAAGAAACGCGATCAATTAAAAATATGTTAGCAGAAATTCTTTCATTGAAAAGGGAAGAGTAAGTTATATATTATAGAATTCTTAAAGTATATAAGTACAAAGCAAAAAAGGACGTTTTAATAATGTTACAAGTAGCACATTTTATACTGAAACATTAGAGCATTTTCATACGTTGAATTTTATTATTATTCAATATTTTTAATCTTCTCAGAATTTTGCAACATTGTGTACATACGCGTAAAGTCATTTTAAAGCAGATTACCGTTTTAAATTGTTATGCATACAATCTTTTACTTTCCAATAGAATACTTTTTTACCTATGCCAAGTTTTTGTAAATATATGATTTGTATATGTTAATGAACGTTAAAAATCAAATAATGTCTTTTTATATGTTGAGTTACAGACTGAATTAAACAGCTGGAACAAGTGATCAGTAATGGTAACAGTAATCATTTTTCATCTAATTGAAAAATTATTTTAAAAAGTTTCAAATTATTAGAAGAAATAGATATTAATTTATGTGTATCGATATAACGGCTAACCAAATATTCTAGTTTGTAAGAAAGAAAATATTATGTTGACAAAAAATACCTTTTTTTTTGTAAATGATAATGATAAAATATGAATAAAAATAAAATGTTACGATTTTTAAATAATCTATTTCAAACGGTATTTTACAAATAAATGCCGAAAAAACACGAAAGACCACTCTACGAATTTTGATAAATGTCACTTTGAATTATTCATGATGTTTTATTGTTTACTTGTATCGCGTAGAAAGTGAATCTTAGATACAGGAAAGTAACTTTTAACGCAATTATTTTTATTCCGTAATGTACATAGGTTCAGACCTGTAGGTTATATTAAAAAAATTGCAATTAAATTGCTATAAAAAAAATATGAATAAAGAATTTATGATTAAAATAGCCTGGTGATAAACTATTGCATCATGAATGGTCCATAAATAATGTAAAGTAAAATAAAATTATATAAACCTAAGAAAATTTAAAGACTCTGCCAGACTATACATAATATCCTTATTCATTTTATTATAAACGTAGTACGCGATAAATTGTCAATTCCGCACTAAATATAACTTCATCTACAGTATTATATTACAAGTCCCAATAGTATTTAAAATACAAAGACCTCAAAGCCATATTTTTTCACGTAATTAGAATTTGTATTCCATTTCTTTTAACATGTTATAATATACTTTTTAGATAGTAGGAAGGACTATTAATTTGAAATAATCAAAATAATAATGAGTTACTTTATTTAACAATGATTTATACTGTAGGCACAGCAGAGTAGTTATGTTCATGGAAAGGTTAAATTTAAATTACTAATACCAAATTATTCAGATCATTAGGCATAAATAAAATATGCTTCATATTCATTTATAGTTACTTTGTTTCTCTTTGAATATTAGCTTTATCAATGCTACTATTCCTTCATTTCTAACACATACCATAATTGTTTAACAAATACAGGCATACAGTAATTACTGTAATAATTGCATAATCACTTCCTACTATATCCAATGCTCAGTTGCAAATATAAAGTGTACAGCAGCTTATTCGTGTAAGTAGCAAGATGTAGTAACTCACAGCATATGTGGAGAAGATAAATCACATGTAAGTGATGTTTTTTTTACATTTATCATAAATATCACCACTGAATCAAGTACTCAGATTTAATTAGTTTTATTTTTCTCATCTCCCTTGGAACAACTAAATGCTCTAACTGTTCATTCAAAGAATAATTTTTCTGCTTCTTTTTCAAAATTACAGAATCCACGCGAAGGTTCATAGTAACTGGATGGTATGCATTTTATCAATGTAATCCAATAACCCCTGTAGTCTTTTCTTTATCCGTTTTTGATCGTCCATAGTACATCCAAGAATAGCAGTTTCAAAAGTTTTATCAGAATGTCCCAAACTTTGGGAAGTACAAGCATTCATGAAAGATGCACAACGCTGTCTAGTTCCAACTGGATCATCGCGTAGACTAATGATTAAACTATCGATCAAACCGTTTACCTATATTAAAGAATAGAACTTTTAATGAATTTTGTTCCTCAACAAAAGTACACAATGTATAAATATGACTTAAAAATTACCTGATGTAGTGCTTCTTGCTGAATTTGGTCACGTTGTATTTTGACTAAAACATCGACTGTTAGACATCTTAAGGACAATCTCTCAGCATACCTTAGTACATCATCTTTATCAGCTATTAGAGATAAAAAATTATTGCAGTAAATTGTACTATCTCTGTTTAACACTTGTTTACATATAGATATAAGAAGAACAATCATTTGATATCACCATGAGTAATTTTACAAAAAAAAAAGTTTCTACGTATAAATACCGAAATTCTTGTTAAGGACGTTTCTAGATATGTTGCAGCTGACCTTGCATTTTTAAAATAAAAAAATAAACACTTACTTTCTTCTAATCCACTCAAAATTTCATTATTTCTGAGCGTGTCCAAAGTAGTCAGCAGAGTATCTCTTTCTTCTTCAAGTCTCCAGGCATCTTTTCTCAGTTGTTCTACGTGCACTTCAATCTGATCCAGAAGATTAACTAACCTGTCTTTCGGTTTGGAAGTACCATCACAATCCGCACTTTCTATAATATGCGGTAATGGGCTATCCATTTTTACAAAATTTTCGATTTTATTCTTTAATGAATTAGCTACGTGATTATGTATTTATAAAGTAAAAAATTACGTTCCTACGTAACATAAAATACAATCGTGTTAATCGCGTTTAAACTTTTACCGTCGGACACCTCGTCGCATGTATCGTACTTACAATAGCAATGCGAAAAGCTGACTGACGAGTATATGTTACACACAGATATAACAACTGAATCGTAACGTAACTAGCGCCAACTGTAAAAAATATTTTCAAAAACAGTTTAACAAAAAATCTGTGGGTTTTTATTTGAAATTATTGGTTCCCAGTCGATACAATTGACACACTTTATTAATGTAATTAATTGATTATTGTAAAGATACATGTAATAAAGATTTTGCATAGCGTCCATCTTCTTCGACGCTTTCTAAAACTATCTCGGACTGCTTTCCTTTTAACGTCTTATCATTTTTCGGTTTTTTAACTCTGTATTTTATAAAATTTCTTCTTTATTAAAGGCTAATTTCATCTCCTTTATTTAAGGCTTTTTATTATATTATATATTTTTCATAAGCACATTTCTTTTCACTTTGAAAGTGTTGAAACGTCAGATCCATGATAGCCAAGATTTTCAGCCTTTTGTTTTAGCTTAGTAAGGGTCTTCTTGAATCGTTCGGATCTTAAATTATCGCGATTCTTTTGCCGGCTTGTTTTCTGACGTTTTTCTTGTTTTCCATCAAATGTATTTGAAAATTTATAAAATACATATGTGAATGGGATTACAAAAATCAGATTATTATATTTTATATTAAAAATGGTTTTTTTTATTATAAAATTGACAAGTTATTTTGGTTAATAATGATTCTTATATATTTGTCCTAAATTATACAATATTGAATATTCCAATGACATTTCGTTGCTGATTTGATGCAACTTCGCACCGATACTTGTTCTTTTTCCGGTAATAACTTAAAACGGTACGTACTATTTTTCCAAATCAGTTTTGGAAATCCATATTTTAAATAGGAATCCTTTCCTTTTTTCTAGTGCCGATTATTTCAAGATTTTGTAAGAGAATATATGTCACGTTTTTTCTATAGAAATTACTAGAATCGAATTGTGTAGTAACCATTTTTCTCGATCGTTCCAGCTGCTTCTGGTTGTGTCCATTTTCTTCTCATAGTCACAATGGTATGTGTTCAATACTCAATATTATTTTGTATTTATTGTAGCTTGTAATTAAAATTCATTAAATTCATTCTGTTACTTGAATTAACGTTTATATTAGAGTGTATTAGAAGTATCTGAAGTTTTACTAAATTGTGTGCGACATAACCTGAATAGAGTGCTAAACCCAAATGATAATAAGTAAATTTATAATAATTTAAATCTTTTAGCCACGAGAAATTAAAGAAATCAAAGACTTCCTTTTGAAAGCTAGGAGGAAGGATGCAAAATGTGAGTATTTTCTTAAATACTATATGTTATAATAAATAATACTGTGTTATAATAATGGCTTTTGTCGTAACTTTCCTAGCTGTAAAAATCAAGAAGAATGCTGAAAATGTTAAATTCAAAGTCAGGTGTTCAAGATTTTTGTACACCCTTGTGATTACAGACAAGGAAAAAGCAGAAAAATTGAAGCAATCTTTACCTCCAGGTATTTTTATCATTATATTAACAAATAAATTAAAAATGATTTACCATGATCATTGATATTTAAAACAACTTTCCTTTAATTCTTATTTCTAATAACATAAATACATTTTTCAGGTCTTCAAGTAAAAGAAGTAAAAAGAAGTGAACGTATGTAATTAACCAATAAAATAATTTCTTACATGTATGTATATTTATTTTCAATACCATTACAATAGAAATATTTGCTAAGAAAATTAAAGCATATATTCTGAAAGAAAATGATATACAAAATGATATTCATATCAACTTAAATCTAAATCTTAAAGATTTATTTGATATGTTTCATAATGCTAGTTAGATATAAACTCTTGGTTAATTAATATGCATGGTTGATTCAAGAATTGCTTTCTTCTTGTGAACATCTCGTAATAAATATTCTTCCTTTCTAATGGTAATGTAGACATTAACTTTAATTCATCGTATGTCTCTTCACATATATTTCCACAGTTACATGTTGGTCTTTGATCATAAGGATATATTTGATGATAATTAAATCTCACTTGACATTTTCTTGTGCTGTGTTGTATTTTTTTTAAATGTCGCGATCTAATACAATATTTTCTTCTACATGATTTTATTTGAAGTTTCATGTATTGTGAAAATAATATTCCTAATTCATCATAAATTTCGTTCGTTTCTGAACTATGATTCAGTGAGGTTAAAGGGCTCTCAATATACTGTTCATGTATGGAAGTAATATCCTTTTTAAACATAAAATAATTTTTAGTATTTTCATTTTTAATTGAGAGAACCATAAGATTATCTTCCGATTTAATTTTTCTTTCAGAATTTATCTCTTTTATTTGATTTCTTAACATATCCATCGACGATTTCATTTTCATCTTCATTTTCTTCGAATATACGTTATATTCATCTGACTTTTTTCTTTGTAATTTATCTATTTCGGATATAGTAGCACTATCCGCAACATCCATGAAACTATTTTCTTCTGATTTTAAATGAGTTGCATTAGACACACCTGATACCGTAGAACCAATGTGAGAATTCGTTGACCTATATGAATATTTCAAATAATTATTACATTTAAACCAAATTTGGTATTATTGTGAACAGCTAAGAACCTTTTCAATTTGTTAAGAGATAAGTTTGGTAAAATATCCAATTGATTTACTACAGAATTTGATAACGAATCGGTAGCTACATTTTTTGATACAAAAGAACAGGGTAAATTTAATTTAGAAGTAGATACTTCATATTTTTGCACATTATTACTGAATGAATCTCTATTTTCGTATTGAAGTTCTATCAGTTTGGAACTGGTATTGTTTCGTATATCATAATTGTTATCTTTCGAATTCCATTTACATATTTCCTTATTTCTATTTTCATTCGACTTTTTCGAAGATACAGGTATCACTAGAAATTTCACGTCCGTGTCTGAAAAGCAGATACTTTTTTCGCCCTAAAGAGAAAAAGAAAAGTAATTTGAAATATGTGTGAGATAATAATGTTAGTATTTAGATGGTACCTTATGGGAATTTTGATAAAACTTTTCATTTCTTTGAGTACATTGTTCATTGCATGTGTTCCAATTATTTGATGTTTGATCATGGCCATTTTTATTAGAAGTATCAGACGATAAAACAGATAGTTTTAAAAATAATCGTTTTGTCAGAGCAATATTGCTACTAGAAGTTATAGTTTTATCCGTATGAGAAGAAAGTAATTTTTTCTTTTCCTAATTGTCATTGTATTTATAAAAATTAAATAATCAAGTTTAGTTATATACAATTTCTGATGCATTTTTTTTTTAATACCTGTAAGGGAGTCCTGAACGCATAAGATTTAGTTTTATATAATTTTTCTTTTTGATCGTTAAATTTTTTATGGGGTTTTAAAATCATAGACCTCCGCCGTGTCGTACCCCGGTTGCTTTCGTTTTTTATTGTAACGTTGTCATCGGTGTCGTTTTTCTTATTTAGCCATGTGAAACATCTTTATTAATGTAATTTTAGTATTTTGCCAACTAAATATATGTATACAAGTATGAATACAATGAAAATAATACATATATTTATAATATAGTATAAAAAATTCAATAGACCTTTTGCAAATAATGTAAATGATCTTTCCATGGATATAATGATAGCAGGTTATAAATACAATAATTAAAATCAAAACGACACATAATGCGATAAATATTTCCCAAAAACTATCAGAACCATTTTTAGTTTCATTGAGATCGTCGTAATACGTTTTTTTGGTCCTAAATATTTCCATCTCAGTCCGTTTCACTTCCATACGTTTAATTTTAATAGGATAGGTACTTTGAAATAGAGAATTTTATGAAACTTTCATATAATGTTAGTGTTTTGATATCAAGTATAAGTTATACACATTATCTAAAGAAAAATTCTTCATTCTTTATTGGTAAAATATCTGAATTGCAGAATAAAACAGTTGTAAGCATTATATGCTTCTGTTTCTTGTTTTGTTCACAAATTCTTTACAAAAACTAATTTTTAAACTTTATTAGATTTCCTTCATAAAAATGCTTAATAATCATTTAATACAAGTTTCTTTCATATAAAAAATTACATTTTTTAGAATTATTTATATAAGGATCATAATAGGGATAAATTTTTATTAAAATTGTAGTAAATACATCTTAACCTAATTATTTAAGAGTAATAGAATAATGAATTCCATTTTAAGTAAGTCAAAAGAATGTATGCATTAAAAAGTATTATTTAATATTACGTTTTAAGGTCTTCCACATTTTTCAGACATTTTAGAACAGAATTTTTAAACGTTCATCTGTTGATCTACTGCTATATTTAAATGCATGAAAAGAAGTATAAAAATATTACAGATTACGGATTATTTAAATCGAATTATTTTTATTAATAAACTTAAAAATTACTACATAATTAAATTTCTTATTTTGTCCATTGTAAAATTAAACACTTATACAACATATGTACGAAGGATGAGACATTAACTTTGCCTATGTAAAATGATTTTATTTTTTTTAAATAGGATGCTATATATTTTTGTCTTAAATATAAATCTGTCCAAAAATATTCTTCCGAAAACAGTTAACCACTGAGAAGAATATCGTACAAAAACAAAACCAAATCATTTAACAGAGAATGTAAAAGAGAGATCAAGAAATGGAGGCAGGCGAAAATGGCTCCCTCTACTAATGTTACCACTTCTGTCATTCTTGCCCAGAGAGTCATGTTTAAAGCAGATGGTGACATTCCGGACATCTTGTGAACAGGCTTATTTTAATGTAATAAAGTCTGGTTACACAATTTTAATGATGTATAATATAAAATCATTCAATATTATAAGATATGATAAAATGATAAAATGAGAAAATGATTCAATTATTCAATAATCACAAAGTTAATGCTCAATCACTTTATATATGTGCAAAATTTATGTTCAAAATAACTGATTCGTAGTTCCATCTTTAATCATGTGTCATTTTTTTTCTGTAACACTACAAAACACGTATGTATTTTAAGTATATACATACATGTATACACACATATGTATATAAACTTTTAAGTGACCTTATTACTTTATGTTCATTTATTCATCACATTCATGATACGTAGCTCTGCAAAAAGATATATAAATTAGCACTAATACGAAGAAAAATTCCAATTATTTTGAAAGTTACCTTTGTTTATCCATATTTCTTCGCGACAATCTTCTTCCATGTTCATGTGTTGTCAGTGTGTATCGTTTTGTATGGGGACGATTTGCTCTAAGTTCGCGTGCTTCCATGGTTCTGGCTTTTTCTACTTTTTGCATGAATTTTGCGATCAGTTCAGGACAATTTAAATTTTCTTCCGGTTCCCATGTATCATCTGCTGATGTAAAACCTTTCCAACGAATTAAAAATTCCCTGGTTTTATTTTTCTTGTACTGTACTTCTATGATTTTCTCTACTTCAAATTCCTTTTGATCGTCTTTATCATTTTTTCCATCATCTGCAGTTATCTGTTTATCTTAAAGTAAAAAACAGTTACAGTGTAATTTTATACAAACAAGTAATAGCTTTATCATCAGTCTATAAAATTTTCTACCATTCTCTGATTTTCTTTTTGTATTATTTTTAAGTTTTTTGGATTTTCTGTCCACTTCTGCAACTTTCTTTGGTGATTTTGCAGAATTTTCAGACTTTTTAGGCTTAATCTCTTCATGATTTTCTTCATCTTCAGCTAGAAATTCCTCAATCAATTGTGAACAATTAAGATCTTCTTCTTGTTCCCAAGTATCAGAATCCTCTCCATATCCTTTCCATCTAATCAAAAATTGACGTCGACCCTTAATAGTACGTTGACCTACAATTTTCTCCACCTGGTTAGTACAATTGTTGTTAATATTAAAGAAACATTTATGTTTAGCGCACATTGCGATATTTAAGAAAAAGGGAAGGGGGCGATTTAATATTGAGCAATATATATTTAATACATATTATAAACTATAAACGAATACTCATTTCTAATTATTGTTTTAAATTGTTTACCTATGTCGTCTTATATGGTCATCAAATGCATTTATATATAGAAATGTCTGTATTATACATAAGTACGCGCGCATGCATACATATGCATACGTACCCAACGACTCCCTCCCCTGCCCCGTCCCGTCCCTCCCGCCCCTCTCCCCCGCGAAGCGCGTCGTATAGAATTTACGAACAATATATTACGCACCATTAATCAATTGAATCTATATTACAAAAACTTTCTTGCAAAAGAAAGAACAAGTTTAATATTTATAAAACTATGTGTCAAAAACAGTTCCCGCATTTTTCAATGATATGACGCCAGTCCCAAATGCGTCCCTAAACGCGGCTTCTTGGCATCATGTAAATGACTGCCACTGTAGAACGAACACAACAAGCAATATATATATATATGCATATATGTTATATTATACCTCATATTCATCTTTATTATTTCCGTCTTTTATAATATTACTCTTTTGATCTTCTTTCTTAAGTTTTTTACTCGCTCCACCCTTTTCCACATTCTTCTCTTCTTCGGCGTCCGCGGATTGAGTATCTTCTTCTTCCGCTTCTACGTCCAAATTTTCGAGTGCTTCCTTTTGACTATGACGACTACGAGATGCACGCTTTTTCGCAGCACCTCTTTTTGGCATTTCCGCGTTTTCGTTATCCTTTCCAGCCTTCATTTTATCGTCGCTGTCGATTATATTTGTACGCGCGACGCCATTTTCGTCCGAACTACTCTCACTCCACATTTCCGATTTCTTATGCTTGTTTTTGCTACTCAATCTTCGCATACTAATCCCACATACAGTAGGAAATTACAGAAATTGTATATTTTTTTAATAATTTTATGAATTATACCTTGTAAATAAACCGGTGAAAATGACACGTTATATTATTCTCTCTTGTGTAAGTACTTACGTTTATCCCTCTAGACTTGTTTCACAGTTTCTAGCCCGCGTCCCGTAAACAATATGGCATCAACTTGGCGCGATGCATAGTAAGCTGTAGGAGTGTGCGCATTAAACCCCCGTTCGTACCAATTGGACCATTCGTAAGTTAACGCGCCGTTTAGTTTGATACGAAAGTATTATTTTATATGTATATATATATACATATGAAATATAAAATGTAAATTATTTAAATATTACCGATTTATATTTTTATTTTTTTATATATTTAAGAAACGGTTTTATATTCAATGCTGTTTACGTGATTTTTGCAGGAATTCAACATATGGTGTAACATTCACTTTCGGATATTCATATACATATAGGGGGTACGTAATTATGCGCCTATTCCATGTTTATTTGGATAAAAAGATTTTGTATGCTTTCCTGAATCTATCAGATAATTTTTAATACAGGACTCCGATTTTGTATTGATTTTTTGGCATATTTTTTAATTTACCTCAAAACGTAAGGGTTCAGTTAACAATGAAATCTTACTGAACGATAGAGCAGACTTAAGGAAACGCTCGAGAAAGATTCCGGTACAAGTTCTTTTTTTCCAATCAGAAAGCAAAATAGCTTCACGCGTGGTAACGTGCCAAGAGTGGTACTTAACGCCATAAAGCGACTGCATCGTGTTAAACGAAACAATGACCAACCACGATGCTATAAGGTTCCATTGTTGGCATTTCATCGCAAGCAATGCTATTTTACGTCCTGCTTTGAAAAAATACGTGTTACAACTTCTATTGAGCGTTTAAAAAAAAAAAAATATTACTCGAATTCACGCTAGCTAGATTCTTATTTCTCGAGATAAAGGTATTTCAAAAAACTGCTGAAAAATCAATGCCTCTCCGTCTTTAATAAATGTTTAAACATACTCAAACATTATGCGTAATTTTTAAGTTCCATCATTGTCACAGTATCGCTAAATAAAGCAAATAATTACATAAATCAATATTTAACTTTATGTTTGACGTTTCGTTGCTTTGGTAACTAGTACTAACATTCTCATCACTGCTCTTGTCAAGGCAACATTTTTTATTCACTCTTTTTACCATTACTGACTTTTTTTATTAATAAATTTTATCAAATTATGGCCAAGTCAGCAAGTATATATGAAAAACCTTTACCGCACATAGGTAAGCGAAATTCGTAATTTTGTCACATTTAGCTTACATATGAACCATCACATTTGATATTGTAGGATTAGCAGACTGGTATGCTAAGCAATGGGAACTTCAACAAAATGCAGCTGCTAGGAGTACAGAGGCATTTGAGTTAAGAAATGCAGGGCAAATTGTTCGTGCGGAAACAATGGTAAAAACAATATGGGACACATACATGAATAATGTTCGTCTCGCCGACAGGTAACGAGGACTTAAAGCCTGCTAAAAAAATCGACTTTCGACTTACAATAAAATCAATTAAATAACACAATTATCATAGAGTAACGGAATTATCACGATGGGGAGAAGTATTTGGCCTTTTATTACATCAATTAGTCTCCGAAATACATTTTTTAAAAGATGAAAAGGCTGATGCAGAAAAAGAATTAGAAATTCTGAATGATCCATTACACGTGACCGCAGAATGTATTTCAATGAGAGATTGTCGTCGAGGAACAGAACTTACTTACGACGAAGCTGACACAGAATTAAAGAAGGAACTTTGTGTCATTGAAAATGTGAAGAAATTGCTGACCGACAGGTACAATTTTAATGTGATAAATTTGAACAGATATCTAAAATTGCTTATATCTTATACACAGAGTACAAGCTGCATGGGAAAAGTTAAACCGTTTGGAAGAAGTTAGATTTCAAATACAATTAGAGGTTGAAGATAAAGATGAAACCATTAAGATTGATAAAGAAAATCTAAATTTGGATCGCACGTGTGCGAATATCAGTTACAAACCGAATGCATTGAAAATTCCAAAAGAGTAAGATATTTGGGTACAGCATTCGGAAAGTAAACATAATTTACATGTTTCGCTGTTATAGCTCTATAACTTACGACGCTTGGTTGGAACACTGTCAATCTATTAAAACTTTAGCTGATAACGAATTGAGCGATGTATACGATTTTCGCGAATCTATGAATGTAATGAGGGAACGCGCTAGAAACGATATCAAGGCACAACAGGATGTGACAGATTTCAGTTTGCGCAAAAGGATTTATCAGACGCAGAAAGCTCGTAACGAGTTAGAATGGCAGAAGCTTAAGGTGATCGTTACTTGAAATGAAACATGAATTGAATAATAATTTAATCATCATTTTCAGATACAAAAAGAAATGGAGATTTTACAAAAAGAGATAGTACGTCTAGAAGATGCACTGTTACATAAGATTGATTCTATAAAATGCGCACAGACAAGATTAGAAAATCGTACTTATCGTCCTGGTTTCGAACTCTGTCGCGATGAGGCTGACCATGGTTTGCGAAACGAAGCTTTACATTTACGAGAAACTGAGCAAACTCTAAAGAAAACTTTAGAAAATTCTAAGTAATAATGGAAGTTTCCTTACTATTCCTATTGCAATAGAAATTAGAATTTGTTATTTCATGTTGTTGTTTTGCAGAGCGGCGTATAATAATTTGGAAAGTCTACTTACGTTGATCGATAGGAATTTAGATGACAAGCAACATTCCTTAGCGACTGATGTGATGTGCTTAGACATGAGAGCAACATTGAAAACGGGAGACAGAACAAGATTACCTAATGAAACAGACCGTAATATTGTTCTTACACGTATGGAAAAAGAAATACCACTGGAATCGTAAATAATTGCAATGACTATATGTAATTCTGTTGGGGTAAACGTCATTTAAGTATATAAAAAGTCCACTTATATTAGCGATGTTTTCATTGTACACGTATTATAGTATTTAAATTCATTGCTTACGTATTTGTTCGTAACGAATCTGGATTAGCTTTAATTAAACTGTATTCTGCAATGAAGGAATCTGTTAAACTTGCTTCTAAACTTTTTACTGCTCTAACATGAATTTCTCCAACTTTCTTTGGGTCACCGTGCTTCATTTCGAATGTTATATAATTTATCCAAACGCTAGTGTCATTTTTGCCAAATTGTAACGTTGACATTTCATGGCATTTTCTTATATTTTTTAATAATATATTCGGTTGCATAAGTTCTAATTCTATCATCTTCTTGTGCAATTCAAGACAGAAAGGAGGTTGCAGACATAAACTATCGTATACTTTTCGTGTTGATTGTATACCTGAAACAGATTTTGTAATGAAAATAACATTAACTGTAATTTTATAATTCGCGATTACATACTTTTGCTCAGAACCAGCCATTCCAAGTAAACAGGTTTTAATTCTTGAGCAACGTTTGAATGTCCTTGCAGTGCTGCTTGGAAGATTTCGTCAGTTCTTTCGGGACATTTTGCTTGCACGTGTAATATTCTCATCTTCCACAATGGTAATGATTTTTCTCCGAGGGCTTGTATCGCCTGAAACATATTTTTTATTTTACAAACAGGGTGTTTGGCTATGGCTGAGCATTCTTTAAGGGAGCGATAGCTGGGGTTATTTTGAACAACTTTTTCTTTTACCAAAATGCTCGTTAAGGCTTAGTTTTTGAATTATTAATGAAAAACACCGACTAATCAGAGCACCCATAGCGCGCGAATTTAGCCGTGCGAGTATTGGCTGTGGAACAAATGGCCGCATAGTAAATGTGACTTCGATCAAGCTCGACTTACATTTGGAAAGACCCTTTCAGCTTCTTCTTCTTCAGAAACCAATAAATACCTTAATCTCGCGTGCCAAAGACTCACACTACTGGGTATAGTTTCAGTTGCCACGCAAAGGATTTCTTTCAACTTTTTGTCAGCTGCTTCATCTTTTTTATCAATATCAAACATATTAATCTATGACAGTATCATTAAATATTAACATTGTTTATTTTTCGTTTTGCAATACCGCATAATAAATATATAACTTACCCAATACAAATAATATTTTTCCTTTAATTTTTTAGCTTGATGAGCCTGCATTAAAGCAGTTTTCAATAATTTTCTTTTAAAATTTGGCAAAGTTCCAGTTTTCTGATTTAATTCTATTAAGCATTCTATGTATAAGGACCACATTTCTTCTGTTTTTATCTTCTTAACTGCTGTTTGATACACCTTATTACAAGATGTTATACGATCTCTTAACGAGGTCTGTTCTGAATTGTCAGTTTTAATTGCTGTATCGCTAAGGGAAGGTTGAATAAGTCCTTCCAATTCTCGTCGCGCCATCGTATCCCACATTAAAGGTTCATGGGGATATTCTTGTATCATGTCACTAAAAGCAAAATTAGTTCAGAAAAGTAACTAAGAGCTAAAACAACTAGCATGTTTATTGCTTTTACCTAACAATTTTATTTTGTAACTTTTCTGTATTACTATGTTCCTTTGTAATGTTCAATAGTTCTATTATGAACTTTACATCTTTAATACGCTTTGATGCTTGTTGATATATGATATAAGCTCTCTTTAGTCCAATAGACATATCATCATCGGTATTCACTGATGTACTGTCACTGTTATTTTCGTTCTTCTGATCGTTACCTGATGCATCATCTAATTCTAATCTGAATCGTAAAATGAATTATTAACAACATAATTGGAAATGTTAAGAAATTAGAAAATGTATGTTTTTGGGTTTACTTGAAAGCATCGGTAAATAATAACTGAGAAGTTGGATGTATATGTAAGCCTCTAAGAAAGAACTGACGCGCAGTGTGTTTATTTTTATTTTCTTCCAGTTCCCAACGTGCAGCGATGTGCCAACATTTAGGTTTGTCCTGATGTACTTGTAACATTCTGCCTAATATGTGACTAACATTGTTGTGAAAACGCTATAAAATTTTACATTGATACTAGTAACTTAATGAATTAACAATGTTAATCAATACGTGTGATTCAAATACTTACAACATGCTTACAAAATTTTATATAGGCGATCCAAAAACGAATATCATCTTGAAATTTATATATTGCATCTGTGTATAAGCGATTCATTTTGTTTGTGATAGTATGATCAATATCTGACTTTTTCTGATTAATACCAAATTTCTGTTAAATTAAAGAAAATCGCATTTATGCAATAATGTGTTCACATTTATAATTAGACAATAATTTATTAATATGTAATAACATACATCCCTGCGTTGCTTAATCAATTTAAGAAGATCCATTTCATATTGAATGTATCGCAAATAATCTTCTTTAGTTTTTGATTTCCGTTGAATTTTATATTCATATTCTTTCAGCTTTTTTGCGATTCCTCTGTATAAATTATAAGAGCGTAAACAACAAAGTTGAACAATGCAGCTACAAAACATAATGTGTTTAACCTACCGAATTTCGTTTCTATCAAAAAGTTTGATTCTTTCCATTTGTTCTAATTCAGGAATCATATCCTCGCATCGTTTCTCCACAAATTCCGCCATGGTTACTCTTTTTAGTTAACGTAATACAATTAAATACACAAAAATAGTAAGAGATATCTTTAACACATGTGTGACACCATGGACAAAGTATAAGGCAATATAACGGTACTGTTCCAGTTGAACTGCACCGGCTTCATTCAATGACCACTTCATGAGTTTATGTTACATGATCTGAGACATAGGTGAAATATAATATAGATTTATGATGTAATAGAGATTTCTGCTTCCACTATTGCTATTCTATCACAACGCTCCTAGTGGTAGCAATAAAAATTTTAAAAATGCATTATCTTAAGAAGGTTAATAACTATAACATTCGCTGTAGATTTGTAAGGTTGCTTCCTAACCGACATCGAATAATACCGATTTCTTCAGGGTTTCTTTCTACATTTTCTGTGTTATCGACTATTCTAAAGTCACTAACTACATTCAAGAAAACTTGGCGCGAAATATTAACAATTAATATTTCTTAACAATTGCCAATGGCATCAGGAGTGGGGGCTCCAGACGCTTTTGCACGTGGCTCAAATAAAAGCCGGCACCGGATGCAACCCCCCCGTGTTGGCTACATCAGTGACTACAGATCTAACAAGACTAAACATGCCTTTGTTCTGGAAGGGTCTGCCTGGAAGTCACTGCCACGTAGCAGAGACTATAGATACAAAAAGACCGGTGGACATGTTTTCGTTCTCGAGGAGTCGTGATTTATGCGGTCCCAGATACCCCCAGATAAGCCTCGCGGGAACATATTTTCTGCGTTCATTTAATATGCTGTAATTATCTTCTTAGCTTATTGAATAAACTCCTTAGGAGAACGAACGTGTTGATTTTATTACTTCCATCTGCACCCTTTATATCTCTGATTCTACTATATCTCTACCCTTATATCACTGCATTCCTTACATCCCAGCAACCCTTACATCTCAGTATTCCTAACATCTCTGCATCCCTTACATCTCTGCATTCTTTTCATCCCTACACTCTATTCATCCCTACATTCTTATATCACTGCATTCCTTACATCCCAGCAACCCTTACATCTCAGTATTTCTAACATCTCTACATCCCTTACATCTCTGCATTCCTTACATTCCTGCCTTCTTTGTATCCCAACATCCCTTACATCCCTGCATCCCTTACATGCCTGTATACTTTACATCCCTGTATTACTTATATTCCTGCATTCCATACATCCCAGTACCTCGCCGAAATTGAGTTGAAATTTTTGCGGCTACAACGCCTGCGATTTTATACAAATTTAGTTCCGTTTTTCGCCACAAGAGGGCGCTGGTTCGACATCAAAATTTTAGTTCACATTTTTGCCGCCAGAGGGCCAGAAATGGTGCAAGGTTTAGTTCCTTTTTCCGAAACCAGATGGCGCTGATTCGACATCGAAATTTTAGTTCGCATTTTTGCCGCCAGAGGGCCAGAAATGGCGCAAGGTTTAGTTCCTTTTTCCGAAACCAGGTGGCGCTGATTCGACATCGAAATTTTAGTTCGCATTTTTGCCGCCAGAGGGCCAGAAATGGCGCAAGGTTTAGTTCCTTTTTCCGAAACCAGGTGGCGCTGATTCGACATCGAAATTTTAGTTCGCATTTTTGCCGCCAGAGGGCCAGAAATGGTGCAAGGTTTAGTTCCTTTTTCCGAAACCAGATGGCGCTGGTCCGACATCGACATTTTAGTTCGCATTTTTGCCGCCAGAGGGCCAGAAATGGTGCAAGGTTTAGTTCCTTTTTCCGAAACCAGATGGCGCTGGTCCGACATCGACATTTTAGTTCGCATTTTTGCCGCCAGAGGGCCAGAAATGGTGCAAGGTTTAGTTCCTTTTTCCGAAACCAGATGGCGCTGGTCCGACATCGACATTTTAGTTCGCATTTTTGCCGCCAAGGGGCGCTGTGTTTTCGAAATTTTCGCGAAATTCCTTTACTTACCTTTACTCGAAACAGTCTTTACAGTATATTTATTATGAGGGATGCAGAGATGTAAGGAATGTAGGGATGAAAGGAATGTAGGGATGAAAGGAATCTAGGGATGAAAGGAATGTAGGGATAAAAGGAATGTAGGGATGTAAAGAATGTAGGGATGTAAGGGATGAAGCGATGTAAGGAATGTATGGATGAAAAGAATGTAGGGATGATAACAATGTAGGGATTTAAGGGATGAAGAGATGTAAGGAACGTAGGGCTGAAGAGAATGTAGGGATTTAAGGGATGAAGAGATGTAAGGAACGTAGGGCTGAAGAGAATGTAGGGATTTAAGGGATGAAGCGATGTAAGGAATGTAGGGCTGAAAAGAATGTAGGGATTTAAGGGATGAAGAGATGTAAGGAATGTAGGGCTGAAAAGAATGTAGGGATTTAAGGGATGAAGAGATGTAAGGAATGTAGGGCTGAAAAGAATGTAGGGATTTAAGGGATGAAGAGATGTAAGGAATGTAGGGCTGAAAAGAATGTAGGGATTTAAGGGATGAAGAGATGTAAGGAATGTAGGGCTGAAAAGAATGTAGGGATGAAAAGAATGCCGGGATGTAAGGGATGCAGTGATGTAACGGAACGAGGGATGTAAAGGGATCCCGTAGGGGTCCGGGGCTGGGGCCTCGCTCTCCATTGCACGCGGCCCGAGGAGTGCCGGCATCGGGTGTGGCCCCCGATATCGGCGGAGTTTGACACATGGCGGAGGGTCAAAGAACCCTCCATGCCGCCCTAGTGCAGGCCACCGTGGTGGTTTTAGTGGGTAAAAATCCCACACTACCTCCGGCCCCTCCCCAGGGGGGCTGAAGGTGTCTTTCTGAAGATTTCCACCACGTTAAAAAAAAAAAAAAAAAAAAATGGGTGTTTAAGGAATGCAGGGATGTAAGGGATACTGAGATGGCCTTGGCCTATAATGAGGGATAAAATTGTATAAATAACTGGAAAAAGTAAAATAAATGGGGTCCTCGGCTGAGACCCAGAAGGGTGATATAATCATATATGTTATTCCTCTTCGATGAGCTTATTTAATAAGCAGAAAAAAATTAATGAATTAAATTAAATAAATTCTGGAAAATAATTATACTGGTTGTGCCCTCTTCGTACGGACCTGATATTATCCAAGGGTGTTAGGGACCCCGCGGCACCAAGGTCGCCTTCTGCGTACCGACCTGATATCATATTGGGGTATTAAGGACCCCTGAACGAAGGCGAGTATCTTTGCATACCAATACTATAGCATCCGGGGTGCTAGGGACCCCGAAGCACCGGCGACTATCTCTGAATACCGACTGATATCATCTTGGGGTGTCAGGAACCCCGAAGCACCGATGACACTGTTTGCATACCGACATTTTGGCATCCGGGGTGCCAGGGACCCCGAAGCACCGATGACACTCTTTGCTTACCGACACTATGGCATTCGGGGTACCTGAGACCCCGAGATACCGGCGACGCTGCATACCGATATTATGCCACCGGGGTGTCAGGGACCCCGAAGCAAATAGCGAAATATAAGACCTAAAAACGAACAAATCTTGAAACTCACTTGTTCTGAATAGTGATGGGTACGACCGGGTCTAGCGAAATATAAGACCTGAAAACGAACAAATCTTGAAACTCTCTTGTTCGGGATAGTGATGGATACGACCTGATCCGATCCTGTGGTGTCTGGGACCATAACTGAAAATCGTATCTCGTCGGTGTCTTTGGTCAGTGGCTCGAGCTGGTTTTCAACGCGTATAATTCCAAAAGTGTCTGAAGCAATTATAAATCATAAAATGAATGATTCTGTAGATAACCTTTACGAACTAAAAAAATGTAGTAAATGGATCAACGAGTGTAATTTAAATAAGGTTTGAATACTTTATTTATGTGATAGGTATTTTATGAATTATAATTACACAATGAAATTTTTTATCCAAAATTTAATCTTTATATCTATTCTTCTGTTATTTTATTTGGATGTATTATAGAGATTAAATGTATCATTCATGAATCTACTTTCATTCATTACAATTTCATAAATAATCCTTAAGAGTTATGTATGGCATGTAAAGAAGGATGAAATTTATAAGTATTCAATATTTTTAGGTATGTCTGCAATTTCCTGATAACCTTTTACCAGATTCAGTAGAAATTGCATTACATTTAGAAAATCATATCAATAAGAAAGTATATATTTTGGGAGATACTACTTGTGGCAGCTGCTGTGTTGATGAAATTGCAGCTGAACATATTCATGCTGATAGCATAATACATTTTGGTCATAGTTGTTTAAGTCCTAGCATTCGTTTACCCGTATTTCATGTTTTACCTAAGAAAGAGATTGATATAGAAGAATTAATTAACAGATTTAAATCCAATTTTGAAAATAAATCTGAAAGAATTTTGTTTTTCTATGATGTTGTTTATGCACATAAAATTGGTAAGTTTTTTTCAATCATGATACGATGAAGTTTAATTTATTCATTTAATTTACAAACGTTTTAATTGTAGAAGATATATATAAAATTTTAAGCCCTATTTACAAAAACTTAATTTTCACTTCATTAAATTGCACCTCTAATGTGGAATTTACACAAACAAAAGATAGTTCAGCTATAAGTATCTTGGGCAGATCTTTTAAATTAGAAGAAAATTATAAAATACAAGATTATATAGCATTTTTCTTGGGAAATGATGGAAAAACATTTACTGCATTAGCAGTGACAATTCCTGCAAAAAAGTGGTATTATTTTGAAGCCAGTAATATTATTGAATATGAAGCTTTGAATACACCATGGTTAAAAAGAAGAAGGTTCTTAATTGAAAAATTAAAAGATGCTAAAGTTGTTGGCATAGTTGTAGCAACTCTTGGTATTAAAGATTATCTTAAAATAATAACAATGATGAAAGATATCTTAAAACAAAAAAATAAAAAGTCTTACATCTTAAGCGTTGGTAAAATCAATCCAGTAAAACTTGCTAATTTTCCAGAAGTATGTTTAAAATATTATTACTAAAATTTTTACTTAAAACTAATTGCAAATGCTAATAACTGTGTATGTTTACAGATTGATGCTTTTGTTGCAATAACATGTCCTGAAAATGAAGTTTTTGATTCTAGAGAATTTTTAAAACCAATACTTATACCTTATGAAGTAGAATTGGCATTTAATAGTTCAAGGGAATGTTACACACAATATTGTATGGATTTTAGACAAATACTTCCTAGCGGTTTGAATTATGTTGATTTTAAAGCATCAACAAATTCAGATATTTCTTTAATAACTGGTGAGCTTAGAAATTGTGATGAAAGTGTACCGTGTACAGATAAAATGAGTGCTTTAGCAATTAATAACTCGGCAGGTATGCATATGTTACAACATGAATTATGAAATGATATTGAATTACACTTCATCTAATCTTATTATCATAATTGAATTAGGTATTGTTGCAATTGGTAAAGCAGGAGCCGAATATTTGTATAATAGATCTTGGAAAGGAGTTGAACAGAGATTGGGAAAAGATGCAGTGCATTCAGCAGAAGTTGGTCGTTGTGGTTTACCAAGTAGTTATGGAAATGAACCTATCTCTGTAGAGAAAAAATAAAAAATAAATATAAAAATTTCTATTGTGTGGTATTCTGTTTTTCCTATAAAATTTAATTAAAATATTTTCATAAATATTTGTTGATGCAACAATTTCACTTGTTTGATTTTTATTCATTTCTTATGCTTTATTTTAGATTTTAAAGATAAAAATTCTAATTTGTTTATCATTGCAAGATTTAAATTATTCCTTTTTGGTTAGAGCACGTGTATGTACTATTGCTGACGTAAACATACAGCGACATGACATATCGAAATATTACGAACGATCAGCTGTGTCTATTTTACCATACTGTTTTTTGATAATTGAAGGAACGTCTATTTAATTGTTACGTGATAATGTGAAAATAATTTAAAAATGAATTTGTATTCAGGTAGTAATAAACTTTTACACAGAAATGTTGTTATCAGTGTAATATTCTTTACTCTTGGTTTATTGACGACAACTTCATATGCACAAAAAATTTCTAACCTCAAAAATGAAACTGTCACGGTGGGCAATAAGAATATCACGTTACAAATTCTCAAGCAAACAAATTTAAGTACCGATGCTTCAACAGAGTCATACGTATCAAATAGTTACGACACCAGTAACTTGAAATTAAATGTCAGTACTTCAAGCGTAGCTAATACAATACCTCACAATGTAACCACAACTACAGTTCGACCTGAACATGACAGTTATAATCAAACTACTGAGAAAGTTACAACAATATCCACAAATACTATCAACGATAAAAATGGAAGTAATATGTCGGATTTCACGATTCCATCTCAAAGCTCAGATATCAGTAATTCAACAAATGCAAGTACAACAACAATTATGCCAGCAGAACCAGTATTACCTGACAAAGGATCTGCAGAAGAAGAACATAATAGTTCTATGTCTATATTTTTTGTTCTTTGCGTTCTAGCTTTAGGCATCTTACTTATACATCTTATGTTAGAAACAAATTTTCAATACTTACCAGAATCTGTAGTCATTGTATTTTTGGGAGGAGCTATTGGCATGATCATAAATCTAATGTCAAATCAAAATATAGCTAATTGGAGGAAAGAAGAAGCCTTCTCGCCGACAGCCTTTTTTCTTGTGCTCCTCCCACCTATTATATTTGAATCTGGCTATAATTTACATAAAGGAAATTTCTTTCAAAACATTGGTAGTATTTTAGTTTTTGCCATATTTGGCACAGCGATATCGGCATTTGTTATAGGAGCTGGTATTTATTTATTGGGATTGGCTCAGGTGGCATATAAACTTAGTTTTGTTGAAAGTTTTGCGTTTGGGTCGTTAATATCGGCAGTAGATCCTGTTGCTACGGTAGCTATATTTCATGCCTTAGATGTAGATCCAGTATTGAATATGTTAGTTTTTGGGGAATCTATTTTAAATGATGCTATTTCTATTGTACTAACTACATCAGTATTAGAGTCCAATAATGCAACAACTACTAGCGAAGCCATTATTCTTGGCTTAAACAGATTTTGTCTTATGTTCTTTGCTTCTGCTGGCATTGGAGTTGTTTTTGCCCTTATAAGCGCATTATTACTGAAACATGTAGATCTCAGAAAAAATCCTTCTCTTGAATTTGGACTTATGTTGGTATTTACGTATGCACCATACGTTTTGGCAGAAGGCATACAGCTATCTGGTATGAATACCAATGTTCACATTTAATAGTATTTTAGTATCATAATAAAATTACTTAACATTTAAATATATTATTCCAGGTATTATGGCAATATTGTTTAATGGAATTGTAATGTCGCATTACACACATTTTAACTTATCAACTGTAACTCAAATTACAATGCAACAAACAATGAGGACTTTAGCATTTATTGCTGAAACTTGTGTATTCGCGTACTTAGGATTAGCTTTGTTCAGCTTTAGGCATCGGGTAAAATATTAAAAATTATTTGCCACAATAATATTTTACATTTATAAATAATATTTATTTCAATCACAGGTGGAACCAGCACTCATTATATGGTCTATAATTCTATGTCTAATTGGTAGAGCTGCGAACATCTTTCCTTTAGCTTTCCTTGTTAATCGTTTTCGAGAACATCAAATTACTCGAAAAATGATGTTTATAATGTGGTTTAGTGGTCTAAGAGGTGCCATTTCTTATGCTTTGTCACTGCATTTGGATTTCAGTGATGAAACACGGCATGTGATTATTACCACCACATTAATTATTGTATTATTTACAACATTAATATTTGGTGGCTCCACAATGCCGTTATTAAAATTCTTAAGAGCAGAAAAGAAACAGAAAAGTAATAGTAGAAGAAAAAGGAAAGATAAAGAAATTTCATTAAGTAAAACTAGAGAATGGGTATGTTTATACGCATACATGCATGTATATAAAAATAGTACATGTATCTTGTATATTGTATTTTTATTTTAGGGACAAACAATAGATTCAGAACACCTGTCAGAACTTACGGAAGAAGAAATTGAAGTATCTTTTCTTCAGTCTCGAATTCGTGGTTTTGCAAGATGGGATCTAAAATTCTTTATTCCTTTCTTTACAAGAAGATTTACTCAACAAGAATTAAAAGATTGTAAATCTCAAATGACAGATTTAACGAATCAATGGTATCAAGCTATTCGAATTAGCCCTATGGAATCAGACGATGAAGTTACTACGGCGTCAACGGCACAATTAACTATAAATTTATCAGCAGAAAACCAGAGTCAAGTAAATGGAAAGCAAAGCAAAGGACGTCCAAGTCACGGGTCTATATTAAGTATATAACATATTTTTGTGTGCTGTGCTAAATTTGCTGTTAATGCTATGCTTATCAGTGAATGTATACAAACTTTTGTAAATACGTGAATGAGAATTAAAAAAAAAAAAAAAAGAATATCTTCTGTGATTGCTATATGAAATATAGTTTTAATTTTCGTTATGCAATGTATACAATACATAGTTTTAATGTTCAAAATTATATTAATTTGTACTAAAATGAAATAATATTTCATATGACAATAAGGTATTATTAAAGAAATTGAAATGTTAATACAAAATAATTATTTGTTAGCTTCAGCAAATAGCTTATAATTGTGATTTAGCTATGAAAATGTTTTTACGAAGATGATGTCCAAACATTTGCTTTGCTCTCAAAGCTTATCGGTGGTGAAGGGTTGTACTTGATGTACATTAAGATTTTAAAGTATTAATAGATTTGAAATTAATTTACAGAATCAGCGAGGATTGGTCTGATTAATAATCGGTTTATATAGCTATAATTATGGATTATTTCATCAGTTAAAACATATGTATTATATACGAATATTGTATTACAGAAATTGGCATAATATTCTTAATATCGGACTTGTTTACAAATAACAAGTTAATACGTAATTGACCATAAAACGTTATAGTATTCAACGAGACATAGTGATATAATGACGCGAGGGTGTATGTGATACTTTGAAAAACATTTAGTTTCTACACAAAAAAAGTCACGAAATAGTAATGTTGCGTTAAGTATTTGTACGATACCATAAATTTCATACGGCACTAAAAATGTACTTATTGTACTGTATATTCGTGGCTACCTACACTCAAATAATTATGTATCAGAATACGTCTAATAATATTTTTCCAAATAATTAATTATATAAATTTTATTGAAGGGAGAACACGTTGCACAGAATTTAATTTCAGTATTCAAAAATAGTAATTTGACGAGATTGATGTTTTTTGATAAATCTAGACATACAAATCTTTATTGTTATTCTTGTTATTTGTTTTTTAATACTGGCTATATTTATGAATATTGTATCGCATTATTAAATTATTGTTATATAAAATTGTCATATATTGTGTGTATTATATGTTCATTGGGCGATACTTTGTTTTCTGCAATACAGCAGATGTATTTTCATTTAAATATATATCATTGTTACTAAAACAATGTTCTATCATTTAGTTTATTTTTTAAATGATAGTTTATTTGAAACGAAGCCTACCGTGCTCGGTAGTGTACAATAAATCACTGTTATCGAAAAACAAATGGTTCGTTTATTAGGTTTAAGCATCATGCAGGGGGGTATAACAACATGTACAGAAAATATTATTTTAATGTGAATTTATTTTTAATATCATATACCGATCTCGGGAGGTGGGTACATTATCTTATTCTTTTGAGGCAGGGCACATAACGGAGGCAGCGTCTAAACATCAAATCCGTTTATTTATTCGATTCGTTATCGCTACTTTATTATGTTCTACGGTTTTTTTATGCCTCATCTGGTCGTACATCGAGTGACTGGAGCATGAGGCATGTTTCTGAAAAATTATGTAAATTTCCTTTTAAATGCACTTGCTACGGTTGATCCTTCTTTTACGGTATTTCCTTTCCAATCGCCAAGTGCAATGGTACGACATGGACGTACATAGAAAAAACGTACGCGTTTTGATTCTATGATAAGTTGTTTCTTGTTCAATGCAAAAATATATTAAATACAGGAAACACCGTAATGAATTTCACGTTAAGTTTGAACCAAGTGTAAAATGTTTCTTTCTTTTTTTTTTCTTTAGTGCGATTGAAATCTAATAAACGCGCAAGATTATTTCCTTATACATGGGGCACGTTTTATTTGAAGTCAACTTTAATAAAGGATATTATCCTCGCTATAACATTGAAGTATTGTCTAATAGCATGGAAAACCACACTTGCCTCCCATTTGTTTGCTTTTTTTTATGTCGATGCTCCAGTCAATGTAAATTATACGTATTATCTGCTCAAATATTATTCACGCACTGGATGATCATCCAATAAATTTCTAAAAATGATCGTATATCACGAGCATCTCTATATGCAATTTTTATCGATACAGTTTATATTCTTATTAATGTTGCTCAGTACGGTACACGTGTGTATGTACAACATCGAGCAATCGGCTAAGCATGCAGAGTTAAATGATTCTACAAACGCTATGACCAGTACGACTATACATACCGATCCGTAAGATTACAATACGTCATACCTCGATTTTTCACCCATTTATTACAGAAAAAGTTCCAAGGGATTATAATTCGGTTAAAGTAGTCGTTTACAGGTCACAATATAATCCGTTGGGACTGGGTTTTCTCAGCACTTCCTAACGTTATCGGTTTATAATGCAGACGCGTTCGGTCTAAAAATGTGTAAAACCCCCAATTACATTTCAATATTTACATTATATCGCATAGATGCGTGTCATACACGTCACAATTTACATAATACAATTTGGGGTTCACTTGAAACCATTTGTTCTCTTCTTTTTTATTATTATTATTATTATTTTTCCTCTTATCAAACGTCTGATTTTTATCTTCTTCGTTTCATCCGTTCGACAAAACCCTCGGTTTTTTTTTTTAACGTTGTAATATTACAAAAATCACACACATTGTATTTTCTAGTGATTCCAGTATCTCTACGCGCGCTTCCTTGGTACTGATTATCACTTGTTCTTCCTCGGTGCGTTAACAATTTCTCTCATTAAATTTGTAGCACGCTATCTTTCAATATTTCGCTTGAACGAGAGTAGACTGACAGAGAAGAAACGGCAACGAAGCTTTCTCAAAGACCCAATTCTATTGGAGAAATTAAAATGAACCTCCTCCATTGTTGATGATCCCAATTACACCGTTCATTGTTCAGACCTATCAATTGGAATATAGATCTCTGAAGAAGTTTCAAATTTGGGTCCCTGTCGATACAGTATTCTCGACTTCGCTTAACTCTCCCACTGGTCTTTAAATTCTATACGCATATAGATATCACCCTCTTATTATTCAGAGAGAAACAATACACGTCGAGCCTTAAAACGTTTTTAATATGAATACAATGACTTGCTCGAACTTCAGAGGGAAATGGGAGACTCTCGTACATCAAGCTATACACATTTGTTGTTTTTTACTATTAATGTTTGTTAATTTCATCCTAACTATCCTAGCGCCAAGCAGCGAATCACACCTACGTAAACTGTCATTCAATTTATTTCTATGTATAATATGTATATGTTTGTGTGTTTGTAAATATATATATATATATATATTTCGGTATATTTATACATGTGCGGCTACACGATGAAAAATCACACGTCCTTTGAATTCGTTAAACCGCTGTTAAAGAAACCGATCCATCCATTTTGTTATAGAAGAGAATACTTGTACCGTTAAAAGCTTTACACAGTGATGCTCTTCGTCCAGCAATGTCAACATCTTATTATACACTCTCTCGTTAAAACATTGATTTTATTGTTAACGTACAATCGCATGGCGATCGGTGATCAATCAGCGTTAAGGACGGTAGAAACTAGAGATGTGTTTAACTTGAAGAATACATTCCCTTTTATGCCTTAATTGATGCACTCGTATCATTCGCATTTCATTGGCCGCATTTCACTGGATAATACCGGTTATACATAATATACATACATATCTATTAATTAACTTCAGTTGTTATACTGTACAAATTCAACAGGATTGCTATCATATCAGTCCCAAGGTTGTAACTACAGTGGGATCGCATGATTTGTAAGGAAAAAAAAAAGAAACACACACGTTAAGACGAGTATTACTTCGAAACGAAGAGAATTTGTTTTAAATTCATAAGACGACATAGTGTCACATACTTGAAGATTCTCATGAATCACAGCAAGGGTAGAAGAGAGGTTTCTCTAGTTAAGGATACAGATATAGATGAAATAAGATCAAACGTCTCGTTATGATTTTGGTCGTTGTGTGTTCTCTACACATCGTGAAAGTTAACGTTTCCCCCTTCAATACACTTTCTTTTAAACATTTAAAATGAATTTCTATCAAATGATGCGATGGACCACTAAATTGTATCAAAATCATATTTACTTACGAAATTCGTTCAACGACAATCAATATAATTTAATTAAAAATTGTAAAACGATTTTCAAATCATCATTGCTTCTCCTTCATCAAGAAGAAACGTATGCAGTTCCCATTTAATATATATAACTTAATTCGTAAATATCCTTTTCGTATGCGTCTCCACCTGTGTTGTACAAAATGCTTTTAATTAATCACACTTGTTCTCTTTGTTTTCTTCTGTTAATCGAATGATCTTAATATTGGCAGATTAAGCGAAACAGAACATTCGTTTGGAAGCATAAACAGAATTCAACGATACAAAATACGTTCGTGATGATGTTGAATATCCAGTTGAGTTGTACTGTTTCGCTTTCTTCGTTATAAAATAGAAGACAACTTATGGGCAGAGAGCTTAATAATCAGTCAATAGCTCAAAGTAAAGAAGGTCGCACAGAACTTAACATTGTATATCCATTGCCACAATTATTTCACCAAAATGTCAGTCATGATGCAGAAACTCGTCTTCTTTCTTCAGTATTGTACATTATACATATATGTATATATATATGATATACATCTTAACAGTACGTAGAGTAAGTCAGCTAATTTAACTGCTTTAAATTATTCATAAACTATTTGTTGCATGAAAAAATATTTCACAGTAGGATGTTGGATGTTAATTAATAAAAATTAATTATTGAACTGTACATTCTTCTTTACTGCCATACGATATTTGTCTGAAACATATTCTTCAATCAATAAACAGTTTACTAGTAATTTAAAATGATCAAGTCGACTGACTCACCCTACATTAAAGAAATTTATAATGAATCGAACAAAAATATGTGCCACAATTATTGAATCTATTCCGTAATTGTTCGAAATCCGACAGTGTATATGTCACTACAAGTTTATTACAAATCTCTTGTTCTCTTTTAGAATCACAAACATATCCTGTAATGTGGTTACAATTTACACAAGTCCAACAAGATTATATTCCCTTTAGATTTACTTTTCTACAATTTAATAAAGTATTCACTGTCCTATTTCGACCACCGTACCAAGAATCTGGCGACCAACTCTTAATTATATTAATGATACACGTATTTCTGCATTCATTGAATTTGTACAAAGGTTCAGTTCCTTAAACACACGTTCCGGCGTATGTGTAATGAGTATTTTTCATTTCTAAAGCAGTATCGAAACTACAATAATGATTATTATATCTTTCAGAATATTAATTAAGCACAAGGAGAGATCACAGTAAAAAAAATCTACTATCGAAAACTTTCGAATAATAAATGTAATGCAAAAAAAAAAAAAAAGAAAAATATGATAATGAAGATTTTAATATTCATTATAGCACAACAATGGGCCTGCCCTTTACTAAAATACATTATGAGTAGGTCCCATGACTCTTGGGATATTTGATAAATTAAGTGACAAGTATAAAGGATAGTATAACGATAACCGTGTAAAGTAATAAAGTACTACGAAATTTTAATTTAAGATATCATTACTAAATGAAAAACATGATTTAACAAATTTATAAATACACAAGTAGGCAGCCACTGTCGAGAGTGTTACAATGAAAAAGCACATCCAACTGTTACAAATATTGGAATTTGGTGGAATGTTGCAAGTTTTCTTTCCCAATTGTTCGAATATTTTAATCGTTTCCTTTGTTATTTGAAACTACTCAGAAGTGAGTGGATGTCAATGACTGTAAAATTATTAATAGTTAAAAATTGTAAAACCTTTCTAAATTATAATTTACAAGATGCATTCATAATAATTTTGTATTGTATAACAATATATATATATATGCATGTATATATATAATATATTAAATATTAAATAACCTTATAGTGTGCGTTTTTGAATAATAATACACTTGTTACGCGAAAATAAAATATCGTATATAGAGTTTGAATGAATCCGACTATTATCGGTCGTTGCTTTTTGTTACACTCTCGACTTATGATTACATCAAGATGGTAGAGTTTGGAGTTGAAAAATTTAAAGATAAAATGATAAAAAATACGATCACTTTTTGATTTGCAGCCACGGATGCTTCAGGCACTCTGCTGCTGTAGCTCGCATACTCGGGTCAAACTCGAGCATCGGAGTTAGGAACTCTTCAAACTCACGTGCTTCTCTTGGTGACCAATCATATTTTTCCGTAAGCACATCGTACAGTCCCCAAGGTTTCAATCCAGTAATACGTTTCAATTCTCCTTTCTTATTGAAATACGCTTTCGAGTTTTTACCTGAAAGAGCAATGTGCCTAGGTATTTCTCCAAGTAATTCTATAATATGAGCTAAGTGATCTTCGTCTCTGCAATAATAAGGCATATGTTATAATATTATTTATCATAAAGAAGATAGTTTACAAAAAAGATGATAGACTAAATTGGTAATCTTACCTGCAATAATAATTGCCACTATGTGGTTCAAAGAGATAATCACCGGTTGCTAATTCGAATGCCATACAGGCAGTGGACCATATATCCGCAGATGTATCGTATCCAGATCCTAGTAACACTTCTAACGATCTGTATTGACGAGTCTGAATATCGTCTGTAAATTTTTTGTTGACCCAACACGCGTTACCAAGGTCTGCTATTTTTACTTCGACATCACATTCCACTAAGGCAGGATCTAAAGGAGCTACGGATGCTCGTTTTAATTGTTTACTTTCAGGTGGATGTAAATTACGACCTGTAAATAATGAATATGAAATAAAGACAAATTAATTTGAACGCATGATCAACTATTTTCTATTAATTTTACCCTCACTACATTCGTCTGCATCTTCATGATCGGGTGATAATGCTCCTTCTCCACAACTCTTTTCTACATCACATAAGTTTGCATTATCCATCTTTTCAGATTGTTGAGGTAATTGATTTTCTACTTTCTCTCCACCTGCTAAACTATCTACACCATTTATATGCAATGAAGGTGCAGACGGTTCTGAAATATCCGGTGAACCTTTGCTTTCAGTATTATCTTCTATACTTTCTGTATTTATATCTTGATCCGGACTATTTGTTTCTAATTCACCGTTTTCTCTTGTGCTATTCGCTAGTTTATTTTGCTCCTCAAGTTCTTCAATTTGTTCCATTTGTTTTTTCAACAGTTCGTTTTGTCGCTTAGCTTTCTTTTTGAGCTTCTTCTTCTTATTTTTTGACATCTTAGAATTTGGAGTGGGCTCTTGAAATTCCTTTGGTGCAGTCGAAATTAAAGATACCGGTAATTTCATTCCAAGAGAATGCAATTCGGTAGCTTCGCAAGCCAACTTTCTTATATAAGCTTCATCGACACAAATAAGAACATTTTCGGGTTTAATATCTGTATGAATAATTTTACCTGAAAATAAGTTGTTATGTAGCGAAAACTAATTTTAATATATTTTCAATATTGTAACTTATAATTTCTAAAAGTTAATTTCAGTACTTTTAATTTATTCATGTGAATCGTGTGCAATTAAAGCAACATTCAATACTGAATAAGTTTATTGATATCTTACATTTATTATGAAGATAATCAAGACCTTCAAGAACTTGTCTGATGATACGTTTAACATTGTTTCTTGGAATTCCTCTATAGTTGGATTTGATGATCAATTTAAGAAGATTATGTCCAAGCACTTCAAATACCATGCAAACATGCAGACCATTAATACCACTGATCTTGAAGTCATTGAGCAACTGGACGGTTTTATTGCGCTTAGGATCGCTAGGATCTGTATCGCGCACATCTTTTAATAATTTAATTTCATCCAATGCAGTTTCAGTAAAATGAGATGCAGATTTGACCACTTTAAGTGCCACAAATCGTTTATCCTGTACAAAATATTTCAAAACATTCCCGTTTCTAAACTTAATAAGCAGAAAAATAACTATCGCCTTTAGTCGAATACATACCTGTAAGTCCCAACAGAGCCATACTGTTGAAAAATGACCCCAACCAAGTTTACGAGTTACATGGTAACGATTTAAGAATAAATCTCCTATTTTGACAGGATGGTATCCTCCTTTACAATAATCGCTGCTATCTTCCTGCTCCTCATCTTCGCTACTATATACTTCATCATCGTCCTCTATTGTTTCATTACTTGAGCTATGACACAGTTTCAGTCAATAAGTTACAGTTTCAAAAACGAAAGGTAGGGGAAAGGGGGAAAACGCAAATTAAGAAATAGAAAACAATACGCTAGTTTTTAAATTTTCGCAAGAAATAACATTAATTGGGAATACATATTTATCAAATATTTCTTAGTGTTCGCTAAACTATACGGCAACACATATAAATGGAACTTGATAGAAAGTCCGATATCGAAGCGTATCGCATAAAAGGGATCTGTTTAAACTGCAAATTGTTAGCAAATAAAACGTCGACGTAAGGGAATAGAATCACATGTTACAAATAGCCAGATACCTGTTTCCATTATCGCTGGAATATGGTCTCTGTGCCGAAGCATCCTGATAGAAACCCGATCCTTGTCCTTGTCGAGCAGCCGGTGCTTTTGAGCACTGAGCACCTGATGTATCTGATTCGCCCTGAGAATTTCCCTTCCCTTTTCGCTTGCTTGGCTTGTGCCTCTTTTTTTTAGCTTGAATCGCTAGGACCCGCCTGTTCACGTCCGTCTTTGTACTCATACCGTCCCCTGCGCCTCGATTCGACGGGCCGCTTTCCTCTCTTTCTTCTATACTTTCCACACTTCTGTTTTCACTTTTACTCGTAATTCTTTATCCAACGTATCAACGGTGATACTTACACCCGTTACCTCTTCCCCAGGTTTATGAACAATATAATACGATTTATTATCGTCTCATTTCTGCGCTGTGCCGCGCACTTCGCTCGGCGGTTGTTTGAGTATGGCCGCCCCCGCCGTCACCGTGTCCCCGTCTCTCGTTTTAAGTAAAGCAGGTGTTTTGCTACAGGTCGTCGACGCCGTCGTGTTTCCTCGTACACTTCAACCTTTTGCTTAAGTTACGTATTTACGTCAACAGTGCACTTGCCAATACAAAAGTCCTTCCTTTCCGGTACACTCACGATTTCCTTCTTCTACCTCCGTTGGTACTTGATACTCAATAGTTTGATGTCCTTTTCTATGCCGTGGTAGCAGACGAGGCTCAAATTCGGTTAAAACCTTTAAATAATAATTTTATAGTTTTCGATACTTCTTGTAACTTCAAGTCCGGATATAGTTCTTCGATGGAATTTGGAGAATATTTTGTATGTGGCTTAAGGTCTGCTTCGATAGAACTTAAAATATCTTGATAACTAACTTGATATCTACTAATTTCATTTCAACCAATCAGTGTTAGATCCATATAATTAAATGTGTAAAAGAAGCACAATAATTTTTCACATATATTATCTATTACACAATTAATTTAATCATTTGTTTTACATTAGTATCCTTTTATCATGTTTTTGGATATATTTATGACAAAACTGGGGATTTTCTATTTCATTCTACTACATATTAATATTTTCAAAAAATGTTATGAACACGAATTTAATATTACATAGTTCTCACGAAAATACTAATTATTGAGCACTATTAATATATTTTAAACTAAAAATACTTCGTCAACACGGATCTATAACAATTACAAAATTTGTTACGAGATGGCAATACTACGCGCATGAGTTATAAAATCCAAAAGTACCGCCAACTGGATGTGACATATTTCTAGTTCTAACCAAAAAATATTTTTGTGGGTGACGTTTGATTATAGAATCTTTTAAGATTATTCGACATATGATTTGGTTGTTACTTAATATTTATGTGCTTTCCGCATTACCTTAAAATAGTACTACGAAAATGGATACCATATTTCACGAAAAGGTAACTAATAATACATACGAAGTTTCTAATGTTTTTTTTTTGCGCGCAAATTATTAACGGAATAAATTATTGCAGCAAGAAGGCTTTTTGTGCGCACAACATTGTTTAAATGCTCTTTTACAAGGACCGTATTTCAATGCAGTAGACCTTGCCAATTTTGGCCACCAAATGGATGAGGAGGAAAGGATAAGAATGGCAGAGTCTGGAGTTGACAGTGAAGATTACAAACTTTTTTTAGAGGTGAATCATTGCATTGTAGCTTTTCCTGTATAAGCATAATGATGCATTTGTATCAGGATAAGTTATAAACTTTGAAAGCTTTGTTTTCTATATATATATGTATAATGTACACCTAAAAAATTTCTCTGGAATATTAATATTAACTAATAATATTGTATGTGATAAAGGGCATTAATTATTTTGCTTAGCAACCATCAGGAAACATGGACGACAGTGGATACTTCTCTGTTCAAGTTATTAGCAGTGCATTAAAAGTTTGGGGATTAGAACTAATTCCATATAATAGTACAGAACCAGCAGCTATAATGGCACAAAATGATCCTATGTATGTTTATTCTTCTTTAAATTCTTCCTAATATACTATGTATAAGTAAAAAAAAATTAAATTATTTAAATAAATGTTGCAAATTATATTCACAATCATTATTGAGATAATAAAAATTTACTATGTATTATAGCATGTATAATTTTAAAAGAGATATATCATTTTCAGACAGATGAAAGCATATATTTGTAATTATAAAGGTCATTGGTTTACTATAAGGAAAATTGGAAAGCAGTGGTTTAATTTAAATTCAGTATTAAGCGGGCCAGAACTTATATCAGATACTTACCTTTCAATGTATTTAGCCCAATTATTACAAGAAGGTAAACATTTTAGTGAAATCCGTTCGAAAGAAAGCTATAAGTACAAAATTGTATATTTCTTTATAGGTTATTCTATTTTTATTGTTATTGGAACGCTTCCTCAATGTCCTGCAGATGACATTCTTATGAGAAATCCAATAGAACCTGTATCAAAAGGACAATCATCGTTAAAACCAGAAGTAAAAGGTTATTGTCTGAGTACTAAACAAGAAGATGACCTCCTAAATGCTATCCTCATTATAGGAGAAGTTGCAGTACTTCATATACTTACTGTAGTATATTTACATCCAATACACTTAGGATCTCTATTTTTACAGGTTTAGCTAATTACACAATGTCAAATACATTTGCCAGAAGATTGTCAAGTAAGGAGAAAACAACTACAAGTAAGTCGCAAGAAAAGATAATTTCTATAAAAGTTGAAAAAGGCGAAGAAGAAGAAGACGATGAAAATGCAGAACTACAAAGAGCGCTTCAATTAAGTTTTGAAGAAAATAAAAAGAATGATATTGATAAGTACCTGAAACTGAGTTTGGATTTTCATGATTATAATAAAAAAATGTGTGCAAATGATGATACAGAGGAAGATGATGATTTGAGAAGAGCTCTTCAATTAAGTTTAGAATGTGCTACTGCTCCGCCAACACCAGAATCTGAAGATGTGCATTGGCGTCAACTAAATCATTTTGGTACATACTCAAGGACATCAAGTGGAGAGACTTCTCAAAAACTGAATATTTAATAACATATGCAAAAATATTTTTAATATTATTAATATAAATTTTATTTGTAAATTATAAATAATTAGTTACTTTGTGTAGTATCAATAAGTATTTGAAAAATAAATGTATAAATAAAAGATCTGTATACATTAAAGTTTTTACTTTATTATTAAGTTATTCATTTATTTTGAACTTAAAAGTATTTTATTTGTACCTTTGCTTATCCTTAGAAAACATGTACCTTTATTATACTTTTAAGTAAAGTCATCTTTGTATAGTTCAAACAGAATTGAATGCAATTATTTTTGGAATATTCATTGATATTATAAGCAACATCTCTTTATAATCATCATATAAAAACGTTATATTTGTGATATACTTGTTTTCACCTATGTTCTAATCCTACATTTAGAACATTGTAATCAGAAAGTTGCTTATTCATTATTAATTTCATTAGTTATTAAATACTGATTTTTGATTATTTTTATATGTAGTAGAACAAGTGAATAATTATTTCTATTGCGATATTACCAGATGGCTATGAATTGAAATTGTTAACTGTAATCACTCCGCAGTTGCTCCTGTTTTGTATGTGAATGCTGGAATGTTGACATTCAACATGGCGGCATGTCGTCAGTGCTGTGCTGTGTCGTGGTGAGTTTTATAAATCTTTCTAAAGCTATTTGGTTGCGAGCTTTATGACGAAACATATACAATCTGCTGAATTATTCGCTTTCCGACAATCGTATTCATAGTTTATAAGTCCGCGGAAGCTCTATAAATCTTTACGATACCGAAAGAAATGAGTGACCTCATAAAAAATTAGAATCTCGTAACTGGCGAGCACGTACAATATTTCGGATTTTTGTTTTGAACTCGTCCTTTCATTATAGTCGTTGTCATTTTGAATTCAAAGTTAACCGTACGAAATTCCATGCATGATACGCGCACTTATTTACTTTAAAAACAACTTACAATGAATACATCATTACATATATTTAAACATTTTCATGTGGGTGTCCAAGTATTGTATCCCATTTGGAGCAGAGTTCGAGAATTATGATTTAAATAGAAAATTAATGATAATGATGTTTTGATTACTTGTGTAACATCAATAAACGAAATTTAGAACACAAGTAAAATTTTGACAAACAAGTAGAAAACATTGAAAAAATAATACCAGTTGAAGCATAAAAAGTCAATGTCAAACTGGCAGTCAATTACTGTGAATATCTAATTTATCTTACATTCAACCACAAATAGAGTACATCAAATATATTAAGAATTGCCATGTATACTTGAATATTTCTATAATGTGGAGTGAAAAATATATAATAACCTATATGTACAAATGAAATATTACCTCTGGTAAAAGTTTATTTTCTATTTTATTTATTTCAGGTAAAATTTATTATATAAATGCATAGAACATACTAACAGTAATACTTATATATTATCTCTGATATTTTATCAAATTTTATATAACTTTTAAAACCTCAATAAATATTTTTAAATATAATCATTTTTGAAAATATTATCTGAGCTTAATTGTTTAGATATTTTCTTCTAATATTTTGTTTAAAATGTAGAAATTTCATTCAGAAATATGTTTCTTTCTTTTCTTTTAAATAAGTAATAGTTATAAGAATAATTTATTAAATAATTATGGATTTTTTTAATGTAAGAAAAGATAATATTTATCTATGCTAATTCTCTTTTTTTAAATCTTTTATAAATGAAGCTCGTAATCATTAATGCACATGTGTTAATTATGAAAGATATCAATTTAATCAATATATTTTCTTTTTTATTTCAGCTTGTGTAATTGTTAGTTTAGGACATTTTTGAAACCAAGGCTCACTGTAAATTCCACAATTAAATGCTGAAGAAAGAAACGCTAACATAGAAATATTGGAACAACACAATCACACTCAGCACGCATTGAAGACATCTGAGGATTTTCAAGTCAACATTTATCTTTTAAATCTTCTATGTTTTTTGATTTACTCCTTTTATAAAGGATGACTGTTGTTTAAAAGGAACACGGTTGTTCTAGAGTATGCTGAATTGAGTATATATCAAACAGTTGTTATAACACTCGTGCATACATATGTGGAAAGTATCAATGGTCTATGATGTGCTAAGAATTTTGTACTTGTATTAATTCGTAAATCAATATTAACTATATTGTTCATTTGTATATTATGTACACAAGCTTTGTGAGAAAGAGTTAGGTGAGCCATAAAGTGACCGTGATTGTGATTGCGGCTGAGATTGTGCTGCTCTTGACTAATAAAACACTTGTATCTGTATAAAGAGTGCCAATTTTGTGCAGAGTTGCCCAGGTACTCTCTTACAAATAATTTATGAAAAAAGGTCAAAATACTTGCAAAACCTTCCTTCCACTTCTTGGTCACAAAGGAGTCTGCATTTCTGCAACATTTTAAAGAGCCTCTCTTCCTCTGTATTAAGTTCTTGTAACATTATAATAGTGAATGAAGATATAAGGTACCAAGAACCGTTCTGTGATATCTATGTTAACACTTAAATAATTGAAAAGACTAAAAATTTCTAAATATAAGTATATATATATATACATATATATATTGTGGTGAAACGGAAGTGAACATAAAAGAAAATTAAGTAATTGTTTCAACAAAAAAAAGAAAAGATAAAGGAAATCTTATAAGTAAAGATTACATTTAAAATTGTGCAAATTTGAGACAATGTCCAACAATCCTCAGTGGAAAACGTTCCAGCCGCCAATCATGAACTCTGACCCTGCAATACTTGATTACAAGTCCATGGCTATATCAAGTCCCAAAGTTATAACGGGATCACATCAATCGACAACTAATATTTATCGAAATGGTACCAACTACAGTGGTGATCATTATATGATGGATTCACCTCCAAGAAATGGAAAAAGTACCATAAATTATGCCGGTTATCCTAATACAAAAACGTCACGAAATGGAGTTACTAGATTTCCCTTTGGAACATTTACAGGAATGGAAGGAAACACTGGCTATACAGAGGAGCCAGCAACAAATAACTCTACTTATCAAGATCAATCATCAAATCAAGGACCTCGAGAAACAGGAATAATTGAAAAATTACTAGTAAGAATTTTGTTGCCTTTCAAATATTACCACGTCTTTGATTATGACAATTGTAACATTTTTCTTTTATTCTAGCATTCTTATGGATTTATACAATGCTGTGAAAGACAAGCAAGGTTATTCTTTCATTTTAGCCAATTTAGTGGTAATATAGAACATTTGAAAATTGGAGATCCCGTTGAATTTGAAATGACTTATGATCGAAGAACAGGAAAACCTATTGCTAGTACAGTTAGCAAAATTGCTCCAGAAGTGGTTAGTATACCCTCGAACGACGGAGCCAGGTCAATCGCGATTTAGACAAATTTTTAACAATTCGAATGCCGCGGGGGCCACCGGCGAACGGCGCCACAAACTTAATATGATCCAATAATTGAAAAAAATTCAAGAAAGTTCTAAGTATCATTAATATAATATTAATTTCTTGAAATACACTCGCGTAATAATTATTGTAATAGTCCAACATCTAGAAACTAGAAATGAAATAGAGTCTGAAATGAAATTACCCCTGTCTCCGCGTTCTGCCATCCGAAGATTCTATAATCATTTTGAGGTAACAGTATTGAAACTGAACAAAAACCTTATAATGTAGGTGCTAAGCGAAGAAAGAGTTACTGGAAATGTAACAACAGAATTACAAGCAAGTGGTGACTCACTGGGTCGTATCAGTTATGAAAATCGAGGAGAATGTTTTTTTCTGCCATATACGAAGGATGATGTCGAAGGAAATGTTACTTTGCGCGCTGGTGACAGAGTGTCATTTCAAATTGCTACCAATCAGCGGTACGTAATTCGCTAGAAAACAACGAACTGTACAGAATTAATACAGTTCTGCAATTCATTTGCAGTGGAAATTTGGGTGCGTGTCATGTAAGATTGGAAAATCCCGCACATCCGGTTCGCTATTGTGGAGTGGTATGCTCGATGAAAGAAAATTTCGGCTTCATTGAACGCGCTGATGTAGTTAAAGAGATTTTCTTCCACTTTAGCGAAGCTAAATCTATGAAAGAAGAACTTAAACTAGGCGATGATGTTGAATTCATAATACAAACACGAAATGTAAAGATACATTTATTTTAGACGAAAAAAAAATAATTCTTATTTAGTATAAATGTAAATTTAATTACCTTTAATATCTTCAGGGAAAGGAGGTAGCTTGTAATATAACTAAATTGCCACCTGGTTCAATAGTTTTTGAAGAGGTCAGTAACGAGGTAGTAAAGGGACAAGTACTGAAGCCTTTAGAAAGGGGTACTGCAGCTCGTCATCAAAATGATCCGTTACCTGGAAGAATTCGATATAGAGATACAGATCATTCTGAGGTTGAAATTCCGTTTGGCGACAAAGATCAAAAAGGAGATTTTACTCTCAGGTAGTTATAGTTATCAATCATTTTCATTAATTTTCATCAAATTAGTTATAAATTGATGTATTTCGTAGACACGGGGACTGGGTCCAATTTCGTATTGCTACAGATACTAGAGATCAATTGAAGAGAGCCACCGAAATATTATTACTACCTGAATCTTTTACTGTATCTGGCGAAAGACGTGAACAAGGCGTTATAACTGCACTAAAAGATGGGTTTGGTTTTATTCGTTGCGTAGACAGAGATGCACGACTTTTCTTTCATTTTAACGAGGTTCTGGATGTTGATAGAGAAATTAGTGTAGGGGATGAAGTTGAATTTACAGTAATTCAAGTAAGAATAATATCTTTTTCTTTTTAGAAATCATTCATTTAAAAAAAAATATGTATTTCAATAAAATATTTTTGTATAATAGGATCCTTCCTCATCGTTTTCAAACAATCGACAAAGTGCAATTAGGTTGAAACATCTACCAGCTGGTACAGTCCAATTTGAAACGATTATAGAGAAAGATTTATTGGGTACTATTATTCAGGGTATAAATGGCATTGAACCCGGTCTCATTGGATACACGAAGGATAACGTGCAGAAAAGTGTTATTTTCTTTAGCAAAGATTGCGATCCTAAGAATATTCCAAGATTAGGTGACAAGGTATATTAATATTTGTTCGTATTGTAAATTTATAGATATGTCTGTTTAAAGTATCGATATTTTAGGTTCAATTCAGTATCTGTCAGGTAAAACGAAATAAAGAACTTGTTGCTGTCGACATATCTCTAGTGAGTTCTTCTGGCGAGAAAACTCAAAATGGCAACAAAAAATTAAATGGTCAAGTTTGTCAGGGCTTCATTGCTGCACTTAAAGACGGATTTGGTTTTATTGAGACTGTAAATCATGATAAAGAGATATTTTTTCACTTCAGGTAATTGATTGAAATTACTCACAACGATTTCTCACTCACGATGGATTTATAACACATGTTTTTTTTTTTTTTAATTGTTTAGTAATTTTGAAGGAGATGCTAGTACTTTGGAAGTAGGAGCTGATATTGAATGTACGATTAGTTCCGGAAATGGTAGAGGTAATGGTGGTTGCGTAGCCGCAGATTATGTTAAATTGGTACCTCGTGGAAGCATTCCTAGGCCAACACCGGTTAGCGAAGTACTTGATGGAATGGTTATTAGACCTTTACGAAGTGCGAATCCTGACCAGGCAGAGTATGCTGGTTTAATTAAAGTAAATCCAACTAATGAAGACGATGAGACTCCGGAATATGAATTCAGAATCATGGGGCTTGTTAACAAACGCGAGCTGCTACAAGCTGGTGATCCTGTACAATTACAAGTTGACTCTGCAGGTCATGCTTGTAACATTGTAGCAGTTAGAAAAAAGAGGAGAGCAACTGTGGACGCAGTAAAAGGTCCTTTTGGTTTTCTTGCTTATGAAATTGATGAGGGTAAGAAATTATTCTTCCACATGAGCGAGGTTAAAGATCATGCCATACTTCAACCAGGGGATCAGGTTGAATTCGTTCTGATTACAAATCAACGTACTGGTAAATCATCTGCATGCAATGTAACACGTTTAAGGTAAATTTTCATATGATCTGCATATTTCTGTTGTGTATTTTCTTTTTGTATTTTCATCATTACTTTGAATAATTTTTAAATTTTTTAAATTTTATTCTTTATATAGCGATGCAGGTCAACAACGACCCGAACGCTTAATCAGTCGACTACGTACTACGTCTTTGGAAGATACAGGTCCTAAATTAACCATAGTTAGACAACCAAGAGGTCCAGACGGGACGCGTGGATTTAGTCAGGAAAGATCCCAGCATACCTCTGGTGCCATCCAAGAGTAATGTCGTATTGAAATGGTTACTGCTTATCCAAATTGTAATCTACATTACTTGTTTTTAGTCCATACACTTCGGTACCGAGATTATTATTATTATAAGCATCGTAAACATTTGCCAAATTGAAACTAATATGGCAGCAATAATAATCAGTCGATTGGATCATGATCTTGTTGAGAAACAGAAGAATATAAAATAAACAACAAAAAAACAACGAGTCATTTTATCATCTTATACAATATGAAAATAATCAAGAAGGCAGTTTGTCTGAATTAACTTAATTTCTTTAAAAATTTACCAAACATCTTGTTCCTTTTCTGAAAAGAAGTGTAACAAACTTTTATAATTATTAACAATAATTGCAAAATATTAAAACTTCTAATTATTATATTTCTTTTTTTTTTCAATAAAAATTTTACACACATTTCCGTCATTCGGTTTATTATAAATGCAGTTACGGATTGAAAGAAAAGAATTTACTATAATACCGTTGACAACCTGCCTGTTTGTAATGTTTAAATGTCCCATCTGTGTTTATAAAAATATACGTAAATGTTGATACAATTTTTTATTTATATTATTTTCTTTAGAATATTTGTTTTACCTGTAATGTACACGACGATCAGTTAATAATTGTATAATAGATAATGAAATTTATAATTTTGTTGTAATTGGTCAAGTAATCAAACTTGTTAAAACTTGTGAATTTACATAATTTTATAATCGAAAAAGCAGACATGTATTTTACTATATAAATCATTGTAATATGTCACTATGTTGAAACGAAAAAAAAAAAAGCCTGAATTTGTAAAAAAGTTATAACCTGGCCAATTGTTTGTCCTAGATGATATATAATATATAAATATATATATATATATATATACATGTCGTTAAGTTCCTGATGCTGTCTCGCGTTCTAAAAATCAAACTAGAGTATTACAGATTCAACTCGATATATACTATACATAAAAAAGATGATCATGAAAAGTACTTACGTGAAAAGTAAAGGGATTGCATTTTATAAGTTTTGCCATGAAAAACGTCAAGCAAGGTACATAAGAATTATGTAGAAATAGATGAAAGGAGTAAAATGATAACGGGCATTAACACAAGCACGATACAAACTAAATGTCTGTCAGAAAATAATTCGTGAATCCAACACATCATGTGCATACATATTGTAAAATTATTGATGAAATAAACAGTGAAACTATTAAACGTTTTTTTTTCCATGAATTTTTAGACATAAAGTGTATCAACATTTTTTTCTCTTCTTTTCTTTTTAAATAAATATTATTTCCATTACTGCAACGAAATCATAAGCAGCCAACATACATCAACAATTATTTCTTCTTTTTACTAACAAGAGGATTATTATATGTACAATATGTCTACTATGTATGTACAAAGATGTGTAAATTTTCCCAAAATATGTTTATTTTTTTTGTACTTAACATACTGAATGTATTCGATTTCGAATAGATGAGAAGGCAAAACATTGCAGATCAAATTATAACACACTCATAAGGGAATGGTCCTCGAAAGCGTTGATTATTATTTGGTCCCGGACAAGCTGTAAAACATAATGATTATTTTATTGGATGAAATTTTTTTTTTTAATGCTATTCCAGTAGTTTATTCTTGACACGAAGCTGTGAAATTACTAATTGCTTACGTTTATCACAATGTGATCCGTAGTAACCAGTACCTTCGCAGCGACATTTAAACCCAGGTTCGGAAGATATTTGCAAGCATGATCCCCCGTTCATGCAAGGTTTTGACCTGTAGCATATATCTCCACGCCTACCTGTAAAATTGTTTAATCATAATAAAAATTAAGCATTCTTCCTGTAATAAAAGCTAGCAATTTACATTTTCTCAAACATTTTTATTTTTAACATCGAAAATTAAATTAACAGGTAAGTCAATACCTCTTAACGCTTCTTTACAGTCTTCGTTATTATTGTATCTGTATTCAGCGGAACATCCGTAACCGCACCTGCATTGCGCGTTATAAATACGACACCCATATTGCATTTGATCCAAATCACAAGCTTGTGATAATGTACCTGTTATCATATAAAATAATTCAAATATTTTAACGAACATAATAACATATACAACTTATGATAATCGAGCTGTAATTAATTATTAAGTAAGAATGTTTTATGTTTTAAGTTTTCTCTTACTATATTTTAATAAATGTCTGAAAAATCAATTAATTTTGTTTTTATTTCACGCGTTCTTTCATTGAGAAGAAGAAACATGATGAGAATAATAAAGGGGTAATATAAAATTTGAATTTCCTAAAAAAAATTATATTTATATATTTCAGTGAACGTTCTATATACATAAATGTATATCTAGTGAACGTATCTGCAGTTTATTTACCCTGAAGAGATAATGAAACATGCCGGAGGCAAGTATTTGTACCGGATATGTTCATTGCACTTCCCACTTGTCCAAATTGATAAATGTTTAACGAGATAGAGAATGATTGTGTGGGTTAATTGAATTTTGGGTATAAAATCTCTCTTTCTTCTAGCGTAGTTCGGTCTGAAATATTCTCATTATTTTTTCTTCTTATCAACAGCACTAGTCATTCACTATAAATGATATATTTCGCTAAGTAGAATCAGTTAGAAGAGACGCGAAACGTTGTGCATCATCGAAAGTACACTCCCTTATCAAGACACGTTATCTGACCACTCGGTGAATGAACCGAGACATGTTTCTTTCAAATAAATGAGAATCATTTATTTTACTCTGAATGAATTACCATCGCGAATTAAAGAAACCATAATAACCGTATGTCTTCAAGATATTCTTTTAACAACGTTGAATTCAATTTTCTGTAATTAAGCTTAATACATCGAGGACCTCGTATTTTACGGAATCGACGTATCTTGTAATTTTTAATTTCTTCTTATAACGAAAAAAATAAATGGAAATAAATTAAAAAATGTTAACATACAAAGTTACATATCAATTAAATACACACAGTTATTTTTTGTATAGTCATATAGTATTTATAATAAATTTCATTACGGAAGTTATAAGTAAAGAAGTGATTTAACTTGTTATTTACACAGTAATAAAAAGATATGAATAAGGATAAAACAAGAAACGGATATAAAAACGCACGAAGCGTTTGGATTAATCTGTTTACCGAATTTAAAACAATATATCTTTTCAGTCCGAGGGTATAAATGTTTATGCGAGTTAATTTTGAAACTAATGGATTTCCATAGAATGTTAACTGTTAATTAAATACTAAGTTATTCGATAACACCCAAATCTGGAAGAAATATATGAAATGGAAAGAAAAAAAGAAGAAACATGTTCATACCTATAATTACGAGTAGCAGAATTATTGGTGATACCAATCGAGGTAGCATGATGGGTTTAAAACCTTATACGCAGTCTGGGGGAGAAGCGTTCCGATAACGATAATCCAGATAATCGCAGAGAAGTTGGAAGACAGAGATCGACGACCGGCGCCTGCAGTTTGGCTTTTCCTTCGACTCTCTTTAGGGTCAAAGGTCGACCGTTCGAAAGGGGTTCTTTACGCATTCACTATCGTCAGGATAAAAATTCGTTGTTCGGTAGAATATGTTCTCCGTGACAACGAACAACTCTCCTCGTTGAGAGCGACAACGTAACTGAACCGCCGACTCCAGGCAGCTGGAGGCAACTGCCTCTTCACGACTATTAACTAAATGTTTGTACGGACTAACGCGCCTAGGATGCCCATCGGACTCCACTGAAACCATGCGTGGGGTGTAAAATCGTCCGTTCGTTATACGACGCCAATATATTTAGCAGCTTGTCTAAAATTACTGTTTCCTCTGTCCTGCATGATTGACCGTGATTACTTTATCACTTCTCTGTGTATTTATGTACTGTTTTAGATAAAAAAAAAAGGAAGATAATTGTTTCATGAAATTGAAATGGTGTTCATTTGAAATTGACCAAATCTGATGTTTTATTACCTGAGTTTAGACCTACACAATTTGTAACAAGACCCTCTACAGGGTTTTCTTCTTCTCTACAGGGTTTTCTTGAATAAACCACATGGTGGATAGGAAATATTATCAGCATTAAGACTTGGAAATAACTGAGATTTTTTGTTTCCTAATACCTAAAATTATTAAATATAAGTGTATTAAACATTTTGTAAATGTATATTATATTTTTATGTTTATCGTGTGTAACGTATCTCTTGTTCTTTTCTTTTCTTTTCAAGGAAATTTGATGTAAATAGTAGTGTTGGACGATTAGGGAAACATGTATATTATCGCGTTTTAAAGTTCGATAACATTTGACATGAACGGTCATAATTCCGGAAGTAGATGTTGCTAACATCGAGGAATGTGAACAATTTGTGCGATTTCCTTCTAAAAATTGTTATTTATAAGATACGTCTGATCAATGTTAAATATGTATGTAATAGAGAAACATTAAATTGTACTAGCAAACAAAGATTATAATACCATAATAAAATTAAAAATTGGGTCAAGGCGGTTTATTAATTAGAATAATAATTTATTGAAGAAAACATAGTCTTTTGATTCTTGGACGGATTATAAAAGTTTTAAGGCACTCAGTTCCCATTGTATACCTAAATTTGAGTACTAGCATTGCGAATATTTTACAAACATAACCTGAAATTCGAATGTAACGATTATTTAAATTTTTTTTTTAATATACCTATGTTTACATAAAAATTGGTATCTTCAATCCTCTTGATGATAATTGAATATTTTTATATTCTAAAAAATAATATTTATATAAAATATAACTTAATGCTAGATATAATGATATTAAAATAATAACTGTTAGTACCTTACATGAATGTTTGATCATGTTGTTCATGAATCATTGTTGCCCGTCGAGATTGAATCATACCACTCTGCCTATTGTACAATTCTCTTACCAAATTGTCCTTTTCTTGTTCAAGTATTGCTATTCGTTGGCTTTTTTTACTAACTTCCTAATTTTCAATTATCACGAGTAAGTTAAATATAAACGTGATTGCTATGTAACACTTATCTGTGCACACTTACTTCTGTTAGTCTGTGATTTTGCTGCTTCAGCCTAGATAGCATATCTTGCTGAAGTTGTGTTGACGTTGGAGTACTAAGAAAGGCAAGATTCATGTGGAGGGGAAGTCCACCACGTTCCCAACTGCTTATTAATGCAGCTAAATGTCTATTAACTTCCAATACCCGCGCACGTTGTAACTCTAAACGTTCCTGCTGCGCTTCTGTCCACTGCTCCTAAAACATAAAATGTATGTTAGTGGAAAATAATTAAAGCAATTTTATAGAATCTGGAACAGATTCGATACCACGTGAGATCCCATACGCCCGAGATATTTGATTTTTTCCTGAGTAGCAGAGATTTGTTTCAAATACCATTCTCTGGCTTTATCTACCGCAGTTAGACCTTGCAGCAATACATCTTTTTCTTGTTCAATTTGTTTCATTCTCTTCATCTAAAAATAAAAATATCATCAAATAATTTCATCTACTAAAAACGAAAAAACAGGCTTCCCAACTGGTATAATTTGTCCAAGTATCATAGAAGCTCAGCGTATGATGAATATATTAAGCATAAATTTTATTGCTATCTACGTGTTAATAGTCATTTAATTTCAAGCATACCCACAACCGATCATTAGTTGGGAATCCTAGAGGAGAACATCTTTACCATATTGTAATCAATACCATTCTGCAACGTATGGCGTCTAGGTTCTCTGCGTCGATTTAACGGTTTCTTAGGTTGCAAACCAACTTGATTATTTTGTAAATCAACCGCTTTACCATCTCCCAATATTCGGGTTGGTCTCAACAATGTTCTAGCATCTGATCTATAGTTTACCGCTGGCAATTGTCTTTTATCTAAAGCCTTATCATCGTTCATCAACAAACCCATTTGCCAATTTTGTAGCACAGTTCGAATTTCGGATTTGTCAAAATTTCTATCCGAATTGGTAGTCCTAGCTTCTAATGCAGCACCTGTTCTGGGAGGTTTAGGTGGTCCATACGCTTTGTTCAGCTTTGATTCCGTTCCATTTCTACCATCCATTAACTCTAATTGCGCATGATTAGTTTCCTTTCGACCTGCTAATAACTGTGGCATACTTAAAGTACGTTGCTGAGATATAGCATTATTTGGTCTAATAGTTGCAGTGTTTGGAGATGTCCATGTTGTCTTGTTTTGACTATCAGGTATAAGAATTGGAGCAGATGGTGGTCTATTCTGTTGACCATCGTGTTTCTTAGAATCAGATTCAGCTTGTATTTGCAATAAACATATCTTGAGTCCTGTGCAAAACCTTTCGAAAGATAATAAACCATTAGGTGGTGTAACTTTTTTAAGGCTATCTAAAACACCTTTAGGAAGCCCTTGAGTTCCATCGTCTTGCCATCTGCCTTCTATATCCGAAAATTTGACAAAGCCCGTGTTTTGATCATCCATTATATCAAAAAGTGTACGCATAGCGCTAACAAAATGTTTTGGCAATCCATCAGCGCCCGAATTTTGTATTTGCGCCATATTTATAAATAAACGTACTCAAAGTATGATTATTAAGACAACATACGTTCATTTAGACACCAGATTAATACATTACCCTCCTGGTAGGAGAAGATACATTGTCTTTTTAAGGAATGTTTGTTCGGTCAATCATTTTTCTAGTTAACCATTACTTTACTTGTTGGATTAACTTTCTTTCCTTTGCCCAACATTTATTAATACGTACTTAAAAAATATCAAAAAAATAATGCCTGTCAGATATGAATACATTGAATGCTTTTTAGATGCATTTTCTCTTTCCCTCCTTGTCAATAAAATTTACTTTTCTTCTAAGATAACCTCTTCAACTTTCATTCGTATGCAACTATACATATGCAAGCGCAACCGATGAGACAGGTGTGTCGAATGAGTACGAACACATCTAGAACGTACTACAGTTATTTTTCTCATAGAAACTGTTCTTAAAGAATAATTTTTTCAAAATTGTTTATCGATAGCTGATATATATATATTTAAATTTCATTAACTCTTTCAATTTGTTTAATGAAAGATTGTTGCAAAGTATACATATAAGAGTCATGGTGCCGAAGGAAACGAGAGAAAGTAAGGAAACTTTTCAAACTAAAATAAAGCAAGAGATATATTACTCCCGCGATTATTATGCCTTCTATAACTTCTTATTTATTCCTTTTTTACATAATATAATACCATTATCATTTGTTTAATAATTCTCTAATCAAATGCAATTTTCTACAAACATAAATTACTCTAAGCATACATTTAATGAACTATTTAAAGAATTACGTTCTCAGCTAGTACTAATTTATAGCACGCATGATCTAATCGCCTATAATAGAGAAAGCATTATTTAATCTAGCGCACTGATCATGTTACCATCAGAAGAATATTCTTTATTCTGTCCTTCTACCGGGTTCTGAGGATCTTCGACATTAGGACTTTTGTCGATATCGCTATCAGAGGATGAAGTATCTTGAGGTAACTCGATACCTTGTGTTAAAAGACTCGTTATCCTTTCAACGTCCACCGTATCATCCTGCTCGTGTATCTTTCTCAGGGCATTCGAAACGATACAAAGATCACCCCTGAGTTCACTGACCACTGCTGTAATCTTCTGAGCGTCTGTAAGAACTTCTACCGACTGTGTGTAAGGATTGTAACGTAACCCGAATGGACGTTGTATTTGATTAGCAAACGATCTGGAAATATGAAATATGACACTGTGAGGATCACAGTAGGCTTCGCAGGAGAAAATTCCATCGCTACTTGTCGCTATGATTTTGGAACAAAGAATCGTTTATATACCGCATTTTCTCCTTCGCTTCCTCGAAACAATCCGTATAGTAATAGGCGTTTTGGAACGCAGTGATAATGCATTCTTGTTTGCAAGTTACATCCGGTTCGAATCGAAACGTTTTCTCCGGGGCTGAAACGGCATGTTTTAATTCCGCGACAGAGGACAATAGCCCTGCCCCATAAACACGAAGCACGCCATCCTGTTTGCATAATCCAAATTCCACGGTGAAGAAATACAGCTAGAGAAGAAAAATATATGTGTCACGAATGGAACATCCTTCTTTGTTAAAGTAACCTTCCGATAAATTTTTGTAAACTTTTGATGAGATTGAGGAATGTGCCTCGTGCACGGTACACTTACAGTTGCCAATTTATTGATGTCCTCGTCCGAGGCTCCAAGGGAGGCGAGTCCAAGTTCTTGCGAGAATTGAGCGAAACTTGGATTCGCTAGAAGCGGCATGTGTCCTAACAATTCGTGACAGCAGTCCCTGTACATTATTCAAGAAACTTAGAAACGGAAAACAATGAACAAAATGTACAGTGTCCTATGTAAATATTATCAGGAAGCTTGAAGGTTTTTCTTCGATTTTATAAAAAATTATTTCAGATTAAAAATGTGCCTATTGTATCCTGTATATAATTCATTAAAATTCCAAATTTCTTTTATCTCCGAATTATATATGAGAACAAAAATGAAAAAAAAAAAAAAAAAAATGTTTAAAGTTATACCACAGGAAGAGATGGTTAGAATTTTATCCGAAGGATACACTTTTAAAATGAAAAAAAAAGGGATCAAATCTTATGGCGATAATTAATTATTAAAATTCAAATATCACTCACGGTTCAGGCGTGTAAAATGGATCCGACGAGTGTCGAATGTATTGCGTACAATGGAATACACGAAAAGCAAGACCAGCTAAAAAATCTCTCGGTGAGAGATAACCAGCCACGGGTCGAAGTTGAAATCCAGTTGTCCCTGACAATAAAATTTTCAATCATACTTTCAATCTTTATCAATTTATCGATAAAATTCTACACTCACGTTTCAGGAATGCATTTACATCTTGCAATTGTGGTATATTATCCTCCCTGTTGTTAAAATATAAAACTCGTCAATTAAATCCTCGTTTCACTTAATTTAATTTAAAATAAAAACAGTTTACCTATAGCCGCAGTATTTCACAAGTTTTGGCCAATTTTCTAAATATTCCTTGCAAGCGTGTTTCTGATAGAGTTGATGTAATTCACGGAAAACAGTTCCCCTAAATTGTATAAATACGAAAGAAAAATTAATTAAGAGGAACAAGTTTCATTTCTGTTTAAAGTTCTTTTTAATACAAAGATAAGTCTTGGAGATTTCCTTAAATAGATTATTTATCCGCATTTCCGTTGCACACATCCGGCAGGAATTGGATTAGAGAAGTCACTCGAAGATCGTGAGGATAAATCGAATAAGGACAATTAAGGGGTGCATTCAACGTGAGCCAACCTCCGCTTGTTCACACGTCATGAAGGAGGAAGATGGAAGGAAAACTCTTCGTTTTGTATTGGCAAGGTTCTGGAAACTGTTTCGTAATCGAAGGAAGAACTTGCGAAGATAGAAGAAGAATCGTCTCCTTATTCGTTATAGATTGCCTTCGCATTCTTCAAAGCACGTACGGAGATTTCTTGTAACGAGCGAAGAGAATCAAGAATTTCTTGCAATGATTCTAATTATTTTTATTAAATTTGTAATAGAAGAGTTTTGCAAGAATTTTTTATTTCAACGTTTCGATGGCTGCAGTTTATAATTTGAAATTATCAAATTATAATTAGTAGAAACATTCTAAATAAGAATAAAATTACAAACCATGTTCTGATTTCTTCTGAAGTATACTGAACACGAGGAATCGGTTGACCACTGAAAAAAAGAAATAATAATTTGATCTTTGGGTAGTAATTAATTACTATGCAAGAAATTGTTCATTTCTTACGTACTATTTATAATTGTTCGCAATATCGGCGAATTGTACACGGCGTTTGCGATAAATGGGATCTTTGAAGCCCTAAAAATGTCGAAGATCGAACTTGTTAAACATAGGTCTTTCTATAATTAATATATGATATAAGAAAAACGTACAGGATGATCTGCGTCTAATTCAGATCCATACATGAGCACTTTTTGGGCTTGATCGAGATCCGATATTTTTCGTGGGAACCATGGCATATCTACTTCACTGAAATCTGTTAACATTCAGGAGTAATTAAATATATAGGAACTTATTAAACTTAGGGTTCTAAAGGGTTAATTTATAAATTTAGAGTTTCTAAGGGTTACTTTTTAAATCTACATTTCCAAAGGGTTAATTTATAAATTTAGAGTTCCAAAGAGTTAATTTATAAATTGAAGGTTCCAAAGGGTTAATTTCTGAATTTAGAGTTCCAAAGGGGTTAAATTCTAAATTTAAGGTTCCAAAGGGTTGATTTCTAAATTTAGAGTTCCAAAGAGTTAATTTATAAATTGAAGGTTTCAAAGGGTTGATTTCTGAATTTAGAGTTCCAAAGGGGTTAAATTCTAAATTTAAGGTTCCAAAGGGTTAAATTCCAAATTTTAGGTTCCAAAGGGTGAAATTCTAGATTTAAGGTTCCAAAGGGTTAATTACTAAAAGGGTTCCAAACTATTACTCTCCATTATTAATATAACAGTGATGCTATTTTTCTCTTTTCCTCTGTTAAATCATTTAAGATCACTAGTTCAACTTGTCACCAAAATGAATAACTATTATTTCACAGAAGAAATTGATCAAAGATGACGAAAAACTTACCGAAGCTTGCAGCGGCGGAAAGCATTGGACCATGAGGAATATTTCCCGTTTGTTCGTACTGTGCCAAATTAATAGCAGCGACTTCGCGACTCAACATTCTCGTCAATTGTTCCATCCTTTTGGAATCGCATTCTACATCAACGAGAATCTCGAATTCGGAACCGCGACGCATTGATCTTCGCGATTCGATATGAACCACGTTTACGCCCAGATCCTTGGTGCAAAATTTTAATTAAATTATAGAGTAAATATTGGAGTTCTTGTTAAACAACGAAAGCAATTATGTAAAAATATATGACAAAATAATGTAATAAAAATATTGAAAATAAAGAGCAAGAAAATGATTAATTATTTTCCGTTCAATTAAATATTGTACCTGAAACACTTGCAGTGCCCTTGCCAAACCACCGACTTGATTTTTTAATGAAAAAACCACGGAATTTTTGCTATCTTTGTTCGGTTGCCGTTCGACCATGGGGATCTGAACGAAGGAAAGAACATATCCATGCGTTACATTCAACTTACGCGATGCATATTGATTCTTTCTTAATTATTACAACCAAATATTTAAAAAAAAACTGATTAAAAAATTTACAAATTTACAAGTTCGAAGCTTCACTCTACATGAAACTGAAATCTTTTTCTCGATGGATCTATTGTTCGAGGATAAAAAAAAATGTTTACACTTTGCACTAATTTTAAATGAACGCACGTCGCTTGATTTGTGAATGGGACTTCCTTCCTTGATGGCCCAATGTTCACCCCTTTTGTACAGCCACACCCCGAGGAGACCTTTCCCCGATCCACTCATGATGATCTCGATAATTATTTTCGATTTGACACTATATTAATTTTATAATTCCTGCAATAATTTTTTCAGGATAACGGCTGGAAATACTTCAAGGATCACGAGCAACAGTGTCCCGGTACCGGTGCTGTCCGGCTCTTCTTAAGACCTCGGTCCCCTCCGCGTACGGATTCTTCTCAATGACAATCTGTTCGCGATTGGTCGACGCACAGTAGTACGAGGTTTCCCCATTGGTCGGATAAGACTTTTCATGGGGTTGAAGAGGAGTGTTGGCTCACCCCATTTAACTGTAACTGTGCGCCGCTTGCTGAATGTATATTCTTCGTGACGTCACTGGAACCTACAAAACGTGGGAGGTGCAAGAGTCGAAGACGATGTACGAGAGAAGAGATTGCAAGATCCCATGAAAGAGGCTTTTTTTTTTTTTCCTAGTCACCAGTTCCTTCCTTCGATTCGCACATGGATCAGGGACGTTCTCCCTGTAGGTTTCTGGGCCAAGTGAAATTGGTTGACCAGGAAAAAGACACGCATTCCTGCGTTGTCTTAGTTGTTTCCTTTTTTTTTTTTCTAACACTTTCATTTTAGCGAATTTTGTATTTTCAAATTTACTTCCATAAATGGTTCCCTGAGGCCATTTAAAAACTTGATAATGATATAAATTTTCAAATATTAATTAAGCTGACCAAGGTACAATGATATTGATGTTTTGATATTTTTAATTAAGAACATTATTGAAAATTTACATTCTTTCCAACTTCTAATATTTTTCTTTTCACGCTTGTAAAATCAAAGGAAATCAAACAGTGTCTCGGTAAATGTCAAACGCGTCTTTGGACGAGGAAGTGTTTCCGAAAAGTGCAGTCTTCTTTAGAGAATTGAATTTTTTTTTTTCAACGAGACAATCGTTCTCCCTTTGTATTTCTTTCCTCGGAACAAAGGGTGGTGTTTAATAAAAGCTCGAGGAGAAGCTACTTCTCGATTCTTGGCAAAGCAGATGCAGCACATTACCAATGTCCATCACTTACCGCTATCAGCTACCATCCAGCTTTACCCTCGCTAAATTATACCGAGCATTCCTTGTGGCATTAAGAGAATTGAAAGTATCGTTCGATCTGCGAAATGGATCTTTCGTTTATCGTCATGTTTGTCAGCCATTAAATCGTTTTTGACGATGAGTCTTTTGAGATGTTTTTAACCCTCTTTGTTATATAACAAAGTATATAATAATATTTAAAAAAGTGACGGTGACCTTGAAATCTTTGAAATTTTTGAAACGCCCCCACTTTTGGAACCAACAGGTGCATCAGCTGATGCTCTCTTTGACACCATTTAATTTTTCTTAATGACATTTATTTCTAGAGATACAACAGCCCTTATAAATATTTTTATAAGCGATAACGTCTGTTAATATCTGCAACCACCCGCATTTCAAGATCTAGAGTTTCATTTGTAGAGAACCCACAAAATGAGATATCTTCTTTGACCCTTTAAGCTCAAAATTGAATGTTCCATTGTACTTTGAATAACTTTCAGATCAAGATGAAAGATATAGAATTTAGTATTCGTTCATAGAGTGAAGAAAGCTTTTGTGAATGATTCCACCCTCAAATTTCCGAATGAAAGATTTCTATATATTAGAAGGATAATACGATGAAACAAATTACTGATTGAATTTAAATTTTAATTAGCACTGTTCAGCTCTATCATCCGAGGGTTGTAGTCATTTGAGATATTATAGTTCATTTCTGAGTGGAATGTTTTTATACCAATTTTCAACTAACAATTACTCAGAAGAGAATAAGTGGCCATCTCAAGAATTAAAATTGGCCATTCTAGAATTACTCACTCTTACAGATTATCAAAACTCCAGCTCCCCAATGTGAAGAGTGTGACTCTGCAATATCCATAGATCATTTAATCCTCCACTAAATATGATTTCCTCCGCAACGAACATAAACTAGAATCTTCACTCAAGGACAACTTAAATTTATAAAAGATACCAAACTGATAGAACAGATAATGTAAGCTTTACCTACTCCTTGATGTCGCTAATAACCTTGTAGTTGATGTGACAAAAAACCGTAATTAAAAAAAATAATAATTACATTCCTGTTTTATTCAGTGCGTAGAAATGTTTCTTTCTCCATTCGTCGTCTTCGATTCTTTTCCTGAATCAGCGCCGTTTATTCGTGCTGAGAGGGAGGTCCAAGAGGATCTCCCTGTTTGCAAACGACTGGCCATCTCAACTATTTTTCTCTAATCGATGAAATCGTTTGAAGTGGCCGCTCTGTATTGAGATTCTTCGAGAAAAGAAATTAAAAGTTCCATTTAATTGGATATTTATAATGATATCTATACATAGAAGAATGGAACTATACATGGCCTACTATTTTCCTAAAAAGGTGAACACTGTTAATTTAAAATAAGAAACCTGAAACTTAATTCTGACTACTGTCAAGTAATAATCGAAGAAATTTAACGTATAAATGCAATTTAATCTCGGCTTAAATTCAACACAAACCACTCAAACGAATGTTTCGAATATAACATTGAAAGTTGAATATATTATAATTATTGATCCAATTTAAAATTATGAAGAAGAAATAGGATATTGTACGATAGATTATAAACTGTGCCTCTTCAAACTTTCAAGCTGGTAACTTCCTTAACTTGATTAATCGACATTAATTACTCCTCCCAAGTCGTCTGTATCGACTACCCTTTTACACTGAACGTCCTATTATCGTTAACTGGTTTCCTGCTTGCATCGTAAAATATATTTTCGATACACGAGGCACGAGCATCATTCGGGAAAGAAATTAATATTCTTTTAAAAATATACAGGGTGATTTGAAAATAGATCATGAAACTTTAGGAGAGTGCTCTGCAACTCTGAACCATCGAATACTTATGTGATTTGAAAAGCTGAAATATTTGATAAAATAAAAATCTAAAATAAACAAAAATTTGATTATTGAATATTACTTCATAAGCTACTCTAATATCAAGCTTATAATAAATAGAAAGTGATACGGAAATATTTAGTTTAATTTCGAAACACTCCACATCCCTCTTCCGTGAATAAACCATCTTCATTAAAAATGAATGTTTCCAATTTTGCCAACACCCTCCGAAGCATTTCTGTACTAGTTAAAAAAAACTTTTTCCCTAAATACTATTAACCCTCGGACGGTGGGCCATAGAGAGTCTTAATTATAATTTAATTATTTTCTTTTTCTAAATTTCACACTGCTCCCTTAAAAATGATTCTTTTAATATATAAAACTCTTTCATATAAAAATTGTATATTTAACTCTAGGGTAATATCCTTGTATACGTTTTGTAAGTTAAAAAAATTCACCCTCTCAGTAGTATTTTTTTTCTGCCCAACCTCCCCTATCACTCATAATTCCAAATATCTAATATTTGTATTTTTAATTAGATAAGTCAAAAAATTCCCAATCATATGGATTTAAAAAAAAAAATTCAAATATCACCCAAATAGGGATGACACGGAAGTGACACACAAAATTCTAAAAAATTTCTAAAGTAAATAACAAGATCATATATTGGGTGAAATTAGCCCGGGAGATTCTTCGAAATAGAGAAAAATCTTCGATCTTTTCTGGGGTTAAATCGAGGAAACCGTGACTCGGCTCGAGTCGAGCAACGTTTTGGCTTCTCTCGTTCGATTTCCTGGCGGCGTGGATGGAAAATCGTGTGGTGCACGCGGGGGTGTGCGCGACGCTCACGACGCAGGAATCAATAGGGCGTTGCGAGCGGCGTCGAAGCGATCGTCGTCGCGCTACGTCGTCCTCAACGTCAGCGACATCTTGGCCCGTACGTATTCCGGGGGTCGACGAGCAGCTCTCCTGCAGGCCGTCACGGCCGCCTTCAGGACCGACCCCACGTCGTTTCTCAACCGTTCGCTAACAGAATGGCCGACACCGAGTTCGAGGAATTTCGGCAGTACTTCGAGAGACTTCCGCAGCATCTGAAAGCACCCCTTTCGAATTACACGTGAGTAAAGCGTATTCATACCTCCTTTGCACGATCGCGCGTGTCTTGCATTCAGAGGGAACATGATTCATAAGGAAACCACTGGCCATGTCTAATGACCTGGATGATCATTTCGCGTTTCGTCGTCGATTTCTCCTTTCTCCAATGGGGTTGCATAGGCACTTCTGCAGGGGTAAAATGATGGGGTTGCATTAAGGAGACCGTGACAGGATTTTCACATATTTGTTTAAAAAATAATTTCTTTGGGGTAGTTTAGATTTTTTTTAGAATGATTTATTATCTACGTTGCAAATTCGTGCGATCTAACTGGAGAATAAAATGCAGTTACATTTTTGTATAAAATCATAACTGATGCACTTTGCAGTGTTCAAATGACTGCATTATTAACTTGTGTATATATAATGTGTATGTTGATTTCTATTTGAAGATCTGGATTTTAATAATTTAGGACAATCTAATCGAAATTGCAGTTTATTGCAACAGGACGTTCCGATGGTATTTTTGTATTTTTTTTTTTGTTGGGGGTGTAATGGAATTGGATAGGAGGCAAGTTGCATTATGTATTTATTATTTAATGCAGTTTAGGGTGGACGAGGTACACTTTGGGGAGGAGATTATGGGAGTACCGCATAGGTGCATCGAAAAGATAAACCGCGGAGGCGCGGTCGATGCTGTTCTTTGTACGTGAAATAAATTCAATGTGAAAAGATAGTGGTATAAAATATTTCACAAATATGTCTTTCATTTATACCGAGTATACCTTCGCTTCTTACGATTGCCAACAGATAATTAATTAAGGTTGCAAATTGATTACAGTTAATTTCATTAATACTGCCTGTTACATCACTATGAAATGGAATAAGAATTGCATTTCAATTAAGAAAAACTAAAAATTATTATGGTAATATCTTTTCAAATTATTCATACGATATTCGAGAAGATTGAAAAATAGAAAATTTCAAACTTTAATTTTTTTCCAAAATAATTTATCAACGTAAAGTATACGCGTTGATTTAATTTCCATATTTACGTTAGAAGACACGACAGCTAAAAAGGAATAAAATAAAATCGATACGAGCGATGTCGCGTAAGCGAAATGATTTTCAATTCACTTGTCCCTCATGATTACTCGTGTTTTATACGAACCATGCTATTAATGGATCAGAGTCGCGACTCAGTTTTTATCGTTAATTATCTAATCGTTCGTCCCCATTTCTTTGCTACGACGAATCCCTCGTAAGTTCTCGAGATTCGTAAATAGAAGTAGACACAAAATCTCTTACGATTTATACTACTTAAGCTTTCTAGGAGGAATCATGCATTCTTCAAATTAATCTTTGATTTTTCTAAGGGGGTAGATCTATCACTTTCTCTCGCAACGTGTTATGATAATATCGTCTTTTACCTGTTGGTCGAATGGTATTCGAGTGTTTCTTCCTCGTGACGAAGTGTTCCTCGAGAGTCAGCTCTGATCCACTTGCACTTTAAATGGATAATACTTTAACAGAAGACGTACTAAAGCGACACATCAGATTCTCTGCAAAACTTGAATCAATCGTTATAGTAGATACAGTCTCTACAAACGAAACAGAAGAATTCCTAGTTGTAAAAATAAAAATAAGAAACGTCCAATCCTCGAATAGTATATATGGGACCATTTCAGATCTACCCTTATATTTGAAGTAATTAAAAAAAAAATTTTTCTATGCATTGTACGAAAGGAGAATTGGTTATTACAAATCTCCTCTATATGCAGTTTTAGAAAAGCCCTTATACTTTAAAACTACTGAAACTTTTTTAGAATTTTATATTTTCCATGGTGTTATTTGCTGTGTATTATGATCCTCTACAAAAAATTATTAAAGTACTTGGGTCGAAAATTGCTTAGTTCAAAAGATAATTGAAAACTACTGGAACTTTAACATTTAATATTTTCACTGACCACCTACGCCCCAAACCATATATAGAAGGTTTCATAATAACCATGATCTATCAACACGCAAAACCTCATTAAAATCTGAAGAGGATGCTTGGAAACCTACCAATACCATTGCCAACATCCACCGTACATGTAGATTCTTATAGTTTAAAATATGAATTGAAAGACTTTAATAAAAATGGCTATCCTTGACACGTTTCAACTTTAACGACTTTGTAAATTTTTCTTACCAACAGATTAGTTCACGATGTGATGATAGACGATTCCCCGACCTCGTCGCAAGGTAGCGACGCAGAGGTCGGTAGATCTTGCGACGGGGTCGCTGGCGATTCCGAGGACGAGGAAGTGGTGGTCATACATCGACACGACAATCAGAGTGGACACACTTCCGGGGACGATAGCGAAGATCTCGATCACAATTGTTCCATTGTAGCGGACAGCGACTTTAGGTTGGTAACCTCGTAAGTGTACCGTTTCTTTTTTTGGTGTGCGAGCATTGATTCTAGTTATTAGATTTAGATTTTTCTATGAATCGCTCGTAATTCAAATCTTTCTGTCCGTTTTACTAAAGAAAAGTGGGGAACATAAAAGTTGTCAGACTTATTTTTATAATAGTATTGTATTACATTAATTTTGGGAGTAATAACGGAGTGCACTCAATTTTCTTTATAATCATGCAACTTTCCTTTGTTTTCCTAAAGATGATATTAATTGAGAAATGATGTAATCATCGGAATTTAATAGAAAAGAAAAATTCCTCTTCTGTAGTTAAATAAAATTTTGCTTATTTCTATAATATTTTGTTAGAGCTCTTTAATTAAATTGCATTTAGTATGTTAAAAGCAATAAAAGTGATAATATATTCATGTTACTTTAATACGATTTTGATTTAACCGCGAAGACAGTACTGCTAGCGCCATCGGACGACAAAGTGCTGAAACTTGTTAGCGTCGATGGTTTACCATCGGTAACATGTCCTTCTTTTTAATTTTTATATTCATAACTCTTTTAACACACTAAATGTTTTATAACAGTACAAGTCAGACAAAATCAGCACAAGACCGAAAGATTATTAGAATAATTATTTGACAAACTATTTGAAACTACTTAATAAATTACCGACTTATCGACTGAACTTCCGACAATCCGTAAGTCAACGAATAGTTTGCGCCGTTTTTATATAGATGGCGCACTGACCGATGGCTTGGGGTATTAGGGACCCCGAAACACCCGCGACAATTTGCATATCGACATTATGGCATCAGGGGTGTCAAGGACCCCGAAGCTAGAACGTGCGACCCACAGATTTTCTGTGGAAATATTCTGTGGAATTCTATAACTTTTGACTAACAATAAGATTAAAAGTGTGGAACTTTTCTTTTCTATTCAATTTTAATGCTAAACTTTAATTCAGCACGCAGAGAACAGTTTTCTACTATTAGTTGAGACAGTTTTAATCAATCCCTTTTATTAATTCTTAAAGTTAAAATTATTTTAATCGTTCTCTATTCCCTCCTAATAAAGAAAATCCTACTGATATTATTTCAATATTAGAAATGCACTATGTTTAAAATGAACTTGCATGCGGATGTGATAGTACTTACTTACTTCCTTATATCCAGAAGATTAGATTTCTTTTACTGAAAAACAATAAAGTATATTCATTAAGAACATTTTACAATATTTTATATCCTAGTAAACATTTTCTCAAATTTAAGCTACGAAAAAATGTCACTCTACATTTTCGGCTCCTTTTGCGCCGCCTCCGAAATGGTTGAAATGTATTTAGTATACTATTTCACGAGTAAATAGGTTTTATTAATAGCTGATGGGTATTTGTATAAATGAAGTATAAATTATTTCATATTTTTTAGTGCATTTCAAAGTCGGTTGTATTTTTTGTTAAAATTTATTTGATTAAATGTAGATTCATCCTTCTTTGTCACCAGACTGAAAACATCCTGTATACTTCATTTATTCATAATTTTAGATGGAAGCCTTTGAATGATCTCGTTAGAAAGTCGCATGCGTAAGGGAACGAACTATTTTATGACAATGATAATTCCTGAATATTCCAATAAAGAAAAGAAAAACAATTACACTTTGAACGGCATGATGAAAGGTAGCTTAGCTCACTACACGACTACCCTTGGGTGACATTAGCTTGTTCGGTGGACTGAGCAGCAGGGGTCGATCGGCAGGCGTCGGTGGACCGGGTCCTGGCGGAGGTAGCACTACCGTTTCCGGTAACGGTGGTAGAGACAGTGTGTTCAGTGACGTTGGTGATTCCTGTTCGAGCCTCAGTTCCTGGCCGACACCGGAACATGTGCCCTCGAATCGTCCAGGAAGCGGTGGCACCGAGCGTAGACGTCGAAGACTACCGGAAATACCTAAAACAAAAAAATGTAAGTTGTAAATACTGTTCAAACATAGATTCATCTATAACAGTTAGTTATTACTCTAATAATTTCTAATGGAAGAGAAGGACCAGCCCTACTCTGCCCCCTCCAATTAGGAACCCCAATGAAGGCAGAGTAGTCCCAGTGGTGCGTTCTAATTTAATTTAATCTAATTTTCTTCATTTTTATTTATAATATTATAATAAGGTTTTTAATTCCTTAAAGGGTCAGCTGACCCTTCTGACCCCACCTAGCTGCACTACTGTCGACGAGTAGTCTATCCATCATATTTAAATTTAATTTATATAATAAAGATGAAAATTGCTAAGGAAAATCAGTTTCGATTTTATGTTTGAATCTTTTCCTCTAACTTCCCTCTTGCAATACATATACACAATATAAAGGGTGTGCAAAATGTACATCGTCTTCTTTCAATTATACGAAATACACAAATATATCAAATGTCCTATCATTTTGACCTTAACGTGGAACATAATCAGAATCACGAATCGACGATACGTTTTACGTGTTTTCTCATCCCGATCTTGACGATATCACGCATTCAACCGCAGAATCGACGACCGCAGCGAAATAAAATCCATAATGACATTTACTTACGTCACACTTGTGCGTTCGAGGTCCTCTCCGATCGAGATTTATTTCACCTGTGACTATTGCGATCATCACGATCGTAGTTACCAATTCGAAGAACAGAAATCGACAATGTTAAATCTCACCTATGGTGATCAACGGATTACCGTTTTTTAATCGAATCAATTAAAATTGTCTTATCTCGTAGCCGTTGGTCAGATGTTCATGCAGTCGTCGTCGTCTTTGGCCGACGAACTTAACGCGGCTGCTGGCTCGACGGGTACCACACGACCGCATTTAAGTTTAAGAAAATGTCACTCGAGGCTTCGCCACGAGGACAGTTCACCCGACAGCGAGCGAATGGCGACTGACAGTGGCCATTCTACTGCCCACTCGCCGGAAAACGGGCCGAAAAGCGTGTCACCGATACCCTGCAACACCTTGCAGAACACGGACTCTGCGTCGCCCAGTAGTACACCAGGTGATTTCAATTACTATTATTCGATATATTTATAATCGATAATATTTCTATAATACAGAAATGGATACCTAGATATTTTATTAATCTGCACAAGAATTAACACGTTCTTAGGCATAGGTTAAATCTACTCCTGAATGACACAATTTACCATTGTCAGCTGTAACCCTGGGCTCGAATTTGTTAAAACGACGCCGAGGAATATGATTTTGAAAAAATTGAATTTTAATACAGGGTGATTCTCTCGTTAGTGTACTCAAAGAAAAAAATGGCACACCAGTACGAATGGGCCCAAACCCTTTTCTGTCATCGATACTTCCACGGAGGTGCACCAGAAGAGGGCTTGGGTATTTTTTCCTTTCAGTACACTAGCCTGAGAATCACCCTGTACATTTTTAGCTAAATATTTGTGTAATGTTACTTGAAAGGGAGCGGCGGTGTGCCGTTTACTCAATTGGAGCTGCTGGAGGCGACGCATCGAGGACTCCACAAATTCGTGCCAAGACATCACGATGAGATCGATCTTGAAATCGGTGATCCTATTTACGTTCAGAAGGAGGCTGATGATTTATGGTGCGAAGGTACGTTACAATCAACGAAATCTATTTTATCCAAAGCGTTAAATATAGTAATATTAATATTTTGTTTAAATGAAACATTTTATATAAATTCTTGAAGGTGTAAACCTGAGAACAGGTCGTCAAGGTATATTCCCCTCGGCATACGCGGTGGACATGGATTACAGTGACTTTGATCCGTCAGCGCCGAAAGTGAAGAGGGAACGATATCTTCTTGGTTACTTAGGATCCGTGGAAACGTTGGCGCACAAGGGTACAGGGGTGGTTTGTCAAGCTGTTCGAAGAATCGTTGGAAATTCGCAGGAATCACCTGTATCGCAGAGTTGTATCTTGGAAGTATCCGATCAGGGTCTTCGAATGGTTGACAGGAGTAAACCACGGGTACAGTGATCATTATTTCTCTTCGTTTACATTCGTTATCATTCAACGATTACACGAATTTTATTTTGCAGAAGAATCAGGGTCCTTGCCACGATTATTTCTACTCGTTGAAGAACGTTTCCTTTTGTGCATTTCATCCTCGCGATCATCGCTACCTCGGCTTCATCACGAAGCATCCTACCTTGCAAAGGTTCGCTTGCCACGTGTTCATTGGTCAAGAATCTACCAGGCCGGTTGCCGAAGCTGTCGGGTATGAGCATAAAATGACTTATCCATTAATCGTTAAATTAATTAATTAATCCCTAGATCCTTAGAAATTTTCGCAAACTTTCCAGTGGCTAGTTTGTCTCTAAAAAGAGAAAATTACATATCTCTGAGAAACCTGAAGCCATTTGCTAAAAAAATCATAGTGCAGAGGAGATTAATGCTATCTAGGAATTTTTGTAAATTTCTTTCATACAATATTTCATGATCAGATTGTGAATGTGAAATTATTTCTATTTCTATTTTGGACCCCTTATTTCCGGATTGTAAGGGTGTAATGTTCTTCTTGTAGGCGTGCTTTCCATCGGTTCTACACGAAGTTCATCGAGACTGCTTTCCCGGTAGAAGATATCTATATCGAATAGATTATTACTGCTGGCCTGTCGTATAGCAGCAATGAAGGAAAAGAATCTCACATTCCTTTGTCCCTTGTACATACTGTCCCTTAGCCTGTAGATATTAAAATGATTAACGCGAATCAAACACCCAATTAATATATGTATACATATATGTATATATCTGTAAGTATATTTACATATATGTGTATCTACAGGGTGTTAAAAAACAAAAGAGTTGCAACGAAACTTCATTAACATACGATATTTATCCAAAATAAACGAAGATACCAAAATTACTAATTTTGATTTAATAAATTATTTACAAGCGTTGTAATAATTTCTTTGCTGTTACTGTATAATATTTTTTAGATTAAGGAATTAATTTGAGGAGGGCCTAAAATCAAGTAAAAATGATTTCTATGATTTTTAATAACAAAGTTTTGTTAATTTATCGATGAAAATTTATAGAACTCTAAACAATTTTTCTACCCATGTTATAAATATCATATGATTCTGAAGTTCGGTTGCAATATTTTGCAACACCCTGTACATTTACCGAAGAATTTCAGGAAGCGTCAGGACGGGACCGATTCAACGCCGTCTCTTAATTTTAATAATTTCATTAATTTATTTCTCCATCAACGTTACTTATCCTTTCACGCAATCCTCGACACATCGATATTTCGTCGTTTCCATAACACTTTCATTGTTCACGTTACTCGATTTCGTTCATTTTTCATTTTAATTACGATAGGACGCGGCGACTTGAACTCCGGATGGAAGAAAAAAGTCTTTAATATTTGAATAACGTACACTAATTACTACCGATAAGAAACTAATCGTTAACTTTTCGATCCTTCGACCAAGATATCCATATAGCGACACGTATAGAACGACAAAAACGACAATAGCGTGGATCGTTTTGACGTTAAAACGCGAACAAATTGTATCGTTTTATCGATGTCTTAAGATGATCCGTTTCGTTTAAAAACCGGTCTGAAAACACATTTCCGTTCGATCCCCTAATTACGTTTACACGTGGCAACGAAAATGATCGTTTCACCGAAACGATCGTCGGATAATTCAAGAAACTATCTTAGAGACACGTATATTTTTCTATATTTCTTTCCGAAAGAAGTGTTAATTATTTAATTGCGTTGTAACGATAAGCCTTAAAAAAAGAAAACGTTTCAACTGATCCTACGATTAGGCGACATTGCTGATCCGATTCGCAAAACGACTATTCGATCGAAGCGCACATTGGCCTCTGTACCTCAATTATTATCAATTGTACTGCGTTGCTACGTTTCGCGAACATTCATGCAGTACGAATCAAATCGCACGCACCGTACAATGAAACGTCAAATCAGCTACGAAAAGGTCGTGATTATTAATTTGTACCGCTTATTACGAACGTTCAGTCTCATAACAATTTTAAATATAGTTTGATAAATCGTTATCATGCAAGGTGGTAAAAAAAGAAGGTTCAGAATTTTAAAAGCAGACGAGTGAGAAAATTAATATTTTTAATTATTAAAGAAGTTCTGACAGATTTTCGTGACTTAAAAGTTTCACAAAATGCCACTTGTGAGCTTGAACTCTCCTAAAAATAATTATATAAAGGTTTTCTTAATATACTTAATAGAAAATGGCTGGTCCTTTAATTGAAAATTGGGTAATCGTTGATAGAAAAGCTGTAGATTGATCGACTTTAACGAAGAACTACTTATTTCGTATTCAGAATGTTAATGAAATTTTTATATGGTAATTTTTATCAGACTTTAAGCTTTAAATTGATGTGTCATAAGTACCATTTTCAGATACTTTTATGTCATGAAATTCTGTCAGAGTTTCGTTATCTCAAAATGAACTACTTAATATGCAATAACCTATTGCAATATAATACTATATATTATTAGCATAATGTTAATACTATTTCAAATTAGTTAATTAATTATTTCTGAATCAATTACAATTTTTACCACCCTGTAAAGAACTAATTAAATAACCGCTAATTACATTACATAAACACGCGTACAAAATTACTTTCATTATTAATAGTCATCATCAGTGTTTACAAAGATCACGTGCTTGGGATTTGATCCACGCTGTGTACATTAATTAAACCGTTCGGTTCTACAGTATGTTGAATAAAAATTGAGAGACAAACTGGAGTGCTTAATCATTGCTAAGAAGTACACAATCAGTATCATCATCATCGTCTATCAATTACACGTGCCTTTGATTGAGATCGCCTCGAGTATCGTGCCTTTCCAATTATTTTCTCATACAGGTACAAATTAATATCATCCGTGTGTACATCATTATTACGATTTCAAACGATAAATAATCTTCTTTCTTTCCTTTCTCCTTCTTCGTCCAAGAATTAGAATAAAAAGGCGCGTGATGCAAGAGAAGAGAAGAAAAAAAAAAGAAGAACACTTTTGACTAAAATTTATCTCTGTTACCCTTTTTCAATCGAACGTCATCGATTTCAATGCGACAGTAAAAGAGAATAAATTATTTCCTCGATTACGATGATATTTTGTCGTCGAGACAATTGGGGTTTCGATTCGACTTATAAATTAAGGCATAGTTGCAATTTTTCGTAGCTACACAGAATAATAAATCCTTGTTACTCGTCGTAATATTTTTCCTTTTTTTTTTTTCATAGTAGATAAACAATTAAAAAGAAAAAAAAGAAGAAGGCCTTGTTTATCGAATGTATAATATACTCGAAGAAATATTCACGCTTCTTTACTTCGCAAACATATCTCGAAGCGTCGTGCTATCGTTTCCTGCATTAAAGAAAAATCCTATCGACACTTTTGTTTCCTTTAACTGTAAATGCTCAAGAAGTTTACAGAACAATTCAGGTGCAGAAGTAATACATTTTTCAGACACGCAGCTCGGAAGATATGTCGGTTGTGTGATAGTATTTAATGTGATAAGGGTATGTAATACTGTCTCCGCAGGCCGCTGGGCTATTGCAATTAAATTAAGTATTCTCTGTTGTGTAATAAATAACACGTAATTTTAAATATTTTTATTAATCTTAGCATACTAGTTTTTTTATTGAAACAATGAAATCATCGTCGTACGCATCGATCAATTTCGACAAAAGGATACGAAAAAGGGGGTGAAAATACATTTCAAAATGAGGGTTTCTTAATCATTTGTAATTTTTCATATAATTTCTACATACATTTTCTTTCAGGCAGTATTATTTACAAAAATGTTCCACCTCCTACGAAGTCTTGGTAATTCAGTCTTGACACAAGTTATACGTGTTACATGATCCCAATCATTACAATATTTCTGTATCAATTGCATTTAAAGAGTTTCATCATTTTCGTTATTTGTTCATACTCGAAAAACAGAATTTATTAAACAGAGAAGAAGAGAGATCACTGCAAGAATGCAATTCCTTAGATCGGATTATGGTAATTGAAAAATATTTTAGAAACAAAGAAAGAGAAAAACAAATGAATTTTCTATTTTTCTTTTATTAGAGAGTCGAAAATGAGTCCCTGGAAAATTGAATATTTGTCAAATTCATGTCCCACATTCCATGATCTTCTATACTGCTCGAGGAGCAACCTGACTGTAAACATTTTTATAAATTTCTGCTTGAATTATTATTATTATTCTTTCATTGTGCACAGAGTATAATATCAATTCATATATTTTTTTTCGTTTTTTTTTTTTTTTCTCTTTTGGAAGAACAGAGGAACGGAATTGGGTTATATTTTCTATCATTCTTTGGCAATCTACGAAGAGCTATACACCTCTTAAATTGTATTATGACAATCACTGTTCGTTTACACACATTGGTGTTAGTATAATTATTTATTATTATTATTAGTACATTCTAATTGAGCAGCACATATACACACAGGAGTAATGTTTATAATACATATAAAAATATTCAAGAAAATTTTCATTGAGAAACTATATATGTATGTTAATAACGATTGCAATAAATTATTTTTAATTTATCGGTTATCATTTGTTTTTTTCTTCTTTATTATGCATCGTAACTCAGTGTGTCAAATATAGCAATGAGGTAAAAATTCAGAGGTGCATTTCTCTTCAGAGAAGCTCATCAAATATTGCGAATCATATTCGCGGTCTTACCAGCTACAATTTTTGCAACCTGCTCAATGCTCCCGACGAAAGCACTCGAGTTACACAATTTTTAAATTATACCTGTACAAAGATTAATCACTCGACGAATTCGTTCTGTACATGTGATACGAATGAAAATATATGTGTCGTTTTCGTATTATTTCATTTGAAAAAAAAAAGGAGGAACGTTTAATAACAATAATAATTAAAAAAAAAGAAATATGAACGTGTAATATTAAAATAACAGAAAACGACCCATATATGTTGCATTGTAAAGATTTCTCGACTCGAACGGATTATTCTAAATAGTAATAATTATTATATTACTATGCGGTTCATTTACGCAGAAGCGTAATACTGTAATAATTTTTCACTAACGGTACGCATAATAAATTTTATCCGTTTCTATTTTCTTTCTTCTTTTTACAAGATCGTATGAGACAAAAAGAAAAAAAAAAAAGGAGAACAATGATCGCTTCGCATTGAAATAAGTATCCAAGTTCATGCAACTGAATAACATGATTCGACCGCGCCAATGATTCAAAAGAACATTCTCGCAGTATTTTGCTCCTAACGATAAACCGTGTATAAACGTACAAGAAAGATGTACCGCACATAATCGCGTTGTATTGTGCTTTTTTTCTTTTAGCGTATGTTTAACTTACAGAAAGAAATTGTAAAAATCACTTATGTGCAAACAGCAGAGTATAAAATATATGTATAATAAAGGTAATATTTACAATGTTATCAAGATTAAACACGTTTAGCGAATTCTGTAGTGCCGTCTGTTTGTGTCACATTGCACTCTTCACCGATCAACAATTTTCTCAAGCATTTCAAAGAATTAATCTTACCATCGTGTAGTATTTTTTTTGTTTTTTGTTCTTCAAGGTAACACACGAAGAATCACTCGTACATGTATCGTAATATTCTTTAACTATCATGGATATATTTTGCTCGATTTACAATTTCTTTTTCAATGATTCATTTCCACGTACACGTTTGAGACATACAAAAACATGAGCACGGTGGGGTTTGTAAGCTCGAATCGCGAAACACCATGAACAATTTTCTTTACAAGGAAAATCCAGGAGAATAGAACATCAAATTTGTTTAAATTTTTGATATTTATAAAGAAGCCCCGAAACAATAATTCTGCAAAATTATAGAATGGATTATTTGGAAATTAGCATCCAAAGTCATGGAGGTGTTGAAAATTTAATAACTTCTTCAAATTTAACTTTTTCCTCCCTTTTCCTTTTTGTAAATTATAAAATACACTTTGGAGAATTATTACAGAAGGTCGCATGATTTTATAACAAACCTAAATTGTATAATTAATTTCCAAAGTGGATCCAATAATTTTCCAGAATTATTACATACGGTGTATTCTATAATTGCACAAAATTAAATGAAATTAATATACAAAATTTCGTGCACCTTCCTTATAAGATAGATTCAAAAGGATCGAGAGAAACAGTGACACTAAACACAGACACTTGAAACTTGCTGTTTGTACTATAATGATCATGACGAATTAGAAAATCTGCCATTCGCTTAACTAAAACGTCCCATTCACGATGATAATCGAACAATTACACGCGTGTGGGTTTTATTAATCGTTTCCTAAACGGTATATATAATAATAATCATGTAAAAAAGTTTTAAATCTTTCTTAATCAACGTCGAGCGATCATGAGGCAAGGATAGTCACACCCTTCTCAAACAATGAAATAACTGAGCACAAGTTTCTTGTTATCCAAGCAATTGCCTTAATATATCGTACATTTACAATTACACTCCCTAAACCTTTGAAATAGAATAATATATTGTTCCAGTGACGATCAACCTCACTACGCTTGACATCGATGTCAAATGACATAAAAACGAGTTAACGATAATTCATTTTTTTTTTTTTACAATGAACATATGATGTGTACATATATAAGAAGTATTATACGCAGGTAATATTCCCTCTTCTCGCAATTTCGTTTAATTCTTGCTCGTTCAAAGCATCGTTTCAAGGATAAGAATTAAAATAAATATATTTATAGATAGTTTGGATTGAATTTTGTCATCAAGCTTATAAAATATTGTTACTTTGAAAAAATGATATTATGCTCAACAATGCTTTGCACTTTGGAACCATGAATTCACGTTAAAACGGCGGATGGTCTGTCCATACATTAAGAACATCATTTGTTAACTACTACTCTAAACCCTACCTGATAATCGTGACTTGTATTAGTATACGCAGGAGCATGAAAAAGAAAAAAAGGAAAAAAAAGAAACTCTTCTTTACTATATATTTGGGGAATAGCACACGAGTTGCAAATAGATGTACAATTATACGAATGAACGATGAAAGAAATTCACAAAAGAAAAAATAATAATCGGTCATTCCCTTAATCGGTCAACTATCGATTTAGATTGAGATGTACGGAATTCTTATTTACAGTATCAGCCTTATTTATAGTTGTACATAGGAAAATGGAACTAAATGATACATATACGAAGTGCCTCAAAAACGTTACACTATCTAAAAGCTACAGATTTTTGTGAGAAATAAATTATATTTCTGTTTTTTTAATTTTGCAATTTGAAAAGTGTTGTGCTTAATAAAACTTTGCACTTTGGAACCTTGAATTTACGTTAAAAGGGTGTGTGGGTTGGAGAAACTTGGAGAATCCAAAAGGGGTGATGCTACCCTCCCAAAAATTAAGAGGAAAAATAATTTATATTGTGAAATAAAATGACTTTAGCTGCTATTTTAATTTTTCGAATAAATTCTAATTTCTTTCGACATGAAAAATCTGCAGTTTTAGAATTAGAAAATCTTTTTGGGACGCTCTGTATATATGGTGTACCGAAAATTATGGTACAAGCGGAAAGGAGGTGATTTCTTGTGCAGTATTAAATTGAAAATGTGAGATGACATATTTTTTTCTTTCATTCAAGGCTCGGTTTTCGAAAAAATCGGCCATGAAATTCCGTCAAGTTCCCGGTTCACTTGACTAACAATGAGAATCGGATGAATGGATCTTACTGCACATATCTACTTTGTGTTCGTATTTGTAAACAATATATTATTTATATTTATATATATATATATATATATCTCTATATATGTTGCATATGTCCACAATGAACGCGCGTTCATAATTAATCTTCCATACGCGCAACTCCATTTTATAGATTTTTAACATTTTTACATTGAATCGCAGATTCATTTACTTGATTATGCTTATTTACGGTTTTGTCAACTGTATCTTAAAAAAAAAAAGAAGTAATTGTAATCGGCCTATGTGTCTTTATATATACCATAATTACACATCAGCCAAATATGGTAATTCCATTTACTACTCAAGTTAATAGATACTAAAGCTTAACTAAATAATTAATAAAATAATATAAAGCAACATAATATTGGGTGGATAACGAGGCCAGTAAAGTTTCAAAGTTTTGCATAACAAAATACGAGATAATAACATTTGAAATTTAATAATTTTCATTACTACTTTACGTTTTTTAATGAAGTAAAATATTTATAAAAATAACAGGTTAAGGTGCTTCAAAAAAAAAAAAAAAAAAAAAAAAAAATAAAAAATAAAAAAAAAATAGTGCGTACCTCTGGAGAAGGACAAAGAAGAAAGCAGTCCATACCCTTTTGTAGAAGATTATTTTAAAAAGAGAGAGAAAAAAAAGAATAATGTTTGAAACATTTACAGTCAATGATTTCATTGTTACCATACTCCTGTAACAATAATAAAAATTAGATACAACCACGTATCTAATATTCTTCATTTTATAATACGTTTCTTCTTAAAAGCATATCTCTTTTGTTCGAAACACAAATTTTGTACTGCCATCTTGCTTCCATTGGAAAGATTCAAATCCAAATTTCTTGATACCCTACAAGCTCGCAGGATTTAAACTGAACTGGTGCTGTATCCATCCGACATATGTATGCGCACATATCGTGATCTATTCAACATGGAAACAGTATTATCTTTTCTTCATTCCCCATTTAAACAATGACCAAGTGTAAAACAGTCCAGAAGGCTGAACGAATAGCGCGGTCGTTTAAAAATCGAGTCCACACTATCTACAAACTTGTTATCATAAAATTTGAAAGTTGCGTAACATTGGACCTTTGAAAAACGTAAAACTTAGCCGTCATTTACAATAAAACTCACACGAGTTACGGTATGCGAGCAGTTCGTATTTCGGCCAAATATGTGACGATGTACAACGTTCATATAATTCGGCTTTCAAAACAGCCTAACAATGGAGACTGGATATTTATATCTGATTATCTCGAGGATTTCTTTTTTTTAACTTCTATCTTCGATTTTCTGTTAACAATCAATGTTATCTTTTTACTTCTTCAGTTACAGAATAATACATGGGTCTCGACATTATAGTGTCGTCGATTGTCGATGTAACCATAGTTACATTTTCCTTTATCAGATTATCATTGTTGTGTCATTGATAACTTGCAGAGGAATGAGTTACAGTGATTCTCACTGAAATATTTAATATGCAATTCCACGTACGTCAACACGTGCTTCCTGGATCAGTTATCTTGTCAATTTATATTGAAATACTTTGTTAAGATCATCTTGAACTTATGATTCTCAGATTTCACTCTTTTATACACCGATATTGTGTTTTATGTTTATTTGAATATTATGATGATCTTGTTGCAAGGTTTCAAGAATCTGTTTTTGCATATTATGCTCCGCCTAAGATTCAGAATAACAAAGCGTGTAATTATTTAAATAAAAGATACTGAATAATTATAAACGAATTACTGTATATGTACCTGTAACGGCGTTAGACTTCCTCGTTTTGCCTGTAAAGCTGGGTTCTTTAAATCTCGTGCCAGAACGTTCAGTTGCGATTCTTGTAACGATATGCTATTCATTAGCTGTAAGTGTTTCCTTTTTATCTCATTATTGATTGCCTGTTACAAACAGTAATGATTTAATGTTTCTTTCAACCATATTTTCATTAATTTACACTTACATTGTTATCTGCTAGTTGTACTTTCGTCTCGTTGAAGGAGTCTGAAAACATTGATAAACAATTGTAAATATTACTTATGCACGACTGTTTCTAACCGGTGCATACTGTTGTACTTACTTTCAAAAATAGGTACATGCCTGAGGTCATCGAATATTTTCATTATAATATCTGCAAAGGCAGAAAATATTAATTAAAACACAAGTGTATTGAGACACCTCTGTCTGATATGATTTGATGACAGAAAAGTTTCACAAAACAGCACTTGTGACGCATCAATTTAAAGCTTAAAGTTCAATAAAAATGACTGTACAAAGATTTCTTTAATATTCTTAATACAAAATGGTTGATTCTTCATTGGAACAAACAGTGGATCTTAGTAGGTACCTGGATTGGCGTTCAGGCTTGGACTCAGCAAAGGGTCATCCTTCAGATCATGAATGAACTCGTCATCCGGATTCGGTGGTAACAGTGGCACGCTGGAATCCACTTGCTGATAATCCACGATGCCTTCGTTCAAGGTTGAATTCGGTGACTCTGCAAGCTTCAACGACTGAGAGCCAATATTACTGTACTGGTTGAAGTCGGTCGGTATATCCAAGTATTCTTCGGTAACAAAAGGTCTGCAATCGACATAGGAAACATTTTGTGGTTCATCGTTTTTATCTGACACATAAGTGACATTACTGTGCCTCTTTTTATTGCAACTCGTCCTAATATCTTCGTCGCTGTATATCCTCTTCAGCGAGTACTGATGACTCGTTTTAGCATCTGAAGCGATGCTATTATCCGCTATACCGCTCTCATGATACTCTATTATGGGTTCCTGTTGACGCTTGAACACATCAATCGCGTGTTCTACCTTGATGTCACAAGGACTTTCATGCAACGAGCTGGAGACGATGCTCTTAGGTTCATTGACTACCGCAGCAGGACTCAGAATATTGAAATTCCTACAGACGTTCGGATGAGACGTTCCAGGATCCCTTGGAACATTTATGCTCCGTTCTACACTGGTATTATTAGCAACAATCACCTCGTTCAACGGTGCTGAAATCTTCGGATCCTTCGTATCTTGAATATGCGTTACATCGTGGATCGTTATCGTTTTTCCGATAGACCTCGGGTTCCTTTGTTTCTCGTATTTATCATTGTTCGTTTTAGACGTTTGCTTCGGAGTTCGATTGCCTTTACCTTGCACCACTAAATAGTGATCGATCTTCTTGATGCCTAATTTACTAGCTTGTGTAGCAGCCGGTGGTAGATGCTGCGATACCATAGCGGCCTTCGCGTACTGTTCGTTAGGTACCGGGCTATCCGACATATGATCCTCGGACACGGACGACGACAAATCGCTAACCAAATGTGTGATGGCATCTTCCAGCTGTGACGGATCTTCCACGCTGCTCTTCGAGTTCGATTGCTGCGAGTCGGTGCCCTATAAAATAATAAAATAAACAATTATACCTACCTCTTCTGATTTGTTCCGTTTAAGTAATCCTGTATTAATTTCATTTTTCTTTTTTTTTGATAGATTACCAGATCGAACGATGCGTCGTCCTTGCACTGGATCATCGTTCGCGTTGTATCGGACACGGTGGCTGAGAATCTCTTCTTCATTTGTTTAACCAGTCTAATACCCTCCTCTTCCCTGTAACGAAATCATATATCCGATCGCGGTCAAATAAGTTTACCTTCGATTGAAATACGATAAACCATAATATTGCAAAACTTACGATACTAATGTGTTTATGCACACAAAAGATTCAACAGTTTGCGTGTCCTTATCGAACTCTAAGTAGCCGTGCGTACGTAAATAAATAAATTCTCCCGTTTTCGATAGTAGCCTATAACAAGATGATCCACAGGTCTCTACGCGATCGTACACTGTGAATGATCATTCAATTGGTTAGAGGGGTAAATCTTGTGTCCGGTGTTTTTTTTTTTTTCTTTTCTAGTGTCATGTATATGTAAGTGTAAGAGTATTATTACAATTGATTATTATCAGAAGAGCAAATCAGAACGTTCGAACTCACTCTGACGCAGAACGATCATCGTCCACCTGAAATCGTCCTTGTGCATGAAACTGAAGGCGCTCAAACCTGACACCTCCTCGGACAAGTAACCGGCGACCACCGATACCCTGTGGTCGCAATAAATAATCCTGCCGTCCACCAAGTGTCTCGTCACGTACTCGTCCTTGTTCGCATCCATTATGGATATTTCCGTGATCGGACGTTTCATCATTACCCTTGCTACACCCACGAAAACGATGTCGTTGCTCGTCGAACTGACTTCTGCAAGATTAACGTATGACAGGGGAGGTGGCGATTAACCCTTTCGATCAACCTCGTTGCCAGTGGAGGACAATGATAGAAATTTTAATATACAATTATTTATCTATGATCTCAGGGGAAATATTAATTTTTAATTTTTGACCACAATAAATTTTCAAAGTGGAGTCGTAACCCTCAGATCGTTTTTATAATAAATTTTTAATTTTTGATCAGAATAAATTTTCAAAGTGGAATCGTAGCTCTCGTTAGATCTTTCTTTGAATTCTACCCTTGTCCTTTCGAGTAACATTTATTACCTCGATGTCTCATTCGATTGGCATTTGATTCAGGATTTTTGCAAGCGTCCGCGAGCCTAAGCATCCCGGAAACTTCGAGGCATTCGTACTGCGTGTGTTCCCGTCTCGACGCGGTACGATGCAATATTCTCAGCTCGAAACTTCGCCTCTGCTCGCGGAACGGTCTCCTCTCGTTGTTCGAGGACGACGAGTCCTCCGAGGAAATGGAATTATCGTTCAGGCCGTCCGTGATCTGCGACGTGGACGAACTCACCACTCCTTGCATCTCGTCCGGGGTGAGGTTCTTGTTCAGTTCGTCGTGATCCTTCGGATGGACGAACGTGTACAGGGAGTGGCCGAGCAGATCCGCCTGCAATGTCGTTTCGTTACAATTCCTCTCTTTTAAACAAGTTGGGAGATTGAAGGATTTTGAAAATTGTAGGTGCATTTATTTATTTCAGGAGGATCTGTAGAATGATCTGGAATTGTGTCGAAAATTTTATGAATTGTAATTGATATCTGATGGGGTACACAAAGGTAAAGAAAAGTGTAATTATCAAAGTGTTGAGTAACATTCAAGCCAGAAGATTACGACAAAATTTGTGAAAAATTATTCGTATTATCAATCTCAGTTTCTGTTTAAATTATTATTTACAACTATGTCGATTATATTATACATTCTAGAGTACATTTAAATTAAGCAAATTGCATTCCCGTTGAACTTTGAAATGAAATATTTTCATAAGTAATTCAATCATTTATTTGCATTTCGTTTAAAAGTATCTTTTCTGTAAACATTCATTAAATTGTAAATACTGATCAAAAGTGCATCGTGTGCACTTACATGCATAATGCAGGAAACATGCGATAAAACATTTGAAAGTCATGAAATCTTTGTAGATAAAAATAAAAATAATAGAAAAATCCTAATCCTAAAATTTTCAGACGATGCGTGTACCACTTGTAGCAAAATTTATTTAATAAAATAATAAAATAAAATTGAAAATCTTTGACTGTTTCTTATTAATTTTCACGACGACCAAAGAATGGGTTAAAATCGTCATTAAAATTCGCAAGATTCTCGAGGAGAGAGGATCGAGAACGTCCACGTTCCTCGTTCTTCTGCATCCTGAATCCTACACGGCGATTAAATCGCGACCAACGGTGGTGCACCACGTCGGCGACGGGGCACGTTTTCACCGCGGGGAGTTTCTCCTTGAGAACAATACCGGCTGATTGTGAGTATCTCCTTAAAAAAACTGGAGGATCCCGCACAAATAACCCTCTACTACGCCCCCGCTCCATCTCGTTCCTTTGCCCTTTCTTGCTCCTTTATCGCCAGCCATTCTCGTGTCCTTACACCCCGAAGTCGGAACTCGGCCGACCAGCGAGCAGCAGGTTCGTTACGCTCGAGTGTCGAATTATCGTTATGCTCGAATCTGGAACGCTAAGATTTCTACGGGACCACGTGGATCGATAGAAAAGCCATCTTTTATTATTATTATTATTATTTTTTTCGCTTTTCACCGTGCCAGACTGACAGCCTACTCTTCGTCGCTTCCTGTCTACTCTTTTTCAATTTTGTTTCCCTTTCTTTTAAAATATAATATTAGCGAGACATACGACTATTTTAAATAATCTATTTAATTGATCAAGCTATGCCATCGATTTTATCACTGCATAATTTAACGATCAAAAGATCGAAGAACGAATAAATAACGTGATACAAATATTCCTAGTCAAAGTGGTAAATAGTTATTTAATTGAAAATCATTTTCTTCGTAACAAAGCAACGGAATAATGAAAATAATCGCAATTGAGAATTGTTTCCCTGTGTTAACAGTAAAAATATCTTAAACAATTTTCCAGAAAAAAGAATAGTAAAGTTTAGGGTTGTTACCCTCGTATCCCCGTTATCAATGAGGGTAGGGGGTTGAAATTATTCACAGTTGTTCTTTAGGAAAAAGGCATCATGTGGTACGAATATCAACCGAAATTGTTGCTGGGGCCGATTCACTATGCTTATACGGCTAGACCCTTCGCTCGTTTCTATTTTCTCTTTGTTTTAAAACACGCCTGTTGCGCGGCTGCCCGGATCCCGCGGATTATGCCCGATTGAATCAGGATGAAGGAACACGTGTGGCAAATATTTTTATTGGAAATTCAGATTTTATCACGTACCGCGTGTTATCGATAACAAGACAATAATCGAGTAAATGAAAACATTGACCGATCACGTGATCAAAATCAATAATAAAGAAATTCGAAGGGAGATTGATTAGAAACGCGTAAGACTTTATTATAGAAAATAGAAAATTGTTACTTAATTTTCCGAATTAATTAACTCTATAATTATACAGAAATTCTTTTCTTTACCTTATTCGTCAGTTCTGGGCAACTGTACTTTCCTTTAATTAAGAGTAAACGAAGGGAATATAGGGATAACAAAAAAATTCGTATTAGAATTATTATAATAATTAGAATATTCCAAGTTTATAACTTCTATTCTGGGTTTGGATCATCCCCTCTTTCCGCGTCTCTCTCTTCCTCCATTTACTTCCGGTCTACAGAAAATGGACGAACCTAACTCAGGACCATTTATCGTTCCCCTAATTTATTTTTAACCGTAGGAAATTTACATTGCATTCGAATTTCGAAATTTACTTAGTATTTTCTGATAAAGATATAATAGGATTTTCAGGGAACTCCTGGCTATTGCATTTCATATGCTGCAAAATTGATTAATGTAATAGTTTTCGAAAGGGAATTGCGAACGGATATGCTCGACGCACCGGAAAGGAATATCTGGGTGCACAACAGTTGCCATGGAAGCGTGTTTACGTTGCATTCATTTAATCGATAATTCCAAACCCTTGGCACAAGCTGTGCATCGCTGCAATTGCAATATTTTTTATCATTTTGAAATACACTAACTTTTTGTATCATTGCAAATGGGAGAAAATAAATCATTGTAAATAAGTCAATGTAATTACAATTATATTTTTAATTAAATATTGCAATAGTAATACCGTTAGATGTAATGTTCCCTGTATTCAAGATATAGCAAGAATGTAAGGAATTTATATGCGTGTAAGAGTGGCAATAAGTGCATTTTTGAAGGCAGATAACGAATGATGAAGGTGAAGACCGATGGGACAAAAGTAGAACGAAACCTTTAGAAAGCATATTGAATAAGCTATTTGAAAGGTTTAGAATGAGTGAGTTTTCGTGTTACATGTTACACAAAGGGAGGGAAGAAGAAAAGGATTATATTTATAAATCACCATTACTATTTCACGTTTAAAGAACATTCATCGATCTTCTTCAATTATCCTAATCATGTACGGAATTTTTATAAAAGAAAAGTCAGTTATGAAAAAATTGATTATGAAATTTCAAAAATGATTTCACAACTTACCTTCTTCTGAAATCTGTGTTAGGTTCGTTAACGAATAATTTAATGAAATAATAATCAATCAAATGGTAAATAAAATATTTGTAACTTTAATATCCTAAGGGTTTATACTCGGATGCAATTGAAAGTAGAATCCCATATTTACCTGAGCGTGACCAAGGTGTTCCTGGACTTGCCGGCTGACGTAGACTATTTTCCCGGTAGTGGTGAGCACGAGAAAAAACCCCCCAGTTCCGATCAAGTTCTGACGAAAGAACGATAGAAACGTATTTATTACGCGTAACGATAATAGAACCGATCAATTCGGAAATACTCACGTCGACGATATACTGTTCCAGATCCAACTCGCCGAGTTCCCGAGGTAGAAAGTCAAGTGTGCCTCGCCCGAGTGCTGAAACAGATGTAGAAATTAATTAGAAAAGAAACCTAATTGGGTCAACGCGATATCGCGGAGTGAAGTAACTTTTTTACGGTTCGATAGCGTTTCAAATGAATTTTTAATAATTCCAGAAGCATAATTAATTGAATTTACCGTATCGCATCCTGAGGAAGGCGGCTGCCAGCCTCAGGATGGATATCTTGTCCATCTTCCTGGGACTTTCGGCGACCGTGGGTATAAGTGTAGCCATTGCCGAGATGTTTGTGTTGAGATTGTCGCGGCGTTGTTTTTCTGCCATGTTCCGCGACGCCCTTGGATTACTGTAACAGAAATCAAACGACTGCGAGTTAATTACATCGGATTAACGTGATTTACACGCGTACCGCGCGATAAACGATCAATGAATCATTCGGTTATAAAACACGAAGTAAACGAAGTGGAATCGTAAAGATTCTACACGCGAATGCAATACCTTTCGATGGAATATAAATCCGTTCACGCGTACGACGCGCGAGTAAACTAACAACGACGTGTAACCACGAAAATAATTCTAGCTTATGCGAAAATGCAATTCGTCAAGACAGAAAGAGAGAGAGAGAGAGAGAGGACGGGTCTTATTTTCCATACGTATGTGGATTTTGTCGAACCTAACACGCTGTGAAATTCGAGTGACCAGGAAGAAGAGAATCCTCGTCTTCTGCGTTTCTAGCGAGGAATATTTGCATGTTGGAACTGCGCCGATTTGGTGGCCGACCAAGAAAAGTTGCATGTAATCAAACGGTGACCATGAATCATACGTAATCACTGTTAGCCAATGGAATACCGTTGTGAATACTTTTTGCATTTGAAACACGAAACCTGAAGCACCGGTAATTAAAACGTTTCCAAACGGCGCTTATGTAATTAGAAAAATAATATAAATTTTATACTGTATAAATTTGTTAATAAAAATGTTTTATATTTATTTCAACGCGAGACCCCGCGGAATTTCATTCGATTTAATTGAATTTTATTCATTTTAATTGAAGCACCGTTCTGACTGAAACAATCTGTTCATTTTCAGTTTCGAAATAACCAATTTATTCGTTCTCGTTCGAAACACAAAAATGCAAACAGTAGAATTTTCATTTGTTTCATTTTTTAAAAACTTGGTAATTAAAAATAATATTGGAAAAGTTGTTAATATTTGAATGCGAATGTTAAAATCATTTCAACAGATAAGCAAATGAAGAATAGCAACATATTTAAATTTTTATTTAATTTTTTAGTCTTACCCTTCCCCAAGATTTTGAGAATTCCTGTTTTCCATATATCATCATTTTTCTTAGGAAAGTTTCATTTGATCGCGAGTGTACCTTGTATTGTTAATATAATACTGACGCTATTTACAATTTGTTTCCTCCTTTCTTTGACTAATTACTCGATTATACAAAATTTGAGGTGACCACATTTGAGATGAATAATATAACAGTAACCAGTGAAAAGAGTCTATTGAAAAGAAGCTAAATTAATGTCACATGTATCCCACTATGAAAGCGTCAACACGTGAAATATTTTACCGTTTCTACTTGGAGACAGTTTGAAGGGAAATGTTTGTCACATGTCAGACTAACTAAGACTGTTTGCTCTCGTTAGTCTGACTGCTTGTTTCTTTTTTTTTTTTTAATAGTCTACTATACCGACGTCACATCTGTGTGTAACCGGTAACCTTGGAACACTGCTTTTTCTCGAGTGTATTTAATGGATTCAGATCAGAACGTAAAGTTATGTAAAATAATTCACTGGGATTTTACGTGTAACAATGTAAAATCGAATCTCATTTAATCGACAAAGAAAATGACTGGAAATGCTTTCTATGGTATAGATTTCGGCTATTTAATTTTCTCTGTAGCATCAAGCGAAGTTCAGTGATAGGCAAAAGACAAGAGTACACAAAGCTGAAGGTAGACGACCGATATCACGAGCAATCAAACACGCATACCAGAGACATTGTTTCGGTTAATCCTTGGTGATATAGAATTAAGCATAGACAGTACAACAATAAAGTATTAGAACTAAATAAATTGAGTATAGTATAATTTAGAAAATGAAAATACAAAATTGAATTAAAATTGGGGCTCTCTCTATGGTCCGCCCTCCGAGGATTAAGAACCAGTTATCTATGCGAAATGATTACAAATAGGAAATGGTAAGTATTTTTTAAATTAAACTTCATTCAATTAGTTGAAGAGATAATTAAAGATTAGTATGAAAAATTAATAATTTTTTTCATTATTTCACTGAGAAACCCTTCATTTTTTATAAGAGTCCATCATTCGTATTACAAGGAATTTTCTTATTTATCTAATTAAAAATTAAATGTTTGGAACGATACTTAAATTAAAAGAAATTTCTCAAAATTTAATAAATATTCGATCGCTTCAAATGGAAAAATAAAATGTCAAAAGTGATTTCATTGGTAAATAAAAGAAGTATTTGAAAGGATCCAACGACCTGTTGTACACTTGTCGAGAAATAATTTAAACGCGTTTACATTCGATGAAACAAACTATAAATCTATGCTGTTTGATATCCTCGTTCAGTATACAATGTTATGTATACGATTGAGTAATCGAGGTCTATTCTACTGCTATAATCTACGCATAAGTTATAAATAGAGTCACTGACGTAGTGCAGTGATGATTTCAAATGCAGAATCTTCTGCGTCTAAACACATCGAAAAATCATCTTGCTCCGAGATATAATCAGGAACTATCAAACTTAATACAACCGAAAGATGTTAATTGCTACGAGGATCGTTGGTGGTCTCATAATTAAAACCAAAAAAATATATACCTCTGGTAATTCGAAATATTAAAAATGAAAATTAGATTTTAGTATTGGTTTGATGATGCTAATTAAATTTTTTAATTGCTAATTTTTGGAAACTGCTAATGGGCGGTGTACTAATTTTGCAGCATAGATTATAAAAATTCATAGTTATTATTTTGTGAATCATATACTTGTGGATATAAAATAGAATACAATCTTCGGATATTTAGTGAATATCATAGGTCAACGTATTCGTCTCGAGATGGTTACATGTTTAGTTGCAGGTAAATATAATAATCATTTAAAAAAAACAAAGATTACATAATAAAATATCTCTTTTAAGATAAAGTGAGTTCTATTTAAAATATTCTTCAACAACGAATAGTTTATTAGAAGATAATTGCGTGAAAAGATGATAACAAGACACCCTGTGTATCCCATGGAATATTATGATAATATTAACATATTTATGGTGTACCATTAATCAAAGTGTAGAACCTCTAATTCTTGAAAATAAATGTAAATTTTAATTTTAGAAATGACGTAAAATCTGTAATTTTTTAAAGTGATTTTGAAATTAATTAATCCTCTCTGAGCAAATTACATCCTCTATTCTTAAGCCCGATTATTTCAACGTTTTAGGTTTTCAAAAAATTCAAAAAAATTCTGAAACACTTATCAAAGTCCCTGCTGTAATATACAATGGTTTGTGACGTAAAATGTTTAAAATTATTGTAGATAAAAATAAAAATTCAAAGGGAAGTGAAACATATCTTCCAACAATCATTCAAACATTTTAAGTAGCGTAATATCGTCTACGAAAGAAATTATCGCAATATTATCGCGTATCAAGATTACTCGTAACTGGAAATAGTCACTTTTTTTTCAGATACAGACAATAAACAATTGACACTTTGGCCTGGTGTCTGGTATCTGTTCAAGTGTCTGACTAGCATTTGATGATAGTGCCAAAATTTCAATCTTCTTATGACCGCTTTATCATGCTAAACAAAAAATTACATTCCTACACTGTATATCATTCCCATTTATTCATCATTAATTTGAGTGATTTTCCGTTGCAAGTATACGTGTGCACAGTTTTAATTGAAATAGCAAATGTTAATTTGTTTCCCAGGCGAATTGAATGAACATTTTCATATAAAATTAATAAACGCTTTAGTTAATCGTTCTTTTACGTCATTATCAGTTATAACGCATGCACAATTTTTATTACAAATAGGAAATGGTAATTTTTTTAAAATTAAACTTCACTCAATTGGTTAAAGAGATAATTAAAGATTAGCATGAAAAACTGATAATTTTTTAAATTATTTCACTGAGAAACCCTTCATTGTTTATAAGAGTCCATCATTCGTATTAGAAGGAATTTTCTTATTCATCTAATTAAAAATTAAATGTTTGAAAAGAAACTTAAATTAAAAAAAAAATTTCTCAAAATTTAATAAGTAATATGTCATTTATTTTAATCCTAAAAACGTAATGAGAGCTCATGCATCATTTTCTTCGTGCTGATTAATACTTCTAATTAGAAAAATTAGAGTTAAAGTATACTCTTTTAAAGGATGTATATGTTAATATTTTGTGCTCGATGAAACAATGTAGATGGGACAAGAAAGCTTCAGAGAATCAGTGCTCGTGGGTTATCCGTTTCGACGTTACACAATGCTAAAATGACTTTGACCAATTATCCCGGTGGCGGCCTTGGGACACGTTATCATCGTGATAACGACGACTAAAATTCTGCTTTAATGTTTTCATACGGTCGCAGCTCGAGTCCATGGGGAAGTGACCTCGAGAGGCTTGACAAAACAAGATAACAGATCGGTGATAATCCGATTCCATAACACAAGCTGATTGTCTCCTCTCGTATGCCAAAACCTCAATTTTTTTCTTTTTCGATCGTCCATTTAATAAACGGATAAAAAATTATTTTCCATTAAATTTAATTCTAATAAATTATAACTTTGACATGATAAACGAATGTAGCGATTATGCAAATGAAACGAAGAGATCAGGTTCGCTTGAAAGAGTATCCTTATCGTGTACGGTACAACGAACTTAGCCTTTATCATCAGCAAGACTAAAAAGTAGTAGTAGTAGAGCCTTGCGGAGACTCGTTTCGTTTCAAGTTGAATTGCGATGGTCAGGTCGCAGCAAAAATTCAATTGAGAAATGATTGATAAAGAAATTGAAATTGTGGAGTATTTTAACGAATCCTTAACCCATGAAGAGCGAATCATGGGTTAATTATGAGCCAAATTTACAAAATATATGCACAAAAATAATAATCTATTAAAAAATTGTGGCTCTCTTCATGGTCCGCTGTTCGAGGGTCAAAATTCAAAATTGGTTTGGTACAAAATACCCAGAAAGCATATCCTCAAAGAGAATATTTAATTAAACGAGCAGTCGAATTTAACTCTCCTGGTGTCGCGTCGTTTTATCAGTAATTAATTACAATTCTCAGAAGGGAAAACGAGCATCTCTC